GTATTCCAACAATTGTCCGGAACAGAACACGAGATTGCATCTCAACGTCCCTTTACATTCTCCTCGGTGGCTGGTCCACACTCCTAATAATAGAAGCAGAACCACCCCGAATCATATGAACGCACAACGTTTTCCAGATTGCTGGACCACAAACCACTCATTTATTTGACTCGCAGTAAAGTACTCGTACATACGAGCCCAGCTTTCTTTAGCTTTGGCGATGCCAAGACGCCTTGTGACGACGAGCCACGACTCCACCGCTCGGGACTTGCACGGATCCAAGCAGGAGGAAAAGAAGCAAAGAGTCAGCTAAAGAAAGAGGAGCACCACTTTGCCGCCCGTCAACTGGATCTCCAGAAGCGCGCATCTTGATCGCCAACTTCACCCCCGCTTCGCTGTCACCGGTGGGGACGGCCGTTGGAGCTTGAACCTGGACGGCTTCAAAAGTCTTCAACCGATAGATACCCTACAGGTGTGTGCGTTGGCCATCTCGATGAATCTAAAATACCACGTTTAGGCAGTCTCGTGGCTAGTAGTAGTACTACTATGTATCTATCGTGATGTGCGGAAGAGGCGGTACATGTAGTATCAATCGTCTAGGTACCGGGACGTTGGCCTGTTGTATCAAGGCGCGAGGCAGCGAATCGTATGATGGCCTGCCCCGTCACTTGATACTCGACCAAAGCGGGCATAAGCACTCAGCACCCACACCGGAAGTCCTCGTACGTCAAAGCAGGTTCCCGAGCGGGAGGCCGCCATTTTCCGGACGCCAATCACGCCGTTGGATCATCTCTGGCCTCATCCTCTGCTTCTTGTCCTCGGTCCGCTTCACGGCCGGCGGCACCGGACAGTTGTTGGAAACCCGCGCTTTGTCGCTCGTCGTCTCGTATCAGCCCTCGGCGACCGTTTCAAGTCACGGTGGCACATCCGCCTCATTGGCCAAGGTGGTGTGACTCTGCATTGGAATCTTGGTTGGGCGAGAGGCAGACGGATCCCTGTACGAGAATCTGCAGCCTCCGGCCAGTCAATGCAGGCAGGATGGAGGCCATTGTCATGCCGCCGTCCGGAAGACGATCCCCTTGGCCGACACAGGCAGCTGGCTCCTTCTGTTCGCATACATAATACCGCATTGCCGTTTCAAAGGCAGAATTGCCGGCTGCTACATACATAGCTGATGTCATTGCGGGAGTCGGATATGATGCGCAAGCCGGCGAGTAGCAGTCGCCTTGTGTCCTTCATTCGATAATCAGACGCTGTCTGCATTGAGCGAGAGGACGACAAGGACAGATGATCTGTGATCCCATCCCGTAGGGCGTAGGGCGTGTAATGTGTATTCATGTCCCTGGTGGTACAAAGCGACGAGAATGGCCCGGGATTCGATCGGCGTGGAAAGCGGTGCCGGAGCTCGAGTCGTGTGATCCCTCTTCCCCGGTTAGATCGGTGGCGTGCGATTGTGCGGAATCGAGGTGCTCTACGGAGCTACAGTACCTGGACGACTCCCATCTGAACCTGGGCCTCGGCTGGAGGAGCAGAAGTTGAGGTGATCGGCTACCATCCCTCTGGAATCGGCCACAATTACAGTACAGTACACATACGCAAGGTACGCTTTCGCCATGAACGAGCACGCAAACCCTTTTCCCTTCTTGTTCCTGTGAAGTGAATGATAGCCATCTGTCTCCACAGCCAGGCACTGTTTGGAGAGCCGTGTGCTTGAATCAGTGCAAATGATACCCTAGATATCGGGCTTGGTTCGCGATTCGGAGATGTTCAAGTCTGGGTCCGGCGAGACCGAATCGGGTATCACACAAAGAACCAAAGACTTGGGTGAACAATGATGGATTCAATCCAAGGCTTTTGGAGGATTGTCGGACCACTCAATATTTCTATAAAAGGCGTATAGTCTGTCGTATCGTACCTAGGTAGAAGCTAAAGCCATTCTACCTTAGGCTTATCGAGCGACGATATGAGTTGTATCTTTGACGATGACAGTTCGGGGCACGCAGCTCGTCAAGGCTGACTCGATATCTGCTCCAGTCAAACTCGTATCAGCAATTGTTTTGAGAGCTATAGAAGACAGCTATATGGGCTTTGGCTAAGAAACACTTTAGATTCGTTGTCAAGAAAAGGGGTGGTCATCTCATTGGGAGGTTGATTCTTGCACACATCTGCAATTTGTAGCTCGTATTAGCTATCCTGTTGCTTGGTACCTGGATAAGTGAGGATGGATCTATAAGTTTAAGAGCTTGTTTCAAGTTCTTATGTGGTTAGTCTCTGTATATGGTGGCTTTGGCATGTCTGATCATCGACATCTCGCTGAAAGCAAGGCTCGTTGAAGACCTGGGGTATCTGCCAGAGCATGTATGGCGAGAAACATGTCGAGAAGGCCGTGGTACCCTTACATCTAGTCTGCAATTCTCTGTATGCTCCCAGGTTTCTGAGCTCTTCCTCTTCTATCGTGTTGGAAACGTAGGGTGCATGGTTTCGGAATAGTTTATACCTTCGTTTCAATGTTCTTCGTTATTCTCAAGCGTCATGGCCTGAAGAGTGCTTGAATCACAATTGATCATAGCCGCGCCAAATTTGCTATTTCGATATATGTTTTCCTTCTAGAAAATGTTCATTGTTTAAATTATGCCATGTTTGTCATAGACTCGTATCGGCGGTCGTGTTGTGTTCAGGTCTCGTTTCCGTTGACGATGAATGTGATACTTATCAGGGTCCTGTCGATGGAACTGAATAGATCAGCTTTTCCGCTTGCCATTCGTGAGAAAGCATGGGGTCAAGAGTAGCATGTTGGCTTTCATCTTCCAGGCTACTGTTGGACTGAAGATAATGGAAGATACGTACATGTAGTTTGAAATAGCCCTTCACGAAGAGGCTCTGCAAGCATCGAGCAACTCCTCTTCGGCAGTGTCTAACATCTTCACAGCGGCCTTGGAGACAGACTTTTCGCAAGTCTGTTGAGAGATGGCGAAGTGCATGGTATCTGGATCTGAGTTGTTCTGCTTTCCAAAGAGCCTGTGTACAGAAGCCAGGCAGCAGCTACTACTGAGCTCTCACAAACAGAAGGTTAACCGCGCGCTCTCAATGGGAGAATGTTGTGTCAAAGAAACTCGCCAAAGCTTCTATTGAGTATTTGTCTGTTTCCTGATGCCTGGGAACAGACGCGATTGTTGTAGGCAGACTTGGGTAAGGCCTGAACAAGATACATGTAGCTCTCAGATGCTGGCTGGTTCGTGGTCCGGGTTGGGCTTGGCGTCGTAATATCGAGTGGAAGGAGCAAGGGGGTAAATCAACAAAGACAGTTGCCGTCGATGTCAACTTAATGAAATATGATGGATGCAGCACAAGCTTGCATAGCAGTCTGGGCTGCCCAAAGGCCTTTTGATGGTATCGTGATCTCGCACCCCGTATGCTGTCGAAGAGTTTTTGAGACTGAAAGGCTATTCGTTACTGCAGAGATACAGCGGGTAAATGAGTGAACGAGAGAGAAGGGATGTGGCAAGGTTCAAGGCTGTTTTGTTCAAGTGAGATTGAGAGGTGCAGAGTCTGTGTAACGCAGGATCTGGAGTTTACCCGCTGGGAGACGCCTAGAGCAACCGACACCAGTGTTCAGGGGCTAGGACAAGGCTGAACACAAGTGACGTGAATGGGTGCAGGTATTTGTGGATCTGCTTGCAGAAGGGATGCAGAAGACTTGAGGAGTCGTTTATGGGAAATCAAAGATTCCCTGTTCAAGCGGTGCATTCATTGCCACAGCTGCACTCGATTCTACTAATATATGGCATGGATGTGTTGTATAGAGGTCAAAAAACTAGAAAGTAAATCTATCAAAGATCTTTCTGGCATGGGAATACCAAGTGCGAGAAACTTCAAGGGCAAGACGTGATAGACTCCAGCAGCAGATAACCCCTGGACCAAACTCCAAGGGCCTGCGAGCTATGACTTATGGGGGAGCAGCCCTGAGTCACAGCTGGCAAGCACTGGTGCAGAAGCCATTCCCATCAGTTGCTCCTGGAGACGAGCTGCAGAGCTGTCAAGGCTCGAGGTGCGTGTGCGTGCGGCCCACACGTGCCTCGCAGTCTGCCTTCACTGTTTACCCCCCCTCCTGCTTTTCCTCCTCCTCTCCTCTCCTCTCTCTTCTGCTCTCCCACTCTCTCCCACCCACCATCCATCCATCTTTCTTCTTCAACCCAACTCAATATCAACAATCTCTGCACGCTACGTCTTTTATCAAGCATCGACTCCAAACCTTCCTCGAGTCTCAGCTCAAGCAGTTGTGCTCGTTACCTTTCGTACTTCTTTGATCTCCTCTTTCCAAGTCTCCGCCCGCGGCCACCAGGTAAGTAAACACCGCTCCTCCATACCCGGTCCACCTTGTATAAGGCCATACATCTCCATTATCATCACACCCCCTCATTTCCATCATCAGCACAAGATCCCACATAGCTTCACTCTTCCCTCCTACCTACCTCACATAGTCCTCTCACTGTCCTGCTGTTGTGTGTTTCCTTTCTTCTCAGAAGCGCGTTTCGCTCAAATCGTGACTCTTCGTGACTCTCCAGCTTCTCCCCCAAGTCGCGAAAAGAACACAGATTCCCTATCCCTGACACTGGGCAAACCAACCCTAGCCGTCCTCAAAGCCACCGGCAGTCATTAACGGTCTCTCCCCCCAATACCACTGCCTCGCAGCTTCACGTTGCCTCCTCCAACACATGAGTGGTTCTACCCCCATCATCTTAGACTGTGGCATTCGCTTTTGACTATATCAAAATCATTCCGCAAGCCATATTTCTCCACTGAACAACACTTATCCCCTTATCCGTTGGCACTACTTGAGGCTTAGCAATGGCAACAACATTTGAGAGTTCAGATAACTGACACAATAGTGACTACGCAGTCTACTGGATCATAAGCCTGTCATCTCCAGAAAGTTCATCGCAGTGCTTCATATCGCGAATGCTGGGAAGAACCTCGAAAAGGAGAGAAAACCCTTAGCCATGGCGCCAAACGACGAAAGCTCGTGTAAGTACTGCCATATCTGGAGCAAAGCTACGCCGTACTAACTTCTTTATAGCCCCTCTCACCCCATATGGAATGAAAGCATCCAGAAAGCGACTGGAAGAAGCTGGATTTCATCCAGCAGTGACGAAGAGACCGCTCAAAGAATTGGAAGCGGAGCTTACGAGTCACCTCAAGAAGAAGATGACCCGTCCAAGTCGAAGGAGTCTTCTGGGGCGTCAGCGATACAGGTTACAAACTGTGCGAAGGGGTCGCTCTGGCAGGTTTCTCTCCAAAGCCGACCGACCTGGCCGTGGTGCTAGTAGGTCCTTAGGGCCCCTGACCAAGGTAAGTGAAATACAACAGAAAGCAGTGTTGAAGTATAGCAAAGCTGATGAGCAACTATAGGGGCCCTACTATCCTACAGAGAGGCTCGACAAGATTGCCTCGGAGGCAGTGAGCAAGACCCCTTCTCCCGAAGCGGTCACGAACGGCCCCAAGGAGCAACTCACCATGGAGAGCATCATGAATCACAGTCAATTGGGGGCAAAGATACTCAACTCCGTCTTTGCCCACGGCCACAAAGCTGTTATGAACCTAGCGCTGACTTCCAGCACGATGTTTAAGCTTGTCACTGGAAACATAGTAAGTCGCCATCGCTGCCCTTCCTTTGGGTCCAACAGAACGGAACACACTTTGCGTCTGACATAGAAGTAGAATCGGTGGGACTTTTCTTCTGGTTGCTACAAAGTAAAGGGCCCATCCAACGTCTTTGTCGCGATGGTGCCCAAGCAATATACCCATGAAATCAAAGAGGCACTTTCCAAGTACGACTTTCCGGTCAATTCGGCCAAATGGATGGCAGCACTTGAAAGGCTGGAGACTGAAGGAGACTCTGACAGCCAAAAGTTGCGAGCCGTCGGGCTTGAGCATGAGTTCTTCCGGATGGCGAAGAAGTTCCGGGGGAAGTGCTTGCGTTCGAATGGACCCTACTGGGCTGCGGAAGACGACAAGATCGATCCACGAACCGCAAAAAGTGCTGTGGGATGGTGGTATTTCGACAAAGAAGCTATCAATATCATGGGGTCGCTCAAGCCGCTTACAACTATGTGGTCGGCGAATCAGTTCGAAGGCAGCAACAAGGAGTACCGCATGCCGCTCAGCCTTGCTATGGAAGGCTTGCTCACGCTCAGTAAGTGTCACGGGGCATTGAGGCACCGCCTCGAAACTTCTGAAGCATTGGTTTCTAACGATTTGGCTAGTGAGGGAGATACACACTGTCAGCACCTACATTGAAGTTGTACACTTGCATGACGTACCGTTGGTTGACCGCCGCATGCTTGCCACCATTTTGAGAGGCATGCCTCACGTCGTCCAGGTGGGCGTGTACAGATGTCCCCTAGTTCACTTTGGAGACTTGATCCCCATCCTGGATCTCATTTATGACATCAACACTGGTCGACGAAAGAAGAAGTTGCCAGCAATCAAGGGGTTTGACTTCTATCCCAATTTCGAAGATGGCATGCCGTATCAGCATGAAAATGCGGCCACATATGGCCTCGCCTGGTGCCCCTTGCTAATGGACGTTGGGCAGCGAGGCTTCTACGGCATTCTCCTCAAGGCCGTAATGAAGGCAAAAGCCCTTGACCTTGGTCAGCTGTTTGACAAAGACGGCGCGTTGATGGACTGGATGGCCAAAGTGCCAAACGTTCCCCTTGGCCCCTATTGCTTCCTGGATGCCCTGTACCGATATCTGGAGGTGGAAGACGAAGACCCCGATGGGAACGACAAGAGGACACAGGCCACGTATGACCTGCTCAAGCCGACCCGCATCGCCTTCGAACCGTATCTCAGCCTGGACTGGCCCCTATACTACACGAAGAAGATGGGCTCCAAGTTTTTCTGCTCATCCTGTGGATATGAGACCTTTCGGGAATTCTTCCCCGGCCGCGCCAAACTCCTCCCAGCGTACCTGCGAACTTGCTCCGCCTGCATTCTGCAGCGGGCTCTGGACGAAGAGAGAGGCCATGGCAGGGCCTGGAAGTTGGACTTGCTGGACAGTGTATGTTTTCTATGGCAGCCGGAAAGCTTCAACTTGGATGCGCCTCTGTACGACAACGGAGCTGGCCTGATCCGTCTCGAATCCACCGAGACTGAGCGCCCAAATGACTCATCGGCCCTGATGCGAGATAACAAATTTCCCTTTGATTCGTTGGTGGGCGTCCCCAGCCTCGAGGCTGTCGCAAAGGGCTCGATAATGGCTTGCCTGTGGACGGAGGCCGTGGCCTTTGCTTTCCGCTACGACCTTCAACGCCGAGGTATTCTGGAGCTGCGGCACCAATACCACCGCCGGTGGAATGGCGTCCCGGCTTTCCCTCCCACGCGAGAGGATGGTGGAGCGCCAGATCATCAGGACGAGCTGCAGATGGAAAATGGGGAGCCAGATGCATCTTTCTTTGACCACCGCAAAGCTCTGGATGTGGCCAATCGCATGAAGCGGAACGGTTGGTAAACGATCCGTGCCATTTCTTTCTGGGTTTGTTTTCTTTCGAGGTGTTTCATCCCTCGGTTTATTTTCCTTCTGGTTCCTTTCCTACCTCGTTTTCTTTTCTGGCCTATTTCCATCCCGGTCTCCTCTCTGGCCTGACTTCTTCTGGGCTCGTCTCTGCTAGAGCCCCTTTCTTTGAACGGTATATATCCAGGATTCGGCTTCTATTGGCCACAACTCTTTTCTGGACGGTTTGCGCGAGGTGCTCCGCGTTCACGGGTTTGGCAGATTTCACTTCACTTTGTCATAATGTCAGTTCAAGGCTGGCAGTTGGTGCTCAGAAGGTTTTAGGAAGATTGACTTGTTAGGCGGTTTCAACGACACTTGACCCCAGGATTGAATTTAGTTGGACACTCCCGTTGGGGGACCTCTTGGGCCTCTTGGGACTATCAAGAACACAAGGAAGCGGGCGTTGGAGGGCATGGAAGAAAGGTATTCTGCGATTTGCTATTTTCACTGGCCCATGGGCGGCAGTTCCGGAAGCTCTCGAGGCTTTGAACATCTATCGACGTTGACTAACGCGACCATGTATGAATGAATGTACGAGTCCTGCTACTATGAGTTCACAAAAAGAAATGAAGGAATTTTCCACCCAAAGCCCGCGCAATCTTGGTGAGAAAGTAAATGAACATAAAGTACGGAGTAGATACACGAGAACGAGGTTGAGGTGGTGTTTAGCATCGGGCAGCGTAATCACGTGACCTTGAACGGCAGATACCGGACTTGCACCTCCACCAAAAAAAAGACGGCCGACGTTCTCCTACCTTTCGCCCAGCAACGCCAACAAACAAATCAGCACACGCACGATCCCTACAAAATGGCCTCCCTGCTGCGCACGCTCTCCCTGACAGCAGGGCTCCTGCGCTCCGCCCCGGCCGCCACCATCAAGGCGGGCAGCTTCGCGACAGCGAGCCCGGTGTTCGCCTGGATGGGATGGATGTCGAGACCTGCGGTTGGAGGGGCGCTGCAGCAGACGAGGGGGATGAAGGTGCACAGTTCGGTGAAGAAGAGGTGTGAGCACTGCAAGGTGGGTAATTGGTCTTTCTCGGTGGTCGTGATTTGAGAATTGGGGGTTGTAAGACTGACGGGGGAATGATGCAGGTTGTTCGTCGAAAGGCTGGGAAGCGACATAACGGCTACCTGTACATTATTTGCAAGGCGAATCCTCGACACAAGCAGCGACAGAGCTAGAAAGATCGCTTCCGATTGATCCTTCCTGTACTTTTCACTTAAAACTCATTTTCACGAACGATGACGATCTCCCTGGCGAAGAGCGGACATATTGTATATTATTGGCGCATTAAAAGGCGACGAAAGGGAAAACGATGAACAAACCAGGACTACGCAAATAAGGAACTACAAAGAAGCCTGGGGGCGGGACGAATGATAGACGGACGGTCTTACGGCAATGACTTCCTGGGGAAGAATGGGGGGGCGGAGAGGACATTGATACGACAGATTTGCGCTGTGGAAAGAAGCTGCTCGCTGGGATGGACTTGAACAATCGACGGTTTCGAAGATTCTCCCTGTCATGATATGTACATTTTTTTTTTTTTTTTTGCGTATATATATGTAGTTGTTTACATACCCCCGATATACCTCTCCATGCTTTCCCATTCGGTTTTGCCTGTTGAGAGGAGGTATCTTATGTGAGACTTTGTTTTGATTGCCAGAGTTAGCAGGGTCTTGAAACTTATCTACCTCTCTACAGAACGGGGGAGAATTTGGAATGAGGGGGTGCGAGATGAAGACTTACGATATCTTGAACGTGGCGATGACGCTCGAATTCATCACGGGCGTATTTGCGGGATTCGGCTCTTGTTCGAGGGTCAGAGATGCGTCTCGTGCCTCGCCAGATGGTGCGGTACAAGGACAGGGCTCTGGATCGTTGGAGGAACTAAAAGAAATCATAATCATTTGGGCTCAGCTTTTTTCATTATATAGAGTCTACTTTTTTCCTGATATTGTTTCGTGTGTATGTACGTACGTGATCTAGGCTTATGGTTGGCTTGAGCCGGGATGCTGGCCGTTGGGTGGTGGCGTAGCCACGGCCGAGGCCGAGGGGCAGCAGGCGGATGCCGGGAATCATCAAGGAGTATTCATTGGTTCTGGGGAGACTGTGTAAAAGAGAATGAAAGATGTATATATAATCGCAAAGGATTTGGAGGTTCTGGGTAATGAGAAGAAGTTGGTGAAGTAGGTATTCAGTATTGAGAAAAAGAGATGGAGCCGGGCAAACTTCGGATGGCTGCGTGTTTGTAGTGTTGAATTGACGGCTTCGAGGTGAGGTACACTGATGTGGTTACTGGTTTTTTGATCGATGCCTGAATTCAGATGATTTTATCGTTATCTGATATTCGCCGTGAGTCTGATTATTTCTCTATCAGGGCATGTATCATGGGGACCAGCATGGTTTGGGGTCTGTATCTGGTGGTTTGAATCACTTGCGGTAAGGCGGTTTTGGACTGGGCTTTTTCCTTGGCTCCGTTCTCCCACCGAATACCTCTGGCACATCCTCTAATACCTGGTTCTGTATAGGTAGCCATTGTCGTCCATAAAAAAAAGGCACAATGGCTGAAGAGCAGAGCAATGAAGCTGGATCCAAGCACAAACTGTCACAGGAAATACACCCAATTGCAATAGCAAACGACAAGAGCGATGAGGAGTTCATCCGGGACTATCTCAAGCCAAGGTACGCGAGTACGGCCCCAGTCGTTTCAACATGGGGGCTTTCATCACATATACATGCATGATTCCGACCATCACACAGTAAACATGCTAACCTGAATTTACTTTCAACGATTTTCAACAGCCCAGGTTGGACGACGTGGACACATCCCCTCACACAGAAACCATACGCACTCGAGTTCCTGTCGTCGCACGAGCTCTCCAAGGACGACTTCAAGGCCTGCTTCGACCTCATCGAGCTGACCAGCGGCGCCGACTACAAGAACTCCTCGGTGGGATGGCATCCGGCCATGAAGAAGAAGGAGATGAAGTCGCCGGATCTGCGGTACATTCTCGTCAAGGACGAAGAGCAAGGCGCAGTCAGGGGGTTCACGTCGTTGATGCCGACGTTTGAGAACAACGAGCCTGTGCTGTACTGCTACGAGGTCCATCTGACCCCCGAACTCCAAGGGTAACAAACAACGCCTCTCATCCCCCCCTCTCTCTCTCTTCTCATGTTCTGCATTTTTTGGCGCCACAAATTTCTCTCGCTCATGTTCTTGCGGATATTATATAGTTCTGGCCTCGGCAAGCACCTCATGGCCCAGCTCATCACCATTGCGGAACACATACCGTCTACGAGAAAAGTCATGCTCACGTGCTTCACGAGCAACACCAACGGCCTCCGGTTTTACGACAAGCTCGGGTTTGCAAAGGATGACTTCTCGCCCAGGGATCGGACGTTGAGAGGGGGCAAGGTGGTGAAGCCTGATTATGTGATCTTGAGTCGCGGGACTGCGCATGGCGGTGTTGATGGGGGATGATGTTGAGTGACTTTAAGAGGAAAAAAATGATAGATGCATTGCGATATAGAGAAGAATCCGTAGATGAGTTATTATCAGTCCAATGAGCATACAAGATCACATATCAACGTCTGTGGAAGTACACATACCAGAGGGCAAGGATTCATTATATAGGTAGGTGGCCCAGAGCCCAGTTAAACCGCGAATAACGTCAAAAAGCCGGCAGAAATTTCACAGCATGTCTCGCGCTCAAGTCTCTCGAAATTTTGGCATGCCCCAAGGGCCGCCTCGCTTGTATTCAATTTCAGGGTATCATGATTTATGTCATCAAATTTCCAAGCCTGCCTCTAGAATCATTGCTGGGAGGTCTTTTGTTTACTCAATAGCTTTTTAGCTCACCACCGCAAGCATCCCGTACCCAAACTCCAGAAATGTCAATCAAGCCCTTCCCTTTTTTGTTTCCTACCCTCTCTTTGTGTAAGCATCCTAATCCGGATCCCTCATTCATCAAGTCATTCCTCATGCGTAGAGCTTCTTCTCATACGACTCCATGTTCACGTTACCCTCCAGCTGGGCGCTGGCCGTGCGAAGCTCAAATCGCAGGGTGCCGTTGGCAGCAGACTCCTGCAGCTCCTTCAGGCTGCGCATGCCGCAGTCCTGCATGGAGTGCTTGAGACCAGCAGCGAGGTAGGGAACGAACTTGGAAATCGATCTAGTAAATGTGTCAGCTTATGGGTACGTCCATATACGGGGAGAGAAGCATTGCGTCGCAACATACCCTCGGTGAGCCACGGAACCGGACACACCCTGAGCAACCAAAACGCTGTCACCCTCGGAGAAGTAACGAGCAGTGCCGGCGTTGCTCTTCTGGCTGTCCTTGCCACCGCCACCAGCCTTCTTGTCCTGCATGGCGTCAATGGAACCCATGCCACGGTAAGCCTTGACCAGCTTTCCTTCGCGAGAAACGAAGGAAGTACCGGGAGACTCAGTTGTGCCGGCCAGGAGACCACCCATCATGATAGTGGAGGCACCGAGAGCAAGACCCTTGGCAATGTGGCCAACGTTCTGAATACCACCGTCGGCAATGCAAGGAACGCCGAAGCGGGCGGCAAAGGTGCTGACAGCGTGGACGGCAGCAGCCTGAGGACGGCCAACGGCCATGACCTCCTGGGTAATGCAGGCCGAGCCGCTTCCCATACCAATTCGGAGACCGTCAACGCCAGCGGCGATGAGAGTCGCCGCCTGCTCTCGAGTGACGACGTTTCCGCCAATGACATCCAGGTTGGGGAACTCCTTCTTGATCCACTTGATCATTTCCACCTGGTACATGCTGTTACCCTGAGAGCTGTCGAGTATGACAATGTCAAGACCAGCGTCGACGAGCAGCTGCAGACGGATCTTGTCCTCTGGGCGAGTGCCAATGGCAGCGGCGCAGATCAGCTGCTTGCTGTCGGGGAGCTTGGAAGCCAGGGGGAAGTGCTGGTTCTTGGTCAAGTCGGAGCGGGAGATCATGGCCACCAGGTTGAAGTCCTTGTCCACAATGGGCAGCTTGCCCTTCTTGGACTGGGACAGGATCTTGTTGGCCTCGGTCAGAGTAACGCCAGAGGGAGCGGTGATGAGGTCAGTGACCATGACCTTGGAGACAGGCGCGCTGTAGTTATCCTCGAACTGGATGTCTCGGTTGGTAACGATACCAAGGAGCTTAGAGCCGATCTTTCCGTCCTCTGTGCCGCGTTAGTCATGATGCTGCACAAGGCTGGATTCGAGACAACAATGGGGATGAGACATGTGCTGGTCATAGTACTGGTGGTCCTCAGGACAAAAGTCTTTTGGTGGAACGAAAGTTATAAATTGAAAAGGTTTATAATCATGCAATGTGAAAATAGACGTTAATGAAAATTTTTCCTTACCAGTGACGGGGAAGCCTCCAAAGCCCCATTTCTCCTTGAGGGCCTTGGCCTCGCCGACGGTGGTGTCGCGTGTGATGACAACGGGGTCGAGGATGAAGCCGTTCTCGTAACGCTTCACCTTGCGGACCATGTCGGCCTGGGCCGCGGGAGAGCAGTTGTGGTGGATGACACCCAGGCCGCCCTGGAGGGCCATGTGGATGGCCATCTCGTGCTCGGTGACGGTGTCCATGGGGGAGGACACAAAGGGCGTCTTGAGCGTGATGCGCTTGGTGATGGGGGCATCGAGGGTGACCTCGGAGGCAGGGAAGCCAATGTAGCCGGGGAGGATGAGGAAGTCGTTGTAGGTCAGACCACCGTGCTTGGTCGTGTCCATGAGCTCTTGTCGGTCGAGGCCATCGCGGGACTTGTACTCGGCCAGCACCTCGACGGCCGTGGTGTGGTCGAGGATGGTGGTGTTTCCGTTGATGGCGGCCATTGTATCTGATGGAATTGAGAAAGAACTGGCAATTCAACAGACAGACAAAGAGCGAGGTTGAAGGCGGAGAATCAATCAAATCTGGGAGAACCTGATCGATTGTCTGGAGTTGATACGGCGCTTCTTCCCGAAAGAAAAGAAGAGGAAAAAAAATTGAGCGGGCCGTCTGAAATTTTTTATCTTATGGAGGAGCTACGCAGGGTCTAGGCTAAGCAGAAGGAGGGGCACTGACTGGCTTCGGTGCGGGGACTCGAGAAAAATCAATTTACACGCTGTGGAGAGTCAGTTACCCTGCAGCTGTTGGAGACGAAAGTTTGGATTTGTCAGGTTTGTATGGTGATGAGAACTATGTTTCTAGTTTCTACAAAATGAGAGATTCTGGCGGTGATCATCACAGCTCACAAGTATTTTCTCTGGTGTTTTGGTAGGCAGACATGTGCGCCTTCGCGGCTACGTGCATTTCGATGATATGTAAGTATGTAGAAATTCCGCTGTTGGTGTGCTCGCACTCAAATGGCTGTGAATCTGTTTGGCTGCACAAGAGGCTGTTAATCACAAACCCCCACAAGGTCACCGGATGAGTGCGTGAACTGGTGATTGTGACCTGTCTCTTTTCTGTTCTCTTCATGGGAATCTTCAATGCCCCTATTGACTGATTCACTGCCCGCTCCGATAACGCTGCGCTTTGGTTCCTCTCTAGTACTTGTACTGTACTATTGCCTTATCGCTCTTATCTCAGCTCACCCAGTACTATCAATACGTCACTCCTCCATCCGCGGACGGAGAATCCTCGGTACAGCTTGCATGCATGCATCTGCACACGCGGAATGGTGCTAAGGCATCCTGTGGGCTGAGAGATGGGGAAGCTGTCAAAAGCACGACAGACGTGAGATCTGATATTTTGAGCTCTTTTTCTCGATTGCGCATCGAAAGGCTGCGAATAGGTTCGCCTTGCAAGGCGACCGACGGCGGCTTGTCGCTTGACACTACCAACCCATGATCTTGCGAGAGCGATAACCGCCAACCACAGCTACCCCCTCTCGACCAGACACGCACCACACCAACCGCCGCATACGATATCCCCTCCTCGACGGCTTGGATGCTGGACAATGTGATGGCCTTTGCGACACAATGTCTGAACCCGAAGACGCTTCTCCTCCCGGAGAGCCGGCGGCCAATCTCGAGAACCCGGCGCCCGTCACATACAACGACGACGAGGCCGACGTACCCCAGCTCGAGCAGCAGGAGGTGCCGGAAGACGCAAGCTCTCCAAATCCTGAAGAGAAGGAAAATCATGCTACAGAGGCCGAGCAGCTGAGTGAGAATGCTCAGAATGGAGACATTTCCAAATTCACATTGGCGGATGCAAGCTCCATCGATGCGATTCCGCGGAGGGCCGGGAGTCCCATAGAATCCGTTACCTCTGCGCCAGGAGATTCTCCGTCCGTCCAGGTATTTGATAGCTTTCCGTGTGCTCCATGGAAACAAACAGTCTGACAGGCGCAGGGCTCGCATCTATCCTCCCCGAGCAGCAGTGTCTTGCCGTCGTTTGCTACCCGCCCCGGCTTTGGCAGCCCCACGCCGTCCTTTCGCCCCTTTGACCGACGCTTCCAATCCCGGATAGCATCCTTCAACACGCTCAGTCCTCGCCCATCGTCTCCTGCATACGTACCGAATCACAGCCGCCATGCCTCTTACAACTCCAACTTTCCGTCAGATCAGCCTGATACGGACACCCCGTCCCCCCCATGGGAGGTTGTACGGTGGACAAGACTGAAGAAGCTCAACAGCTATGCGTTCTCGGAATCAGGGAGGCGTAATTTCGGATCTCCTACGTGTCTTGCCGTGTCCGCCTCGATCATCTTGGGAACATCCAAAGGCATAATCTTAATATTTGATTATAATCAAAATCTCAAAACCATCATTGGCCCTGGAACCAAAGGTATGTACATATAAGCGGGTGCGAGATGTAAGTGTGCCAAGCTGATGTTGGTAGCCATTGAATCTGGGCCCATCACTGCCCTTGCTATCTCGGCGGATCATGCCGTAATAGCTGGCGGCCATGCGAGCGGCAACATCTTCACCTGGGACACAGGACGACCATCGCGGCCTTTCCTCACAATTTCACATCTGGATGGGGCACAGGTCCAAAACAGGACTGTCGATGGCCACATGCCTGATGCATCTGTCGTCCATCTAGGGTTTTTGGGGACACGCCACACGGCTCTTGTGTCCGCGGACAACCATGGCATGGCATTTTCCCATCTTGCTACTAGGGGTACTGGGCCACTGGGGAGAACGGTCAAGACGACAAGGATACTGGGCCGGTATCCCAATGCGCCCATGCAACCCGGCAAAACGATCAAGCCCAGCGCTGTCCTCGCCTTTGCGCCTCTGCCGCTGGGAAACATTGAGCGAGAGACTGACAAGATGGGACTGACAGCCATGCTGACCCCTTATTTGCTGGTCATTGTGTCGACGACTCCGGTGGCCCAGACGCAACACAAATCAGCACGCCCGAAGGATGTCCCGGCCCATAGCGCCATGACAGGCTGTCTGGCGTGGTTTCCCGCTGTGAGCCTCAAGGTTGCGGACGCGCACACCGGTTCGACCATCTCCAAAGCGAAACTGGCGTACTGTTGGTCTAATGTGCTGACGGTGCTTGACGTGGACGAGATCCCCGGAGATGATAGTGACCCCCCGTCGCTGAGATTCAAGGCTCGGAGTAGATGGAAATGTGAGGAGGCTATTGTCGCGGTACAGTGGCTCAGCCGTTCTGTGCTGACGGTATTGACTATTTCCCAAAGACTCATCGTTCTAGAGGACAGAACGATGCGCATGACGGAAGCCTTCGACCTCTTGGAGAGATACATCTACCACACTGACCTTTTCTCTCATCAGCTGCATAGCCTTGTGGAATATCTAGACGAGAATGACGTCTCGATGCATGGGGTGGTAGCCGACGCGTTTTACATGAGCTTCAAGTCATACAAAGGGAGAATGTTCCTCTTGGGCTTCAACGATGTGTCGATAGGGGCATTGTCGAATTGGGCAGATCGACTGATCGCCACGATGGAGCATGGTGACTACATAGGGGCCATCCAGCTGGCTACATCATACTACACCGGTGACGCCAATAAACTGACAGTCGGCCTCCCTGACGACACTGAGCAGAGGCACAACATGGTTCGCGACAAGATCATGGAGATCACTAGTGCCTCCTTGAAATACGCTTTTGCGCAAAGACAGAAGAGCAGGGCGTCAGTGGACGATGACCATTTGAAGCAGCTTGCCGAAACTTGCTTTGTGGCCTGCCAGACTGTCGGCAACACCGATTATCTGTTTGAGGAACTGTATGAATGGTACAGCGAGGCCGACGCCGAGGGCATCTTCCTTGAGACCCTTGAACCTTACATCCTCGATCAGAGCATTCGAATCGTTCCGCCCACGGTGGTCAAGGATATGGTCAGCTACTATGTCACCAAGGGCTGGGAGAGCAGGCTCGAAGAGCTCATCTGCCACATGGAGACGGCTACTCTGGACTTGGATCAGCTCACAATCCTCTGCAAGCAGCACAACTTGTATGATGCGCTTACCTACGTCTGGAACCAAGCTCTCCAAGACTACATCACTCCAATGATTGACCTGCTCAGTCTCCTGGTTCCGCTGATGTCCAATGGAAGCTCCGTTGCTGGTAACACAAGCGACGATTATTACGGTGTCAACGCCGTCAAGATATTCCCCTACCTCTCCTACATCCTGACGGGGCGAGTCTACCCGAGTGGCGAAACTCTGGACGAGGAAACGGCCACCAAGGCCAAAGCCGAGATTTATTGGTTTTTCTTTTGTGGAAAGACGATTTCGTGGCCCAAGGGCAGTGGCAGAGCGTTTCTTACCAGGGCTGATGGAGGACCTGAGCCGGCATACCCCTATTTGCGGATGATTCTTAAATTCGATGCCCCTAGTTTCCTCAGCGCTCTTAACGAAGCTTTTGAAGATTCATTTCTGAATGACTCTTCAGATAACCGTCCGAATGGCACTGGCTCTAGAGCGGACACGCCCGAAGAGCAAATCTTTGGCATGACTATCAACCGACAATACATTCTGTCCATCTTGTTGGATGTGATGAATCCGTCAGAATTCGCACCGGCAGACACAATCTATCTCGACATGTTCATCGCCCGCAATCTTCCCAAATTCCCCCAGTATCTGCTGTTCCCTGGCTCAACCTTGTCAAACGTCCTCACAGGGCTCTGCAATTACCCTGGCCCCGATCTTGCCGAGGATGCGCAGCTGAGTGCTGAATACCTGCTGTCCATCTATCATCCATCGGATATGCCTGCGTTGATGCCGTTGTTCAAGCGAGCAGGTTTCTATCGGATTCTGAAACGGATATACAAGGCTGATAAACAGTACGGAAAGCTTGTGGAAACGTTCTTCGAAGACTCGGAAGATCAGGATTCGGTGTTTGAATGTATTGCAGAGTGCCTGCGACCACAAAGCGGGCTAAATCGGCGACAGGAACAGGAAGTCTTGGCCGTTATCGAAAGGCACGCCAGAGACTTGCTTGAGCTGAGTCCTGAACGCACGGCGTCAACTCTCGCTATACAGAGAACCGAACTGCACCAGCACATCCTTGGCTCCGCGTATGATGCTCCTGAGCTGCAGCATGCCTACCTGAAGACATTGCTTGAGCCGGAGGATCCGTTGGCGGATGGGCAGCACACACACGACCGCCTTCTCGTTGAGCAATACGTGCGGCTGATGTGCAAATTTGACGCGCAACACGTGTCAAGCTACATCGGGCTCGTCCAGTCCGTGGATCTCCGACTGGACAGCTTGCTGCCTACAATGGAGGAAACAGGCGTGGTGGATGCCGCTGTCGTACTCATGGCCAACGCTGGACAAGTCACTGACGCTATGGATCGACTGGTCCAGCACCTGGGCACGCTTGAATCCGCCATGGACGGCCTCTTGCGCTCATCTGATACACACGACGGGGAAGAAGGAGCAGACAGCGCCTCGCTTTCGCTAGAACCATCAGTTGACGCTCTCCTCGAAAGCCTGCAGAATTATGTCCATGTCGGGATATGGCTATGCCAGGAGCAAACCAAATCTACAAGGAGAGTTAGCGTGGTGTCAAAGAATAAGACTTCCCAGGAGAGCCTCTCCACGGATGAAAGTCTCTGGCTGAGTCTCATCGGTGCCTGTGTACAGGTCACACAGAATCTGTCACCACTCCTACACGCGGCGGCGAAGGAGCATTTGCTTGATGAAGAGAAGCTTCTAGCGAAGCTGCGATCGCTTGTGCAGCATACTTTTACCTCACTTCTTGTCTCCACTTCAAGCCAGGCTTCCGTTCAAGCAAACGGCTCGCTGAGTCCCAAAGCTTTGGCAAGCCCGGGGTCTAATCTCTCTTTCCTACGGGTACTGAGAGCGTTTCTGACAAACGCAGCGGCGGCGTCACCGAGCTTGGCAGATCTTCGCCACGTGCTTGCGTCCATATTTTCGGCTTATGCATACGAGGAGTCGATTCTTCGTCTGTCGAACCGCCTCCTGGAACGAAGCCTGTTTACAAGCGTCAACGCATCCGTTGAACTTCGACAACGTGGATGGAGACCGCGCGGTTCTACATGCGAGGCCTGTGGCAAAAGGGTCTGGGGCCCAGGCCTTGCCGGCGCTACGGTTTTTGAGGCTTGGGAAGACAAGCAAGCCGCTGAAGAGATGGCCCGAAAGCAGAGGCAGATCCAAGCTGCGGAGCGGGCCAAGGGCCATGCCAGAGTGTCGGATCGCCGGAGCAAGGGCAAGAGTCTGGATACGCGGCCATCGAGCATGCTGATTGAGCAACTCGCTGGAAAGTCCAACAAAGACCAGGTTCTGGGGCCGCTGGTCGTACTGGCCTGTCGACACATTTATCACCAGACCTGCCTGGATGCGCTGCAGGAGAAGCAGGAGAACGGCGTCTTGCCTCGAGAACTCGATTACAAGTGCCCTATTGATGGATGAATTCATGGACACGAATGATGACATGAGGTTGTTTTCTGCAATGTTTTGATATACAGGGTGTTACACAGCAGCGAGCAAAGATATTTGGTGATGTTGCTTGTTTTTGTAATCATGGCGAATTGAGAGGGCAGGTCATAATCTTGGGCATATCTTGGAATAGACAAGAGAAATGAAGCTGACGAACTACTCATCTATATTCTCGATAATTTGCTACGAGGCATATGATGTCTGAATGTGAAGGTGCTTTGTGTTTGGTAGGTCGGCGGGTTAGCTTTTCCCGTATGCCGAATCCCGTGATCATGCCGCAATAGCATGTACAGCAATTCGAACCTCGACCAATTCCGTCCCCTGCCTTTGCAACTTACAACACCACGGCATAAGGCGCCACCACCTTTCCCCTCGACTTGAACCGCCATGTCTGGCACCGACGAGGACGGATTCGACGGCGAGTACGTCTCCGACAACCAATCCTCGGGCTCCTCAGACCAGGAATCGCCGCCGCTGCCGCTCTCGCAGAACTACTTCGCGCCGCCCTTCTACGGCCGCCCGCCCACGCCTCTGCCCCCGTCTCCGTCCCTGACGTCGCTGCTGCGGCCGTCGCGCCCGACGACGCCCGATGCCTCGCGCCCGTGCCGCGGACGGCGCCCAAGGTGCCGACGTACGAGTACTACGGCTTCGTGCTGTACCTGTTCAGCAGCCTCAGCTTCCTCATCTACCTGCTGTGGAGCTACCTCCCGTCGCCGTTCCTGCACGCGCTGGGCATCTACTACTACCCGGACCGGTGGTGGGCGCTCGCGGTGCCGGCGTTCCTGGTGATGACGCTGGTGTACATTTACGTGGCGCTGGCGGCGTACAACCTGGAGATCCTGACGGTGCCGCTCAACAGCGTGGAGACGATTGTGGACGGGGCGGGCAAGCTGGCGGTGATTGACTCCAAGGGGAGGCTCAAGGGGAGCAGCAAGCGGGAGAAGAAGTGCGACGCCAACGGGAGGCTGAGGTGGAGGGAGATTTGGAACGAGGGGACGGACGCGGTGCTGGACATTCCGCTGGCGGGGGTCTGCGAGGTGCTCTACGGGGAGGGGAGGGAGGTGTCTGATGGGGAGGAGGGGCTTTGAGGATGATGAGATTGGATCTTGTGTGGTTATGGCGTTTCTTTTGGCAGGCAAGCGAGCAATGTTTGGAGATATGAGGATATAGACGATACCCCATGTGTTGTGATCACTTCGGAAGAAGAGGGAGGATGTTCCGGTATTCGCTAAATAGAGAACCTACAGTTGGAAGATACCTTCAAATTGTCTCTTCGAATACGAATCAATTGTCCGAACAATCACGATCATCCCAGCAGATTGATTGTAATGGTTCGTCATTCATGCTGACACTCAATGAGTTTAGCGCCTAGTGGCCGCTGTTCATGGAGGCACCCCACTGTAGCCTTGCAGCAGGAAAGAAAAAAAAGTTGCACGGCTGAGCTACAAAATTTCCACATACAAGTCCAGCCTCACCCAAAACTTGCACATCCAATGCTTCGTTAAAACCAGGCGCAACTTACGACAATCCCCCTCCCCTTTGGTCTCATTTGTTTCAATCTTTCGCCATGGATATCCTCAAAGTGCTCTCGCGGGGCACGAAAAAGAGCGGCAAATCGTCGCTCGCAGGCGGCAGCGCCGTGGGCAAACTGCCCTCCTCCGGGACAAAGCCCAACCCCCAGCTCTTCCACGACGAGGTCCGCGGCCACAAGCGGAAGCGCGACGCCCAGGAGTCCGAGGGCAGCGGCAAGATCCCCGAAGAGCTGCCCGAGGTCGACTTCTTTGCGCCCAAGAAGGATGCCGCTGCCGAGGCGAGGCCTAACAAGGCCGCACTATCGAACAAGAACAAGGACAAGCGAGACTCGAGTCCGGCGGCGGAAGCGGCCAGGCTACTGAGCCCGGAGGAGTGTCGCCAGCTGCTGCGGTCGCATCGCCTCAAGGTCACGCTGCTGTACAAGCGCGAGGAGCAGAACAAGGTGAAGAAGTCGAAGAAGAAGAAGGCCGCCGCTGCCGCCGTCGTCGAGACCAAAAAGGACCACAAGAAGCCGCCGCAGCTGACGCCGCAGCCGCTCGAGTCGTTTGGCCAGCTGCGGAGCACGTACAGTCTGTCTCGCAGGGTGGCCGAGAACCTGTCGTACCAGGGCTATCGGGTGCCGACGGAGGTGCAGATGGGGAGCATGCCGTTGCTGATTCGGCCCGAGCTGGCGCTGAAGGGGGAGGAAGGGCTGGAGAGGGGGGTGGATCTGCTGGCGGTTGCGCCGACGGGGAGTGGAAAGACGATTAGCTTCTTGGTTCCGACGATTAACAACATAATGAGGCGGAGGGCGGAGGAGAAGCTGCATGGGATTCACGAGCTGGAGGCCATCGTTATTGTGCCGACTCGAGAGCTGGCCTATCAGATTGTCAGCGTTGGCAACCAGCTGGTCAAGGGAACGGGCATCAAGGTGCTCGGCATGAGGAAGGGAATGACCCTTGCTGCCGAGAGCCAAGATATTGGAGAAGACAGCTCGGACGAGGAGGAGGAAGAGAAAGCGGAAGAGTCTGACGAAGAGGAAGACGAACAGGAGGAAAAGGACGGAAAGCCAAAAGCGGTGGCAAAGGTCGACATCTTGATAACGACGCCTCTTCTCTTACTCAACTTTTTAACATCCGGATCAACAAGCACGCAAAAGGTCTTGCCCACCGTCCGCGATCTCATACTGGACGAAGCCGATGTGCTTCTCGACCCCCTGTTCCGCGAACAAACGCTCGGCATCTGGTCCGCCTGCAGCAACCCAGACCTGAGGCTCTCGTTCTGGTCCGCGACGATGGGCTCCAACATCGAGACTCTCGTTACCGAAAGGCTGACCTCGCGGGCCGAGTCCCTGGGCATCCCCCAAAGGCCGCTGGTGCGGTTGGTCGTCGGCCTCAAGGACACGGCCGTGCCAAACATTGTCCACCGACTGATTTACACCGCGAGCGAGCAAGGAAAGCTGCTTGCCCTGCGGCAGCTCTTGCGGCCCACCTCGAGCATCGACTCGGGTCCGCCACTGCGGCCGCCGTTCCTCGTCTTTACGCAGACGATCGAGAGAGCCGCTGCCCTGCAAGAGGAGCTCAAGTACGATATCCCGCTCGAGGCCGGTGGCTCGTCCAGGATAGCTGCTCTTCACAGCGGCCTTCCCGACGCAGCCCGAGCAGCCATCATGCGCAAGTTTCGCGCGGGAGAGATTTGGGTTCTCATCACGACTGACGTCCTCGCCCGCGGCGTGGACTTTGCCGGCGTCAATGGAGTCTTGAACTACGACGTGCCTGGATCGAGCGCTGCGTACGTGCACCGCGCTGGAAGAACGGGGCGAGCTGGCCGAGAGGGCGGCATAGCGGTCACCTTCTACACCAAGGAGGACATACCCTTTGTCAAGACCGTTGCCAACGTCATCGCCGCGAGCGAAAGGCAGGCCGGCAAGACGGAGGACGAGGCCGGGGTGCAGAAGTGGCTGCTCGATGCCCTGCCGAACGTGGGCAAGGAGGACAGGAAGAAGCTCAAGGAGAGGGGCGTCGAGTCGAGGCGGAGCGGACACAAGGCTGTGATTACGTCCAGGAGCGGGTACGAGCGGCGGAAGGAGCATAATCGGAAGGGGGCTATCGAGGGGAGCAAGAAGAGGAAGATGGAGGCTGTTGGGGGTGGTGGTGGTGGTGGGGATGATGGCGAGGATGGTGGTCGTAAGGAGGGTGAATGGGGTGGCTTTGACGATTAAGTTATGATATCCCTATCTGGTAAGAGTAGAAACAAAGGAGCTGTGTATATCAAATTGCATGGTGTGGTGCTCTGAAGAATACACTTGGCTGAATCCAAAACCCTCAAGGCGTGTTATACACTCATAACGTGATCTTATATCACTTTTGCATATCACACAATACAAGATCATTTATCATCGTATTCATACATGTCATCTACCTAGTGTACAAGCAGTAATTCCTAATCTATCCATGTGGGAATCATTTGCGTCTATTTCTCACCACCCTTCTCATCAGCCGACAATCCAACCACATTCCGCACCGTGCCAAAGCTCAAACAGTCGCTGATGCGATTGGCCCCCGAAAAGAGCATCACCAGACGCTCGACGCCGCATCCCCAGCCGCCGGTGGGGGGAAGGCCGTAGTCCAGGGCCTTGACGTAGCTCTGGTCCAGCGGCGAGGCTTCCCACTCGTCCTCTTCTTCCTCGACGACTTCGGCTGGCAGCTCTGCGGTGTTGTTGGCCACCGGCTCGGCGAACCCGACGGTGCCGTCCGGCTTGTTGACGAGGCTGCGGTGGACGGCGAGCTTCCGCTTCTGCTCCTCCGGGTTGTTCTCCTCCTCGTACATGTTGGCGAGCTCTCGGCCGCCGATGAAGAGCTCCGCGCGGGCGGACACGAGCTGGTACGTCTTTGGGCAGAGGAAGCTCTTTGCCAGGGGCGACATGCAGGCGGGGTGGTGCGTGATCAGGATCGGTTCGGTGAAGGACATGGGCTCCAGATACGTCGCGGCGAGCCGGTCGAGGAGCTTCGGCAGAGACGTGGGCACCTCTCCGGGCACCTCGATCCCTGCGAGCTTCAGCACGGCGAGGAGCTCGGCGAGGGCGCCGTCTTCCACGGTGAGCTTCGGCAGGCGGATCCCGATGGCTTCCTCCAGCGCGGGGATGAACTCCACCTGCTTGAAGGGCCGGACGAACTTGCTGAGGTCGATGGGCGGTAGAGTGGTGAGCTCGGTGGAGATCAGCTCCTGAGAGCGCTTTGCAAGGCTGTATATCAGCTCCTCCGTCTCCTTGATGAGGTCGGGGAGGTTCGTGTAGGCGCTGTAGAATTCGCACATTGTGAACTCGGGGTTGTGCGTGGCATCGATGCCCTCGTTTCGGAAGGCCGGCCCCATCTCAAAGACCTTGTCTACGCCGCCGACCACGAGGCGCTTCAGCCATAGTTCGGGCGCGATGCGAAGGGCCAGATCTTTGCCCCGAAACTCCGTGGCTCGCGTCACAAACGGTCGCGCAACTGCACCGCCGGCGTTCTCGGCAAGGATGGGTGTCTGGAATTCGAGGAAGCGCTTGGAGTGGAAATGGTCGCGGATCTGCTTCATGATCTCGGATCGCAGTCTCAAGACATCGACGACATCGCGGTTCACCAGCATATCGACGTGGCGCTCGTGCATCTTCGTCTTGGGATCCGTGAGCTTTTCAGGGATCTGCTCCATGGATGGGGACAGGAGCTCAGGCAACTCTCGGGCCTCCAGGGACAGCTGCCCCGTGCTTGTACGAGTGGCATATCCAGTGACGGCTACCAGTCAATTAGCCTCTGGAGAGACAGCAGCAGGAGAAGAAGAAGAAGGAGCACAATGGGCCTACATATATGGTCTCCAACTTGTATCAGGTTCTTAAGAAGGCGGAATTTATGAACACGCGACTCTTGCTCTGCAGCAACTTTCTTCTTGTTGATCATGATTTGGACTTTTTGAAACTCGTTGGTGATGTCGAGGAAGATGAGGGATCCCACGACGCGCTTCGATCGAATCCGCCCAGACAAGGTGACGGGCTCGCTCGAAAGCTCATTTTGAGATTCCTCCAGAAACTCGGGGACGCTCTTCCTAATAGACGACGATTCTAAACGAGGATAAGCCTCGGGGTATAGCGGATCCTCGCTCTGCTGGTCCTCTTGCAGCTGTTCCCGGCGGTGCTTCTTGAACGGCGAGACGTCGTCCAGCTCCTCCTGCTCCTCCTTGACAAACCGTGACGACTCGTTGATCCGAACGTCGGGCTTGCTGGAAAGAGCTCGAGCCAACTGTCTACTAGGAGAAGTTGGCCTCCATGATGTGTGTATAGGCGCAGCTCTTTGGATGTAAGACCTTGAGCCGACACTCAACGCAGCAGACTGGCGCGCCAGTCTTAAGCAGCTGGCAGACCTCATCTCTTCTAACCAGCGCAATTAGCTTCTGCCGTGACGCAGTCGAAGAAAAAGAAAGATGTGGTAGTTGAGAGGATCAGAATATAGCAAGTTATAATCTCCAACAGCCCGAGAGCCGTTTCAATCGCAGCGGTTCTGAAGCGAGATTGCAGTTCATCATTGTGGTGGTTGGGGAAGAAGAAGAGAAGAGAGAGAATTTACAAGGCAGATCAAGACTTACACACATAGCGACGGCACCGCAATATGTTGCCTCACATGCAATCAATTGCCGGTGCTCATCCAGCAAACTCGACTCCAGACAGAGAAGAAGAAGAAGAAGAAGCTTTGCAGGATGCAAATTTGCGTCTTGTCCGCAAGAATGTGGGCGTAATTTATTTCTCGACTATTTTTTCCCCCCCAGGCGCCCCGTGATTGGAATCACCCCGCCAAATGCATGCAGCGCAACTGGCTGCAGCTCAAACTCCAGACGCCAACAAGGCTGAAATTTATTCCGACGCGCCATTCCTCTTGTAAACCTCCAACCTCCCTCGTAGGCGCGATCTCTCAACCACCTTGAAAGCCGACAGCTTGGGAGCTCTTCTGCGCGAATCGCAACCAATTGGCCGCCAACACCACAGAGTCGCAATCATGGCCCAGCAGCCTTTGCCCACGTCGGCGCAGCCAACCGACATTTACGGCGGAGGTGCGTCTCGTCACTGCTTTCTGACCTCTATCATAGGTCATGGAGTAAAGCTAACGAATGTTGTCCTGGGAAAACAGATGAAGTCTCCGCCCTCGTTCTCGATCCCGGCTACTGCAACACGCGCGCGGGCTACGCCGGCGAAGACGTCCCCAAATCCATCCTGCCGTCCTTCTACGGCCACATCACCAGCGACCCTCCGCGAGACCTGTTTGGCGATGAGTGCATCATCCCGCGCGGCGACTTCGAGGTCCGCAACTACATGAACAAGGACAGCGTCGTGGAGGACTGGGACGTTGCGGCCAAGCTCTGGGAGTTTATGCTGGTTAAGCGCCTGCAGCCCGAGCGACAGACGCATCCGTCCAAGAATGGACTCAACGACGACATCAAGGAGCAGGATGGCGAGGGAGACGTCGCCATGGAGGAGGTGGAGGGTCTGGAAAAGCCCCTGGAGGAATTCCCCTTGTTGATGTCAGAAGCTCCCTGGAACTCGCCCAAGGCGCGTGAAAAGGCCATTGAGCTGAGCATGGAGAGCTGGGGAACACCCGCCTTCTGGTTGAGCCGGACGCCCGTTCTGGCCTCTTTCGCGGCCGGCAAGGCCACTGCTCTCGTCATTGATGTCGGCGGCGCAAACACCTCCGTCACAGCCATTCACGACGGCATGGTTCTCAAGCGATCTATCCAGCGATCACCCGCCGGCGGCCTGTGGCTGTCGTCGCAGATCCGCAAGATGTGGGAGACGTCCGAGCCCAAGGTCGACCTGGTGCCGACGTTCATGGTGGAGAACAAGACGCCTGTGGATGCCCTCGCCCCTCCACAAGCACGACTACGCGAATTTCCCTACAAGATCCACGACTCCTTCCGGGCCTTTGAAGAGGAGCGGGTGCTGACCGAGTTCAAAGAGTCCGTCGTCGAGGTTTGGCGGGGCCCTGGACGATACGGCGCCGCTGGAAACGAGGAGTACATCAAGTCACAGCCCGGGCGCGTCTTCGAGATGCCCGACGGCTACAACCAGATGTGGCGCGAGCAGCGGTTCAAGGTAGCAGAGGGCATGTGGGACGAAAACGCTGGTTACCCTCTTCCCGAGGAGGAGCGTCTCACAAAGGCGCAGACCATTCCTGAGCTGATCCGTTCTGCGCTCAACGCCGTCGACGTTGATCTTCGGGGCAACCTTTTGGGCAATGTCGTCGTCACCGGCAGCACGAGCTTGATCAACGGCTTCAACGACCGATTAAACAACGAGCTGACGGCCATGTATCCCGGATTGAAGATCAAGATCCACGCCGCGGGCTTGTCAAGCGAGCGCAGATTCGGCGCCTGGATCGGCGGCAGCATCTTGGCCAGCCTGGGTACCTTCCACCAGATGTGGATATCCAAGAAGGAGTACGAGGAAAACGGAGCTGGCATTGTGGAGAAGCGATGCAAATAGAAGCATCTCTTGGAATTCCTAATCTTGGGGGACTATGTTTCGGGTGGAGGATATTGGCGTACGGAGTTGGACGAGAGATGTTAAATGCTATGTTAAACTATTCCGAGAGCAGGAGGGCACTGCACACTCAAAAGACTCGATCAGACATTCGAGGCATGCATGAATCTTTAATTCAATCTACTCTGCAACACATGGCACATGATCGCGATGAACATATGTCCTTTGAATCAACCGCTTTCCCATGCTAACCGGCAAAGCTGACCCTGACCTCAACCTCGTCCTTGAATCCAGCCTCCAGCTTCAGATCCTTCCAGGCCGTCTCAATGTCGATTTCGAGCACACGAGGGTCCTGCTTTGAGAAACGCACGGTCTCCAAAGGAACTGCCACGCCCTGGAGCATCACCATCAAGTTCTCCTTGATGGACAGTTCAGTCAACGCAGAAATGTAGACACCTAAGAGGAAGTCATTAGCACAACGCTCCTCGAGATGCGAGACACAGTTTCCTTCACTTACCGACAACGCCCAAAGCCTTCAACTTGACGCCGACAGACACCCTTCCGTTGTCCTTCACTTCAATGTCGCTGCTTATAAGCGCCACGCTTCCCGTCATCTTGTCAGTCAGCCCCAGGCTCGCCACCCAGATGTCTCCGTGATTACCGCCCTTGAGAGGGATGGCTGGGAAGGCTGTAAAGATTTCGTATCCTCGAACGTCCAAGGATCCGGCAATGAGCGAGGTTGCGTCTTCGGGCTTCATGGGCGCGGATGTCTTGCCCGTGACGTGGGCTCGTACGACGTACTGCTGAGACGGCACGGTGCCCGGGAAGCAGGAAAGGGGGATGAGTTCGGTGAGGGGACGCGCTGAGATGTTGAAGATGGCTACGATTGGTGTGCCAATCTCTGCTGGTCCTATCGAAACAAGTCAACACCACGAATTTCTGGCTGTTAAAAGAGCATTATCACCAACCGTTATAGCTTCCCACCTTGAGGAGCAGGTCATCATCGTAGCCGATATACGGGAAGATGGCCCTTCCCAAGCTGTTTGGCCTGAAGATGACAGTCTTTCTCTTGGGAGTCACACCCGTCATTTGCTTGATCAGGTCCATGTTGTGCTCCCCGGGAACATCCGTGATGTAAATCGGCCCGCCACTGACACACCTCGCCGCAGCGTGGAAACCGGAATAATCATGCACCGTCTGGAACATGTCCCAGTCGGGAAGAACGTTCAGATACTCCATGAAGATGCTGTTGTACGCATTCGTCCACACATGCCAGGGATGCGATGAGGGGATATGGGGGAAGAAGTCGTCCGAGTTGCGGACGAGGAAGGGAGGCCGGCCCGGCAGCATCTGCGAGTTGAAGAGCGCCTGCGGGATCTGCGACATGCACGATATGGTCTTGACGCTGAAGTAGCGGAGGGAGGCGAGGCTCCAGGCGTCCAGATATGTGTTGATGAGCTCGCGCCGGACGGAGGCGCTCTTCCACATGTCGATCATGAATTGGGCATCCGTCTTGACGCCGTCGACGTCGGAGTCGGCGAGGAAGTAATAGAAGTCGTCGTAGAACTTCTCAACGTCTTCTTTGGCAATCACTGTCATTTTTCCCCCGAGGGGCAGGTTGCGCCGCTTGGCCTCCTCGCGCTCAACTTCGATCGTCTTATACTTCTTTGCAAGCTTTCCGTCGGGCGAGATGCCGCCCCAGTAGCCTAGCAGGGCATGCCAGACGGCAACATGTAGGATGTCTTTATTCTTTTGGCGCACTTTCTGGATGGTTGATTTGAGGCCGTTGGGAAACGCTTCCGGCTCGGCTTCGAAATCGAGCCAGCCGTACTGGAACTGGCTCTCTCCTTTGTAGTCGATTGACTGCCAGTTATCGTCAATGATCAGAGAGGTGATGCCAATGTTGTGCTCTTTCAGTTTGTCGATTGCGTCAAGAATCTTTTGCTCAGTCAGCCTTTGGCCAAGGGCATTCCATGTACCTAGAGGCTATCAGCGGACAAGACCCGAATAGAGGGGGGGAGAACATGAGTAGTATACTGACAGTATCCGAGTCCGTCGTACCATTCATCAAGCCACTCTGGTCGTACTGCATCAGAAAGAGCCTTCAACTCGGCTTCCAGAGCTTCATGCTTGCCCCGAGCCTTCTGAACAAGCGATCTCGCGTGATACATGACGGCGGCAACGGCCTTTTCAAAGTCATTTCCTTCGGACACGAGGATAACGCACTCCTCATCCGAGACGGAGTCGTTCCGAACGGTTACGGCAATGGCGCCGTCGGACGTGCTTTGAAAGACGGGCACTGTATCGTTGATGCCAGAGACAGCCAGCAGAACCATGTTTCTGCCTTGTGGGCTTTGGAAAGCCAACAGTATTGCGTCCTTGTCGAGCGAGAAGTCTGTCCTTCCATGGCGCGGTGCTAGCCAAGGGGACCACAGCCGGACAATGGCAAACCATCTGAGAATTCATCATCAGATTACAATGTGTAATTTGACAGGAGGAAAGAGATGAATGAGTGGAAGTTCTCAGAAGAGGACGAGACGGGCTGTAGCTACTGACCTCAAGAACGAGCCCCAAGGCTTCCCGAGGTGGTGAAAAGTGTATGAAGAGTTATCGTCCGATGAAGGAGGCACGGTAAGTTGAAGAGACCACAGTTGGGTTTTTGGAGCTTGGCTCATGCGAGACTTGACTGTCCATGAAGGAGAAAGCCCGGTAATCAGGTCGTTTAAATCGTCAGACTCAGAGGGGGCGGGGAGGAGCACGATGTGGCCGTCTTCCAGTCCCTGCTCGTCACGGATCCATCTCCACGGCTCATCAACGCTATGGCGGAATTTGATAGTGAATCGTAGTGAATGCTTGAACGATACTTTTGTGGCAAAGTACATTCTCGAGACGGCTTTCGAGTCTGCATGAAGGACCTGAGGTCCCTCGCTGGACTTGATCCTGGGTACTTCATGCTCGGTCCAGTCTTGGCCGTCAAGGGAGTGCCATAGCGCAATTTCCCAGCTCTCCTTGGCTCGAAAAGTTGGTACCTCCAGCAAAGCGGTGAAAGAAACACCGTCAGGGCTTTTGACAGGTGTCACTTGGCTCAGGGGAGGGTAGCTTTGGATCAGGGCGTTCATGCTTTCGGGCACAGGAGCTGGCTCGGGCTTTTGCTTTGATATGTAAAGCGCTTTGAAGTCGTCTGCAAAGTCGTAGGTTTTGGGCGCCGCCATTGGAATTCTCTGAACAATGATGGACGGTTAGTTGGTCAGTTGCGGTCGAGGTTGGTTATGACGAGCACAAGTTGCAGAGACGTAGAGTATGGAGGGGCAAGAGGGTGATATCTAGTAGGAGACGGCAGACATAATACGTTCATCATACATGTTTCACAGACAAGAGGTGTGTTGCAGTTCATATATGTCAAGTTAGATGCGAGAGGGTAACAGATATATGAACCACTCACGAATGAAAGATGGGCTTCCCCGCAAGGAGGGGGCTGTATATTGTATGGAGGGGTAGGTAGAGAGGTTGAAGTTACAAAGAAAAAGATGTGCGGCTTCTCATTGGATACGATGTAAGATGAAGAGTAGTAGTTGAACGTGGAAGGAATTCAGATGATCTTCACTCCGGGTTGATGTATTGTTATGGCATTAAGGCAACTATCGTGCCTTTAGGTAGCAACACGTCAAGAGTGATCAACGGTGAGAGGTATGTAAGCCTGTCCACATGCAGATAGCGCATCTAGTCATGTTCTCTGTAGCAGTGATGGACCTGAATAGCCAAAGGCTGCACTTTACACAAGATCGATTATAAGAGGTTGATTATGATGAAATGGCTACTGCCTCATGTCCTATTGTCGATATTATCGTCATTTGCTCCCAATTATACGCTACTACTTATGAGCAATATCACGGTGGAGATGGCTCGGATGATGAGGTTAGTAAATCCGCGCCTCTGATTGGACCACCGCCTTTTCGTCGTCGGGCGTCGGAGCTGGTCGGAATGACTAAGCAGTCCCGCAGCCTCGAAACTAAGGCCACAACCCGCTTCAGCAAAGCTTCTTGCCGAGCAGCGTGGAAAGATTTCATCAAACCGCTCAATTGACCATCAATCGCCCAAACCTCCGCCATGGCGTCCCGCAGATTAGCTTTGAACCTGTCGCAAGGCCTGCGAGCCCGTTCCGGCCTGTCAGGACTGCGCCGGGGCTTTGCTACGCCCTCCACCGTGGGCAAGACGCAGACGACGACGCTCAAGAACGGCCTGACTGTGAGCGCCGGCCTCGACGGCCAATTGGCCTGTGGACGACTCTCTTGCTGACCGACGGACTTGCAGGTTGCCACTGAATACTCACCATGGGCCCAGACGTCGACCGTCGGCATGTGGATCGACGCCGGCTCCCGTGCTGAGACCAACGAGACCAACGGCACTGCCCACTTCCTCGAGCACCTGGCCTTCAAGGTGGGATATCCCGGTATGGCATCATGAGAGGGCCGGCAAAGGCTGACAGCTGCTTCCAGGGCACCGCGAAGCGATCACAGCACCAATTGGAACTCGAGATCGAGAACATGGGTGGCCACCTCAACGCCTACACCTCGGTTCGTCTGAATCCTCCCTCTTCAAGTCGCAATGGGCGCATGGAAGGAAAAAGAGATGCGAGGGAAAAACTCATCCCACTAACACGGCCCTCAGCGCGAGAACACCGTCTACTTCGCCAAGGCCTTCAACTCCGACATCCCCCAGACCGTCGACATCCTGGCCGATATCCTGCAGAACTCCAAGCTCGAGCAGTCCGCCATCGAGCGCGAGCGCGACGTCATTCTCCGAGAGTCCGAGGAGGTCGAGAAGCAGGTTGAGGAGGTCGTCTTCGACCACCTGCACGCCACTGCTTTCCAGCACCAGCCCCTCGGCCGCACCATTCTCGGCCCCCGCCAGAACATCCGTGACATCACCCGCACCGAGCTCGTCAACTACATCAAGAACAACTACACTGCCGACCGCATGGTTCTCGCCGCTGCCGGTGGCGTCCCCCACGAGCAGCTGGTCGAGCTCGCCGAGAAGCACTTCTCCGGCCTTGCCAGCCACGGACCCGAGACCGAGGCCTACATCCAGTCCAAGCAGAAGGCCGACTTTATTGGCTCTGATGTCCGTGTCCGCGACGACACCATGCCCACTGCCAACGTCGCCATTGCCGTTGAGGGTGTCAGCTGGAACTCTGAGGACTACTACACTGCTCTCGTCACTCAGGCCATTGTTGGCAACTACGACAAGGCCATGGGCAACGCTCCTCACCAGGGCAGCAAGCTGAGCGGTTACGTCCACAAGCACGAGCTGGCCAACAGCTTCATGAGCTTTTCGACCAGCTACAGCGACACTGGGTACGTATAGATGGCGGCGTGTAACAGGATTTGATTTGAAGATCGGAAGCTAACTGTTTTTGTAGTCTGTGGGGTATCTACCTCGTCACTGACAACGCCACCCGTCTCGACGACCTCGTCCACTTTGCTATCCGCGAGTGGATGCGTCTCTGCACCAACGTCAGCGAAGCCGAGGTCGAGCGCGCCAAGGCCCAGCTGAAGGCCTCCATCCTGCTGTCCCTGGACGGCACCACCGCCGTTGCCGAGGACATTGGCCGCCAGCTCATCACCACCGGCCGCCGCGCCAGCCCCGGCGAGATTGAGCGCAAGATCGATGCCATCACCGACAAGGATGTCACCGACTTCGCTAACCGATACCTCTGGGACAAGGACATCGCCATCAGCGCTGTTGGCAAGATCGAGGCTCTGTTCGACTACCAGCGACTGCGGAACACCATGAAGCCCAAGTTCTAAGGGTGGGGAGAGGATACGAAGCGAAAGAGCAGGGGCGGAATTGTCTGAAAAAGAAAAAAGCAAAGACCCGGGTATAGAGTGTATGAGATACCGTTTTACAGGCCTTAGTGTACCATAAATTTCCCACATTCTCATAACCAGGTGTCATTCGCGGGGAGGTGCATGTGATAGAAAAGAGCTGTTGAATCTCTGACAATAGTTCAATAATATCTACGCCATTTTAGACGTAAGTAAGAAACCGCCAGTGCTCTAACACAAGGCAACCCGTCATGTCAATTTGACACAGCAGCTGCCCCTTGTCGACAGTTGGGTTCATATGCTGAAAGAGCTTGACGTGAACCACCTACCCGTCTATTGTGAGGTATATAGTAGGTAGATATAGGTGGACTGAGAAACTATACTAGAGAGGCAGAGGGCGACGAAGCCACTCGCACGTCTTCTTTCCTCCCAACGCCCAAACGCCCGGCATCCAATATCCTGGTAAACCATCCGAAGCTCAAAGTGATTCGCAGACTCCCACCCATCGTTGCTCAGGCCTCCTCAGCCATCTCCGCATCCACATCGTCACCAAAGACATCATCCACCGTCCCTCCCTCAACACCATCCCCACCAATATCCTCGGGATCCGGCCCCTCGATGCCTTCCATGGCATCGCCGCCCTGCTGAGACGCCGAGCTCTCCTCGTCGTCGTCCATGTCCTCCTCGTCCCACATGTCCTTGAGCCCCCAGCTCGTACCGCTGAGCACAAACCTCTCGCTCGGCAGCCGCACGCCCCATTCGTTGGGCACAATCTTGGGCAGGGCGACCTTGTTGCGCTCGCGGGCGAGCTCCTGCATGTATTCCTTGCTGATGCCGCCGCCGCTGCTCCCTCCGCGGAACTGATAGCCTAGGCGCGCGGCGATGGCGACCTTGACGGCATTTGCGCTGACGCTGGCATCGCCCGACGGGGGGGCGGTGGCGCCGGCGCCGGAAGCCGACGGCTTGGATCCGGCTTGTGAGATGTAGGGGTCACCCGAGAGGTGCAATGCGTCGCTGAGGACGGACGAGGTATGTCTGTATGCAAAGTCGAGGAGCAGGAGAGGCACTCGCTGCTCGTAGGCCGTGACGCCCTGCGAGGTGAGAAGGAGCTCGACGAGGCGTGCGTCTCGCGGTTTTGGTGCGACGGAGGGCGGTTGCTGGTGTGTGGGCGACTGTGCGGGTGGCTGAGAAGAGGAGGTGCCGGCGGCGGGGGGAGGCTGGCTCGTCGTTGTCGATTGGGTATTTGGGATTGTTTGCTGAGAAGTATTGACGGACGGGGCGGCCACGCCGTTTGTCTGTGGTTGACTTGAAGACATGGTCGGAGATGGCAGGGATATAGAGCGAGGTGTGAAGAGTGCGATGTGTTGCACGGGAGAAGAGCTGAGCGAGGCTTGGATGAAGAGAGGTGCAGGCGACGCAGATCGAATGCGCGCTCTAGCAACGATTCATTCGAGGAGAGGCGTAGCCGTAGCAAGATATGACCTCCTGGGGCTCCTTGCCGGGTATCGAAATGCCAATGAACAATGAACAATAGCTCCCGTATGCGGCTCTGCGACGCACCCGACGAGGCTGGAACATGAATCAACTGCCTATCTAAGAGGTTCGCGGTCAGTCGCGGCTAAGGTACGAAGCTGAGTTGATGCGGATCATTGTTAATCCGGCCGGCATCTGCTGCCTCGAATGCGCACAGACCACACCTTAATTGTAGGCCAATGGGAGCATCCCAATTCCCAGCGGACGGTCGCCGGCTGTAACTGCGGCAGTCTGCGAGGAATTGGAGGGGATTGGAGGGGCTCGTTGGAGGGGTTCCAGGGCGCTGGAAGGGGAACAACAGCGGACGTATTCAGCGCCTGGCACGCTTGCAGCAGCACCAGCAGCAACAGCAGGTGGCGACCCCACCAAAAAATTGATCGAGTGCCGCCGATCCAAGTGCCGGTCCCGGTCATTCGAGGTGTTTTTTCAGGCGATTCGACTCTGGATTGACTCATTTGACAGGGAAAAGCGGCGTCATATCCCTCTCGACATTTCATCCTTGGCCAATTCCTCCAATCCATCCTCTCGACACTTCTCTCTTCTTTGCTGGTCCAACCATGGAGACGGTTCTCCCCCTGCCGTTCCTTGTCAGCGTGGCCGTCCCTCCGGGCTTGGCCAAGCTCGACGGCCTCAGTCGCGAAGAGGTGTCCATCCTCGCCAGCCCGTTCCTCGAGGCGTCGCCTCAGATCCTCGACAAGCTGTTCCGCTTCTTCAAGCGCCACAGCTCCGAGTTCCACGCCCACATCGACGCCTCGGCGCTGTCGTCCCCAGACGATGTGTATGCGCTGCTCGACGGCGGGGCACGCACCGTATTCGTTGCGCCCGAGTCGCTGTCACTATACGCTGAGCTTGGAGCGAGAGTGCTGCCGGCTGTGTCGAGGCTCGATCTGTCTGCGGCCTCGGAGCACGGCCTCCTGATCAAGGACTTTGACCCCAAGGCCGCCAATGTCGACAAGTTTGCCGAGGAGGCGCGGGCCAAGAAGCTCAAGACGCTCTACCTGAAGCCGGTGCCGGATGTCGCCCTGGACCAGTTCATCGAGGTTGCGCAGAAGTGCAATGCGATCCCCGTCCTGCCCTCGACCGGACTGACGACCGACAAGACCGACAGCAGCAAGCTCCTGCTTTCCAAGGCCATTGCGACGTACTGGCAGTCGGATCGCGCCGACGGTCTCATCCCGACGGTGGTGACTGATGTTCACGGAATCGCGCTGGGATTGGCTTACACGAGCGAGGAGAGCATCCTGGAGGCTTTGCGAACGCAGACGGGCGTCTACCAGAGCCGCAAGCGGGGACTGTGGGTGAAGGGAGCTACCTCTGGGGACACGCAGGAGCTCGTCCGCATCGCGTTGGACTGCGACAATGACACGCTCAAGTTCGTCGTCAACCAGAAGGGCCGCTTCTGCCACCTCGAGCAGTTTGGCTGCTTTGGCGAGCTGACCGGCATTGCGCGGCTGGAGCAGACGCTCAAGTCGAGGAAGGAGTCTGCCCCTGCGGGCTCATACACCGCCAGGCTCTTCTCCGACGAGAAGCTGCTGCGGGCAAAGATCATGGAGGAGGCCGAGGAGCTGTGCGACGCCAAGACCCCGGAGGAGGTTGCCTTCGAAGCCGCCGACCTCATCTACTTTGCTCTCACACGGGCTGTCGCTGCGGGAGTCAGCGTGGCGGATATCGCTGCCAGCCTGGACGCAAAGGGCCTCAAGGTCAAGAGGAGGACGGGCGACGCCAAGGGCAAATGGGCCGAGAAAGAAGGGATCAAGCCGTCTGCTCCCGCTGCGGCCCCGGCGAAGCCAGCCGAAGCCGAAAAGCCCAAGAGTGACCGGATCGCCATGCGGAGAGTCGACTCGGCCAGCGCCACGGAGGCAGAGCTGCTCGAGATCCTGAAGCGACCGTCACAAAAGTCTCCCGACGCCATCCTCAAGATTGTCACCCCCATCATCGAAGACGTCCGCAAGAACGGAGACAAGGCCGTCCTTTCCTACACGCACAAGTTTGAAAAGGCCACCTCTTTGACGTCGCCGGTCCTCAAGGCGCCCTTCCCCAAGGAGCTTATGCAGCTCCCTGACGAGACCATCAAGGCCATCGACACCTCGTTCGAAAACATCCGCAAGTTCCACGCCGCCCAAAAGGATGACAAGACGCTCCAGGTCGAGACCATGCCCGGCGTCGTCTGCAGCCGCTTCTCGAGGCCGATTGAGCGCGTCGGCCTCTACGTCCCCGGCGGCACCGCCGTCCTGCCCAGCACGGCGCTTATGCTCGGCGTCCCCGCCATGGTGGCCGGCTGCAAGAAGATTGTGCTGGCGTCGCCGCCCCGCGCCGACGGCAGCGTGACGCCCGAGATCGTCTACGCCGCGCACAAGGTCGGCGCCGAGAGCATCGTCCTCGCCGGCGGCGCCCAGGCCGTCGCCGCCATGGCCTACGGCACCGAGAGCGTCACAAAGGTCGACAAGATCCTCGGCCCCGGCAACCAGTTCGTCACGGCGGCCAAGATGCACGTCAGCAACGACACCAACGCCGGCGTCAGCATCGACATGCCCGCCGGCCCGTCCGAGGTCCTCGTCATCGCCGACAAGGACGCCAACCCGGCCTTTGTGGCCTCCGACCTGCTCTCCCAGGCCGAGCACGGCGTCGACAGCCAGGTCATCCTCATCGCCGTCGACCTCACCGAGGAGCAGCTCCAGGCCATCGAGGACGAGGTGCACAACCAGGCGCTCGCCCTGCCCAGGGTGGACATTGTGCGCGGCTCCATTGCCCACTCCGTCTCCGTCCTCGTCAAGACGATTGACGAGGCCATGAGGATCAGCAACGAGTACGCCCCGGAGCATCTGATTCTGCAGATCAAGGACGCCGCCAAGGTCGTCGACCTCGTCATGAACGCGGGCAGCGTCTTTATCGGCGAGTGGACGCCCGAGAGCGTGGGCGATTACTCCGCCGGCGTCAACCACTCACTACGTAAGTTCTCTCTCCCGATTTCTCATTCCACCATTGTAGCGATTTCTTTGTGTGCTAACGAAATGCTATTTGCAGCAACATACGGCTTTGCCAAGCAGTACTCGGGCGTCAACCTCGGATCCTTCCAGAAACACATCACCAGCTCCAACCTCACGGCCGAGGGCCTTCGCAACGTCGGTGGAGCAGTCATGCAGCTGGCCAAGGTGGAGGAGCTGGAAGCTCACAGGAGAGCGGTAGAGATTCGCATCAAGCACATGGACGGGCAAAAGTAAGGGGGGGAAATACAAAGGAGATATGGATACATGGATGAAATGGATGGATATACTGTTCGGAAATGACGGAGGTTTTGTGTATAAAAATATGGATGTGTAAAAAAAGACGGAGGCGACATCACAGATGAATTTGAGTATTTGTTCTTTCGATCAGTTCTTTTGTGTTTTACATCTATGATTTGAAGATTGCTTGATGCCGAAATTCTATAAACAAAAACCCAAAACAGTCCCCTAACATTCAAAAAGTCGCAAAGCAACCTCCCTATAGCTGAACAAGAAGAGCAAAGGAAGAAAAAAGCAAAGAAGAGACGACGCGTCTCGTCTTATCAAAGTCGCTCAAAATCACCTGCATGTCGCCCACTGACACAAGAAAGCTAATGCAAAAAAAAGGTTGACTTTTCTGCTCTTGTCCCTTTCGTCTTTGTGCACTCGACTTCCCAACAAAACCCACGGTTACCGGACCCAGAAACGCCTCGCTATGTAATGCCCACTTGGAGAATAACGATGAAGTGAAAAGAAAAGAAAAAAAAAAAAAAAAAGTCAAGCCTCACCGCTGCTTCTAAGGAGCATCTTTCCCCTCTTCCACCATTCGAATACCCAAACACGGACGTGTGATTTCGCTTCCGCGACAGCGAAATAGCAGAAATCGACTATCAAAAAAAGATGTTGACAGAAAGTAAGAACAACAAAGCGAACGCTCAAGAGGCTCAAGAGAAGAAAGACTCAAACAAAAAGGATCAGGGAAGATTGCGCCACGTTACGACGATATCGAGGGAGTTCGAATCTCGACGGGTACCTCGACAGCTGGCAGGTCGTTCCCCTGCACGACGGTTCCGGAATCGTTCTAGAAATTGAAGAAATCCCCATTTAGCCTTCTTTCTTTTTGTCGTCTTCTCCATGGCTTCTCGCCTTCTCTTCAACGGAAAGGTCACCAACCCCAGTGATTATCTCGGCTGTGACATCTTCCACCACCCGAGTTTCATCGCCAGATGCCTCCGCGTCTTCATCCTCGACCTCGTCTTCGTAATTTTCTTCGTCATCGGCGTCTTCGTGCTCGATGCTCTGAATAATTCGGTCTTCTTCGAGCTCCTCCTCATCGACCTCGTCATCATCGTAGTCCTCGTGCGAGATGTAGCTGTCTGCCATGCCCTCGCCGACTTCCTCCTCCTCCTCCTCTTCTTCTTCCTCCTCTTCCTCGTCGGTGTAAGTACTTCCCTGGTCGTCATGGTCATCCTCCTCGCTTTCGCTAGCCGAGAAATCATCAATCTTGAGGGGATCGTCTCGCCAGTACATGAAGTCGGTGTACTCCTCCCCGCCACCCCTGACCAGGGTGTCGACAGGGGGGAAATAATGGTCCACAACCTCATTGATATTGACATAGGTCATCTTGAGTTTGTTGAGGCTCAGGAGGTCGAGCGACACCTCTGAGTTGGAGTTGATGGTGAAGATGCGGGTGCGCGGTACGTCCACCGTTCGGTACGAGATTTGGTCGGTCAGACGGTTGCCAAACCCGGCATAGAAAGGACCGCCGTTCGGCCCATACAGGTTGCGAATGTCCCGCAGCGTCGCCATCTTGAACACGTGGGGCTTCCGTAGGTAGACTTCACGGCGCAGGGCGGCCATGGTTCGGTCGGGAGACAGGATGGTCGGGCCGTGGGGCATCCTGAAGCCATCCTGGACGATATTGTTGAGGTAGGCGCGAGTCGTGTCGGCCTGTCCGACGGAGCGGCTCGTCAGGTACATGATGTTGTACCCGTTCAAGGCAATGTCGCTGTAGAGCTTTGCGATGCCAGAGTGAGTCCAGTCTCGGCCAATCATGTTCAGCACATGGCCAAGAGCATCGGACTTGGTGATGGTGCCGTCAATGTCCGAAATGACCACGGGAGTGTGGTGCTTCCAGAGGTAGAGGTTGGCAGTGCACGTCGCCCGGTTGACGGTGAAGCTCATGGGGTTTTCTCCGTACTTCAAGTTCATCTCCTTCAACTGATCGCTAGTCAGTCGAAGCGTCTTTGCGTAGCTCTTGGGCGGCTCGAGGGAGCCGGTCGGCGTTCGAGGGGGCGTATGCATGCCGCCAGGACCGGCGTCGGACTCTGTGCGCCGGTGAGAGGGCGCGTGTGGTGCGGTCGTGAGATCGCTGCCGTCGCTCTGGTAGCCCGGATCTGATATGGCATCGGCAGCCACTGCGCGGCGGTGGGCTTGGAGCGACGACTCAATCGTCTTGTTCATAGCAGCCTGCTTGGCGTCCTCGCTGCTGTAGACCCAGAGGTTTCCCTCCTCATCAAAGCCAAATAAGGCTCCGATGTCGTAGTTGCCATCCATTTCCTCCGATAGGATGTTGCGCGCGAGGACCTCGGCGCGGAGCATGTCCTCCTCGCTGCTCTTGAAGCCCGTCATATCCAGCATCAGATCTCCCGTCTCGGTGATGTGCGTTGGAATGTTGACCGCGGACAATCCCTTGGACAGCGCTCTGGCGCGTGCGATGGCTTCCTGGGGCCCGAGAGGAGGAGGACTGTGAGATCTTTCAGACTCGGACGGGCTCTCGTTATCTGAAATGGCCTCGTCGTGGTGCTGCACCGATTTCCGCAAGACGTCATCGCTGTGAGGTCGACGATCGAAAGCTTTGCGCCAGCTACCAGTCGCAGGCTGCGAAGAGGAGAGGGTGGGGGAGGACGACAGAGGTGTGATCATGCCTACGATTTGCAGTGAGCACTCACGTCTTCCACTCGTATGCAGTGGCTACTACAACTACTTAGCGGAGGAGGACGTCAAGACATACCGTTCTCGTCCGGCTGCTGAGGCTGGATGATAGCCGGTGACGGTCGACGAGGCTTTCCAGCAGCGTCGCCGTCAAGCTCCAGCGAATCCGGCTCTGCCATGGCCGAAGAGGCATCTGCCGGGCCAAACGGCGGGCTGCTTGCCGGCGAGACCAGCGGCGACGTCTGCATGGACTCTGGGATGGAGTCGGACGTCTCGAAGACGAAGAAGGCCTCGCCGCCCTCGCCCAGCTTCATGGAGTAGGGCTGCTTGACGCCATTGATGCGGAACTCGACCTTCTTCTCGTACGGGCGCAGGAGCGAAAACTTGCCGAAGCGGACGTGGAAGGGCGAGCAGGCCAAGGTGCCGTCCTCGCGCTCGACGACAATCACGTCAATGGCGCCGCTGAGCGTGGCCGGGTTGATGGAATTCCAGGCCGTGGAGACCGAGTCGCTGAGGTTCCGCACGTACTGCATCGTGGCGGCTGTCTTTCTCTCTCTCGTCCCGTGTGCAAACGTCGGATGCGCCCCCAAGCGATGACCCGCGGCGTGCTGTGTTTGTCCCTGTGCCTGTGTCTGTGCTTGTGCCTGTGCTTGTGCCTGTGCTTGTGCCTGTGCTTGTGCCTGTGGATAGGTAGCGAACGACGGTGATTCAGTCGGTCAGGGAGAGCAACTTCAACAGAAACAATTGGGCGAGCTGCAGCGTCTCTTTGGGCACTCTCCAGACTTTGTATGAGCTGCAAGAATTGGGGGCAACCCTGGCCAGCAAGTGGATCTTTGTTGGGATGCTGAGTGGTGACGTCGGTTTCAGACGGCGCTGAGACCTGGCATGTGAAATTTCCGGGACTTGCGCGCCCGCCGCGTCTGTCTGTCGGCGCAGGTACCTTGCAAGTATCGTCAGGTACCCTGCTGCTGCTGAAATGCGCACAGAAATGGCCGCTGAAACATGCGCTGCAGACGATGAGGGGATCGTGAAGCTTATTGACGCAGCCTCGCACTTAATACAACTCGCAAACACACAACACAGCCAGACTCCAAGCCAGCGAGACGGTGGCAAATGCGGGCCGGCCAATTGTTGAGAACGTGCTGCCTGTCCGTTGATCCAACAAGCTGCTGCAGGCACATGATCCAGCGCCTGGGCGACACTCCAGGTCGTCCGTTTGACAAGCGCTGTGGGGGGTTGGCCGGCAAAGTCCAAGTATACGATACCTGCGCGGGACTCTCTGTTCCGGCTCTGGCGCGCCCCCTTTGCAGCCTCCAGCGGCCGCTTTCAGGAGGTCTCTCGCTGTAGGCTGGCGGTGGGCAGGGGCAAGGGGCATGCGTCAAGCCGCCCAAGCACCGCGGGAGCGAGATTTGCCAGGCGTAGAACAACGGCGGGACATCGGGCGGCGAATCCGGGGTTCCCCTCAAGTACTGGCGACTTGGCGTTGCCGAACCACGGCCCATCATGTGCCTCAACCATTTCCATGGGACATCAGGCGGAAAACCGCCTTGCAAACGACAACGTAATACTGGCCGTGGAATAAATCCGACCCCAACAAGCCGAGGCTCCCAGGCTTCCTTCTTCTCCCGCCTTTTGCCTGTTTGGTCGCTGGTGACTGGCTTCTTACGCTCAGACTAAAGAATCACCGTCGAAATTGCAGGCATCCCTGGCCATGGGGGCTCGCCGAAGCAATCACCCCCGTATTACAGACTGGCTCACCTGACGGTTCAAGCATGCCAGAGATGAGTCGGAGAGCCAGGGCCTGATCTTGATTTGCTCTTCCAGCCATGTACTTGTATGGCCTGCACTCATGAGCCGCTGGCGCTGCGCAGACTTCTATGTACGGATACACAGCAAAGCCCAGATCTGGAGGTGGCTGCAGTTGAGGTTTCATTGTACGACCACAGCCAGGCCTGCAACATCATCAGCTTACTGCATGGACACAGCCAATCTGGTGTTGCTATTGCATAATCCCTTCATGAGCGTCACATCAAAGGTAATGCGGTAAAGGGACATCCATTCCATTGTCCCTTCTAGGTTGAGTGTATGTAAGTCAGCATCACGTCCCCTTCGAGCATGTAAAGTCTACCAATCGTTTCCTACTTCTTCGCTGTCAAGGAGACACCACTCCTTATTGCACAAGTGCCGCCAAATCCTACCAAATGCCGTGCGAACCGGAGGAGCGACGTGATCAGGAGGGGTCCTGAGGCTCTCTTCCCCTCACGGCAATCACCGCCGATCAAAAAATGCCATGTTGAAGTCAGTCGACGGTATCACAGAAGCATCATCCTTTAACGGAATCATGGCTAGAAACGGCACGCTGACGTCAACGGTAGACGTTACGTTTTGTTGCCGAATCCCAGCCACCCATTTTGTGGTTTTGATGCCGACCAACATACATTGAGGTAGTACTACTACTTCGTATGCAGGGAGGCGACATGTGATATCCAATCCAACTGTCATCTCCAGACTACTAACACGAGGCTACGGCAATTGACGTCGTGGGTAGCAGCATTGTCAAGTTTTCTCTGCCTGAATTTGCTTACACGAGCTGCTTCTGGCGTCAGCCATGTCGGCGGACAACTGAAGCGATCTTCACCGACAGGAGCGTCCATCAAGATGTGGTCTGGCACACTGCCGGAAGTTACATCTACACTGATTTCAGATCCTGGCGTATCAGAGAGTCGCCATTTTCTCGAAGCCCCGGTAATGATGTATTATCTATCATACCGAGCTGCATCCCCCTAGTAGAAGAAACGTTAAGCTTCACAACTCGTGTCGGCTTGTAAAAACATGAAGCCAATTACCTTACCCCGTGTTGCTTCCGCCACAAGTTCCTCCCTCCACGTGGCTTGTCGGACTTCCATCTCAACCTCAACCGACTTACAAGCAACTTCACGCGCTGGCAGCTCTGCACCGTCATAGCACAGCATGCAGCTCGGCCTTTTCCTCCCGGCCAGCGCATCACAGCTCTGGCAATCCACAGTCCAGGTCCAGGTCACTGCGGCTTCAGGCAAGACCTGATACCTCTAGGCAGCCGGAAGTAAGGTAGCCCATAAAATGCCCCCTTTGGTGGAGATTGTTCGATCCCCCGTACCTGTGTTTTCTCCTCGACACAATACCGTGGTCGTGCTGCATCGATACTTGACGCCGGATATCACAGCTGAGAGGCTCTCTTGAGTCGCTCAAAGTGCTTACACTCCCCGCCAAGTCGCCAAGCTCACCGATCAGCTCACTGGCCGGCAGCCTCATTGCCCCAGGTTGTTTTTGCCCTCTCAACCTCTGTCAAGCTTGCCCTACTAGCAAGGATTGATGCCAGATAGGTGATAGATCCACACTATTCGTCGAGGGCTGCAGAAGACTGCAGCACTGGGTGGCTTTTCCCACTGCAAGTCTGAGGCGGTCTTGGGCGGTTGAATTTGCCGATACGGAGAGCCTTGTTCTTATGCATGCACGTCAATGTTTATTTCCTTCTGCTTTTCGGACTCTGCTTCTGCACTAAACTTTAGAGCCCTTCTTTAGACCTCCTTTTCTTCTCCCACTTCAACGTACTCGTACCTGATTGACCCATCGCCACACCATACCTTGTGAGAGAGCCACGCTGGATGGCGGTTTGCACACAAGTCACACTGGGTACCGACCATAGTCTCATTGATTCAGCTGACTGCCGCCCGGGGCTGTAGCTGCGAACAGTACCTCCTTCAATTCGTCCATTCCCTGGAAGCTTCTCACCTTGAAGGCGGCAGGGAATCAACAGCTCCCTCACCAGAGTTAGGGATTCTTCCTCTCAGCCACACAGTGCGATCTACCTGCTCGCTCCCAAGCGTGGTCGTGCCTCTCTTCTACTACCTCACTAACAGCAACGCATCGCCGGCAGTTGTACCGAACATCAACTTTATAGAACTCCTTGTCCGTGCCAGTTGGCCAGCTTGCACGGCTACGCACGCACAAAAGTACAGGGATTCCAGACCCAGCCAGGTTGGACGGAAAAAATAGAGGTAAAAAAAAGAAACGAGGAAAAAGGCGCCAGCCCTTTGCCAACCGGCCAATCGGCGGCCCGGCTTTTACTGGGGTCAGCCTCTGCTACTCTTTTCTCCCGCCTCCAAACCTCCAACTACCGACATCCTCCCGCCTGGGTCGGCATTTACTGGCCAAGACCATCTAGAGAACATGTCATGGGAGCTTCCAGCCCTGACCCTTCTCTCCCTCAGCGCAGTCGGCTTCTGGGGGCTTGGTAGTCCCCAGCCCTTCCACCGCAAGGCTCTGTACATCCTCGTCAGCGCCTCAGCCGTGCTCGTCGACCCTCGCCAGATCGCTGCGCGCATGTACGCCAGCGCCCACGACGCCATTGTCGACTACCAGCTCGATGCTTTGCTGGCCCAGCACTTCAAGATGGCCCTCACTCTCGGAGCCGTGCTCTGGTTCGTTGCTTCTCCGCTGCACATTGCATGGCACTTGGCTGGACCCCGTTTTGCTAACTCGGGACGTCTTCCCTCTGTCCAAATAGGCTGCTTCACCGTGGATGGCAGACTCTCTGGAAACCCGTTCCCGAACTCATCAACATCCTGGGCGTCGATATCCCCGAGCCTCCCGACGTCAGTCTCGCTGGCATTCGATCCGATGCGGCCACGATCAGCTGGACGCGCCCGACCAGCAATCGACCCGTCCAGAAATACTCTATCCAAGTCAACGGGGTGCATGGTACGTATTGGCTGGCAAGAGCTTAGTCTGCCCCATCCTCTGCGTATGCTCGTGTGAAGCAGTCATTTGACCAAGTTTGTGAACAACAGTGGGGGATTCGCCAGGCAACGAGGTGGCCATCACGGTGACTGGTCTGAAGCCAAATCATTTTTACAACATCCGCGTTGTTGCTGTGGGGCCCAACAACTTCCAAGCCGGCAGCCCTCTTCTACGACTGCGGACGTTTGGCAAGGACGGGAGACCACTGTTGGGCAACTCGCGGCTGCCTACTAGCTTTACGGATCCGGATCACCCTCGAATCAACTTCGGCGACAATGAAAGCGACGACTCCGACGATGCCCAATTTCCCGTGCCTTCCGTCGAAGCTGCGCCAGTCCTCGAAGGAAGCTCGACGAATGCTCGCGAGGCTAACGGCACTGTGCCGGGGCAGAGGCGCAACACCATCAACCGTCGCCACTCGCCTTCTGTTGCGAGCATGGATCAGCCTCATATCAAGCTTCCGATTCTGGAAGGCCCCGAGTTGTCGCTGGACGAGTTGAATTGCAAGTTCGAGTGCATTAGGAAGGAGATTGAGGATACGCTGGCCCTCTATGCCAAAGACGAGGCCGAGTCGCTGCAACAGGAAGAGGAGCTGAAGAGGGAAAAGGAGCGAAAGCGGCAAATGCTCAAGGAGAAGGAGGAGCAGACGGCCCAGCTCAAGGCCATGGTGCGAATCACCATGGAGCAGATGCGAGCGGCAGAGAAAGATCGAATGAAGAAGGAACAGCAACTGCGGGAAAGGGAAGCTAAGAAATCCAAGGCTCGAGATAATGTCTCCAAACTAGACGCCGAGATCCAGCGGATGAAGAGGGATCGCGAGGGGTTCGAGGCGCAAAAAGCTGCCCTGGCGGAGAAGAGGGACATGGACGTGCGGAAACTCGACGAGATCAATGCTGAGCTTTTGGATAAGTGTGCCGAACTAGAGGCGGAGTTGAAGGACAAGGGAAAACAATTGCAGGACCTCAAGGCAGCTCGAGAGCAGCTCCCCGACGCGCATGACGAGCAGTGGAAGGAAGAAGACCTGAGGCTCAGGAGGGAGTGGGAGGCCCGGAGAAAGGAGCTACACGCTCGCTGGGTGGCGGAAGCCAAGAGAGCCTACGAGCTTGACCAACAAATCCACCTGGTGACGAAGCAGCTGAGAATCGAGCAGTCCAATCTCGAGTTTCTTAACCAGGGCGCCACCCCTAACCCTGCCGTCGACTTTGAGATGTCCCCGTCCGCTCGGCCCAGACCTCCGAGCCAGCACAGCGGCTCGGCGCCCAATGCAAATCTGCCATCGCCAAGCCCCGTGATACCCTCCGATCCCGGCTATCAACCGACTGCTGGTTTCACGAGCGCTGGGTTTGGCCCGGCTCTCTTCATGGACATGGCCACCCACGGCCATGGCGAGGCACAGACGGAAGCGGAGCTTAGGGAGGCCAACGGGCCGTTGAGCCCATCTGCAGCTCGCTCTTTTCTTCCGTCGAATATTTTTGACGAAATGGAGGACCCCGACTTGGATGCTGAGCATCACGCACTGCCCGAATCTATTCAAGCAGATGACGACGAAGTCCAGTCGCCGGCTTCCTCAAGCCCGCCCTTCAATGTGTTCGCAAGCCCTCATGGCTCTTCGCACAATCTACCGTTTCCACAATACTCCGAGAACCGCGAGAGGCGACCGTCTGTCTCTTCACTGGGCATAGCCAATTCTACGACTTCTCCCCCCGCAACGGGACACAGGCTATCCAGCCTTTTGGCGGCGCTGCGCAACAGAGGCCCGAAACCTGCGGACGATTTGGGACCTGCGCTAGGCACGCTCAAACCTGGACAGAGTCAATCCTTTCCCCGAGGGACCGATGAGCAGGAAGTCTTGGAAAACCGCCGAAAGATTAACTTTTCCTCTTGGATGAACCGCAACTCTGCTGGACCCGGCGACTTTGCCGGAACGCCCTTCTCGTCATCCCGACCGTTCTCGGCGCGTCGACTCATTCCCTTTGGCAACAGCTCGACGAGCGCCGGTGTATTCGCTGACAGAGATGTTGACGGCTCCAGGCCTCCGTCGATCACGTCAGTCGACTTGCCGCGACCGTCTACAGATAGTGGTTCCATATGGGGTGTCCAGGGAGAGCAAGGAGGCTTGCTCAACACCAAGAATCGGCTGTGGTCGCCCGACAACCGTTGGCCTTCCAGGAGCGGCTCCAGGCGTCCGTCTATCCACGGGTCGCCGTCCATTCTGACCACCACCCTGGCCTCTGCCGAAGATGTTATCCTCGACGATGATGATCTACTTGACCCGCAAACCTCTCCCAGTCAGATTGGAGTCATAGGCTCCCGCCCGCCGACGGCATTGAAGTCGATCAACCAGCGTCTCAATCCCACAGCCCCAACCTTTATGGGAAACTTCTTCCGCGGCGCTGACAGAGACAAATCGAAGAGCAAGGACAAGGGCAAGGATAAGACGAAGGATGAAAAGGCCAAGGGCAGGGAGTCTTTGACGCCCGGCATCGAGTTTCCTCATGGCCTGGACGACTTTCCATCTGAGGCACACATGTCCCGAGACACCCATTCGATCCGCACGCAGGCATCCATCTCCGAGTCCCATGATTCGCTGTCGCTCGATCCGACTGTATCCAACACGCCATCCGATATCCATTCCAACGCTGACTCGGCTGCGAAAGATCAGGATAATGTCGTCATGAAGCTATTCCGCAAGGGCAGCTCCAGCAAGTTCGGCCTGTCGACCAGACTGGGCAAGGACTCGGGGCTGTTTAAGAAAGGACCCGGCAGTGCAACGAACTCGGACAGGAACATGTCTGCGGAGCATCGGTCCAGCATCGGCGATATCGATGATCTCGGCGAGGACGCCTCCCAGCTTGGTCGGAGCTTTGACAGCCTGGCAAGCAGCCCGTCACTTGGTCCCTCCAAGTCGAGAGAGTCGAGGGAGAGTCGGATGAGCGGCTGGCGCTTCTCGATGAAGAAGAAGGGCAAAGATGCCGCCAAGGAGAAGGAGCCCGCCGAGGCCGACAAGTATACCGAGGAGGAGTAAAATTCTGCCCTAGAGCCGAAGACGGGGGAGTTGGGGTCTGACCTTGACTATATCGCCCTCCATATTTCGAGAGTGAAAAGTATCAGTAGATATAGTACCTTACACGCCCAGAGTACCTCATACCAGGTAGTCAATACTGCGTCCAGATCAACTGTCACTTGCTCTCGCCCTTAAACTTCTCAATCCAGTATTCTGTTAATTCATCAGCTTGGTGCACTGCGTTACTGAAACCATCGGATTACCTCGAGGACTGAAGCTATCTAGACTGGCAGTGTTGCTAATACTAAGTTACAAGTACCTGACCAAAAGATGCGGCCCACTTTTGCTGGTCCCCTGCCGGCTCGTTCTGTACCTTATTAGGTACCTCCCAAGTATCAGCACCAGGAGCTTTACTGGAGAGAGTCGCAACCTTGTCCGTCTGAATTCCAGCTCCAAACATTCACCAGTTTTACGGCCGTTGACGAATGCCTTTCCCCCATTGAAGAAGAGCCGTCATCTCTTATACCTCTATCAATATTCCATCTAATCTTGTTTCCCCCCTCTCAAATATGAATGGCTCTCTGGTAGGGTCATCTGCCTCCAGCCTAGACGCAAGTGAGTTCGCTGGCCCGTGATGACAGACAAGCAAGCTGTTGGCAACTGACCATGAGGATCAATGGCAACACAGTCGACTACGACCCCATCGACCATCTCAACCTCCTGTTCTCGCACCCCTCCGCCGTCTCCTCCATTAGCCGAGTCTCGCAGGCGCTCAAGCACCGCCAAGATGACCTCGAGTACGAGATCAACACCCTCGAATCGGCACAGGCCTACGAACCAGACTCGAGCCTGGAGCGGATGCGGTCGGCGCAGACGGAGCTCGCGCAGCTGTTCCGCAAGATCGAGACGGTGCGGTCGCGCGCGATAGAGACGGAGCAGAACATCACGTCGATGACGGCCGACATCAAGCGGCTGGACGGCACCAAGAAGAACCTGACGCTGAGCATGACGGCGCTGAAGCGGCTGCAGATGCTGACGACGGCGTACGAGCAGCTGAGGGGCTTGGCCAAGACGAGGCAGTACCGCGAGTGTGCGGGCCTGCTGCAGGCCGTGCTGCAGCTGATGAAGCACTTCAACAGCTACCGGAGCATAGAGCAGATTGCGACGCTGAGCCGAGAGGTGTCGGAGCTGCAGAGGGAGCTGCTGGAGCAGGTGTGCGAGGACTTTGAGATGGCCTTTACCAAGGGCGAGGTCGGCGCCAAGAGGGGCACCCTGGTGGAGGCCTGCCTCGTCATGGACGCCCTGGGCGATTCGGCAAAGGCCAGGCTCGTCGGCTGGTACATCAACACGGAGCTGCGAGAGTACCGCCAGGTGTTCCGGGGCAACGACGAGGCGGGCAACCTGGACAACATCGGGAGGCGATACGCGTGGTTCAAGCGCATGATGAAGACGCACGAGGACGAGCACGCCGCCATCTTTCCTGCGCACTGGCGCGTCAACGAGACGCTGGCGACGGCATTCTGCGACGGCACGCGGGACGATTTCAAGGGCATCCTGGAGCGCAGCATGCGGCGCCCCGACGGCAACAAGATCGACGTCAACCTACTCCTTGCGTGCCTACAAGAGACGCTCAATTTCGAGCAGAGCCTCGATAAGCACTTCTCAAGCGACGCGAGGGCCAGCATCGACACGCTGAGCTCGACCGAGGAGAAGTCGCATACGTTCAATGGGCTAATATCGGTGGCCTTTGAGCCGTATCTGAGCCTCTGGGTCGAGTCGCAGGACAAGCAGCTGGCTGCCATGATACCGAAATACCGCACACAGCCGCTCATCCCGCCAGAGGAAGAGTTTACGCCGCAGGCCGTCATCTCTTCCGCCCTGGAGCTTTTCCACTTCTACAAACTGACCCTCTCCCAGTGCGCGAAGCTGTCTACGGCCGACCGCCTACTAGATCTCTCAAAGATTCTGGCCAAGTATCTAGATGAGTACGCTCAGCAGGTGCTGCTACGAAAGCTACAGTCGAGCGGGCAGAAGAGCCCCTCTATGCATGATGCCGTCCTCGTCCTAAATACGGCAGACTTTTGGCACATCAACACGAACCAGCTGGAGGAGAACATCAAGAAGCGCATCGACCCGGAGCTGGTGGCCAAGGTGGACCTGTCGTCGCAGTCTGACGCTTTCCTGGGCGTGGCCAGCGCCGCCGTGCTCGCGCTGGTGCGGATTGTCGAGCTGGACTGCGAGGGTGTCTGGCGGGAGATGAAGAATACCAACTGGAGCACCATGGAGAGCGCGGGCGATCAGAGCTCCTGGGTGGGCGAGCTCGTCAAGCACGTCAATGACAAGGCGGCGGAGATTCTGGGTATTGTGACGAAGCAGCAGTACGCGAGGGCTTTCTGCGACAACCTGGTCGATCACTTGGCGACAGCGTTTATCAACAATATTGTACAGTGCCGGCCAATATCCGAAGTTGGGGCACAGCAGGTAAGCACAGAACGGGATAATCCCTTGAGCTTCAAGGAAAAGGGCTAACAAAGGTCATTAAAGATGCTTGTTGACAAGTACGCACTCACAAAGTCGTTCGAGAACCTGATGTCGTACCACAACCCATCTCCAACACCGCAAGCACCATCAGCGACTTTTGTGAGGCGAGTCGAGCAGAGCATGAACCGGATGGACCCCCTACTCAAGACGCTGCAAGTGCGGCCATCGCCTCCAGAAGGCCTTGTGCAGGCGTATCTCATTCACATTGCAGATCGCTCCGACACAAACTTCAAGAAGATCCTGGACCTCAAGGGCGTGCGCAAGATGGACCAGGCTCACCTGATTGAGCTGTTTGGCATACACCGCGACAGCAGCTCCAACGCGAAGTTGGCGCAGAACTCGCCGCTGCTGACGCCTCTAATGCTGTCGTCGAGCCTCAGCAGCACCAGCGCCATGGGCGCAATCAACACCGCGTCATCCTCGCTGGCGGGCGGTTCGGCGGCCCGATTCGACGCTGGGTCGCTGGGCGAGAAGCTGCTCAGCGCGGCGAGGGACATTAGCAACACGGGGCAGAGCGGCTCGGACAAGGCCACGATCAATGAGAATCTGAGGAATTTTGGAAAGTTCTTTAGGAGGGATATCAGTGGCATTGGGCTTAAGTTTGGCATGCGTGACGGAGGCGAGGACTCGCAGCGATGAGGGGGGTTTTCGCAAAAGGGGGGGAAAGGGGAGAGTGGGATGGCCGTTTTGGATATGTCGCAAAAAGATGCCCTTGTGCGGGCCTGGACGTCATCCTACTACTAACACGACATGAACACAATCGTTGATACCCATTGCCGCATCGGTTCCATCTCGGGATTTGTCAGGGCCAAATATAGACGCAACTACAGTACTAGACACGACGAGGTATCATGGATTCCAGTGGCGCTGATGCCGATGCCGATGCCAGAGCAGACGGACGAACTCGGGCCATTTCACCAGTCTTGGTGCGCTTAGAAATCATTGGAGCCGAGGCAGAGCAGAAGCAATCGGGCCAGCCTTGCGTCTCCTGGAAGGGGTCCAACACAGCCGCTGTAGTAATCACGGTCCATTGATTCCACTCCAGTTTGGCTGGCTCGTTGATTGTGCCCTGCCACAGAGTACAGACACATCCGTCAAAGGAGAAATGATGCTGTAGATTCAGCTGCTATGATGTACAGGTGTCACTCCTTACCGCCCGAATTCAGTGCCTAGGCAGGGCTACAGTGGATTACTAAGGCTCTCTCTGCTTTGAGTGGGTGGGCTGTTGTTGCATTTTCTCTTTTGTCCCGCGGCTTCGCATCAGCTTGTACTTGTCCAGTAGCCCCGCCATCGCAAACCCGATTTTCAAATCCCACCTTCTGACCTAGAACCTACTACTACTACTACTAATCTTTTGCTTTATGCGACGTCTTACCAATACATAGATCTTCTATATATACCAGTTTCCTCTGCTATCTCTTGTCTTCCCTTTCCAGGTTATTATACAAACAAACCGCCAAACTGTTCACCTCAACGTTTCGACGGACGCTGCGTTCGAGTGCCGGGCTTTCGATTGCTGCTGCCGCCACTGCCTTCACGAAGAATACTCCTGCTGCCAAGCCGGTGGTTGAACGCGGGACGAGAACGATGCATACCAAGGTTGTCGGTGAGTCGCCTCAGAACGATCAGGAAGACAACTTCAGTGGGAAGATGGAAAGAAAGAAGCTGACTTTGCTGCTAAGTCATTGGGTCTGGGCCTGCGGCTCACACTGCTGCCATTTACTTGGCCAGAGCCGAGCTGAAGCGTGAGTTTTGCCCTGAATTGAACAGAAGAAACAAAAAGGATCATGTATGCTAATGCTGTGTGGTTGTTTTGGGTGTGTTATAGCCGTCCTGTTCGAGGGCTTCATGGCAAACGGCACCGCTGCCGGCGGCCAATTGACGACGACGACGGAGATTGAAAACTTTCCCGGCTTTCCCAAGGGCATCATGGGCCAGGAGCTGATGGTGAGTTCTCTTCTTCTCTCTCTCTCTCTCTGTCTCTCGTCTTGTCCCTTTCAAAGTACATATACTAACTGTGTGTGTGTGTGTGTCAGGACAACATGCGCGCCCAATCCGAGCGCTTCGGCACGGAAATCATCACCGACACCGTCACGACGCTCGACCTGTCCTCCCGCCCCTTCAAGTTCTCGACCGAGTTCAACCCGGACGAGACGCACACCGCCGACGCCGTCATCATCGCCACCGGCGCCTCCGCCCGCCGCCTCAACCTCCCCGGCGAGGACAAGTACTGGCAGAACGGCATCTCGGCCTGCGCCGTCTGCGACGGCGCCGTCCCCATCTTCCGCAACAAGCCCCTCTTCGTCATCGGCGGCGGCGACTCCGCCGCCGAGGAGGCCACCTTCCTCACAAAGTACGGCTCCCACGTCACCGTCCTCGTCCGCCGCGACCAGCTGCGCGCCAGCAAGGCCATGGCCTCGCGCCTGCTCAAGCACCCCAAGGTCACGGTGCGCTTCAACACCGTCGCCACCGAGGTCAAGGGCGACAAGGACGGCCTCATGAGCCACCTCGTCGTCAAGAACGTCGTCACCGGCGCCGAGGAGACGGTCGAGGCGAACGGCCTCTTCTACGCCGTCGGCCACGACCCCGCCACGGGCCTCGTCAAGGGCCAGGTCGACGTCGACGCCGAGGGCTACATCATCACCAAGCCCGGCACCACCGAGACGAGCGTGCCGGGCGTCTTCGCCGCCGGAGACGTCCAGGACAAGCGGTACCGCCAGGCCATCACCAGTGCCGGCACCGGATGCATGGCTGCCTTGGAGGCGGAGAAGTACATTACCGAGATGGAGTAGAGGAAGACCAGATGATTTGAAGTCTAGATACACTTGTATATAAGCAGCACATCTTTTTTATATTTTGGTTCGGTCTCGTTCAGGATTAGAGCAGAGAAGCGACAAGAGAAGGGTCGAAAAGAAATAGACTACAGTCGGATACACCAGATGCTCACAACCGCATTGCAATGCTCACAAATGCCATCTTCTCAGCCATCATTCATTGCTTCCATCAGGCATCAGCCGAGGAAATAATAACTGTATTTTCTCAAACTGCCCAACTCTTTTGTCTAGTGGCTTCAACGCCTTCAATTGCAAAGTGCCCCTGACAGAGGGCGTCTTCGTCTTCTACTGGCATAAACTCATCCAACCCATACCCCTAAACATTAGGTACTCTAGTGTTAACCAACGCTGATATCAACTCAAAAGATCATTAAACATATACTATGGTAACTTTTTTCGCTCCTCCGTCTCTTAGGCCTTCTCCAGCTCCAGGACGGCCGGAGCTGTGATGGTCTTGCCCTTGAGGTGCTCGAGTCCTTCACCACCCTGCGAGAAAATGTTAGCAATCAATCAAGATATGAGACGAAGCGACAACTTACGTAGCTAATCAGGGGAGACACCTCAATGCCACCCTCTGAGACAACAGTAGCGCCGGCCGCCTTGACCCAGCGGAGACCCTGGTCCATGATGTCGGCCTTGCTGGTGTCGGGATCGTCCTGTCCGGTGCCCTTGGCGTTCTTCAGAGGGGAGAACTCGTCGGCGCGGTTCACCTCCATGCAGGCAAACTTGTCCAGGGACAGCAGAGGGAAGCAGTCAAAGACGAACTGCTCGAGCTTGATGCCGTTGGGCTTGGCGGGCTTGATCAGCTCGCCCGACTCGAGGTCGAGGGAAGGAATCTTCTTGCGGGCAACGTGGTGGGGCAGCTTGTGCGCCCACGTAGGGATGCTCTCGAGGAAGCTGAACGAGTAGTAGTGGTTGACAATGTTGGCAGAGCGGAACTTGAGGAGGTCCGGGTTGCTGGGGTCGCGGGCCTCGGCAGTGGCCTTGTCAATCTCAGAGTACTCGACAACGTCGGGCTTGCCGTTCTTGGAGACAATCAGGCCGACGGACTCGGTGGCATCGCGCTTTCGCACCACCTTGGTGGCAATGTCGACCTTGTGGGCCGCAGAGAAGCCGATGAAGACGGGGTCGGCGACCTTGACGAGGCAGTTGTCCACGCAGTAGGCGTGGATGTGCTGGATGCCGCGCTTGCGCATGTCGTCGAGGACGCCGGAGACGATCAGGGCCTGGTAGATTCCGCCGTTGCCATCGGGGGCCACGGCAAGCTTGCCCTTGCCCTCAAGGATGATCTTGCCCTCGTTGGAGATGCAAGGCAGGACGCCCTGCTCGAAGATCTGAACGTTTTCCTTGGCCAGGCCAAAGTAGTTGTTGGCGGCGAAGAACTCCTCGGTGGGCTTACGGGTAGGGCCGCTGGTCATGACGTACCAAGGCACGACGACCTTGTCGGCGCCGGCCTTCTTGGCTGCCAGCTGCTCGACCTTGCGGATGCGCTCGGCCTGGATTTGGAAGAGCGACTTGTGCGAGGGCAGACCAATGTCGAAGCAGCCCTTGGGAGCAGAGCTTCCCAGTCTGGTGCCCTGGCCGCCGGCCATGAGCACGACGGCCACCTGGTTGCTGCCAATCAGATCCAGGCCGGACTCGTACCACTTGTTGATGTCGGTAGGGCTCGAGTCGAGGATGCTGGCGCGGGCAGACTCGGGAAGGGGCTCCAGCTCGGCAGCGGTGTCGTCATCTTCAGGGGGGTGCAGGGCCTTGTCGGCGATGTCGTTGATGAAGGAAGGGTCGAAGCCGGAGAGCTGCTCGAAGAAGACGGCCTGCTCGTCGGCGCTCAGGGAGTCGAAGAATGTGAAGACGTGGCCCTGGCCGGCGCTGGTGTACTTCTCCTTGAGCTGGGCGACAGCCTCGGGGGAAGGCTGAGGGGGAATAGCCTTGTCATTGGTGGCCTTGTGCAAAACGTTCTTGATGGCGTCCATTGTGAAGGTTGTGGAATTAAAGAGAATCTATTAGGAGGTTTGGAGATGTATGTGGAGGTGGAAGCGAACGAATTGAGGGCAGCAGCTGCAGAGGAGAGAGAGGGTAGAAGTGAAGAGAAGGAAGAGAAGAGTGACGATGACGAGGAAGAAACGAGGGAAAGCAGCGGTAATGTATGATAAAAGAGGAGGGAAGGAAAGGAGACGAGGCCTTGGCCAAGGTCAGGAGCGATCAATAGGAGAAAAAGCCTAGCAGTACAAGTACGAGGCCGAGTACAGGCAGGTACAAGTAAGCGGGCCTCTTCTCCACAGCGAGGCCATCGTCGTCGCGGTCGTTGCGAGGTATCGTGCCGGTACCTCCTTGCGATCCCCAAACACGGGCTTTTTCTCCTGGCTGACGTCGTGCTTCTTTTCGTCACCCCTCCATGGAAGCTAAGCAGGAACGAAGAAGGGGGGCGCGTTAGCAGGTACGGTAGGTAGTGGAGGAGCTTGAACCGGCCAGGAGCCGACTTTGCGGGTACATGCTGCTGCAGCCCCTGCTGGGGCGAGGGCGCAGGTACTGGCGCCGTACCTGAATTTGTCGAGTTACAGTACCAGCCTCGGAGACTTTGCACCCTGATGACCGGTAAGGTGAAAGCATCGTGGCTGTGCTGTTATGCAGTATCTTACCTCACCATACTTGTATATCCAATAAACAGCTGTGGTTAAGTTTGTCATTCCTTACTTATGCCTTCTACCAGCCACATGTCACGGCCTTCGAGAACCAATTCGTATCAGTCCGTCCATCCAAGGCTGAGGCGGAAATTTGACGGTGCTTCTATTTTCAGCTTCGAGGGAGGCGATGCGGCACCTGGCCTCCACAAGGTACAAGTACCAGCTCCAGGTCAGCCCTCCGCCTCGCAGGAACGCTGCAGGGCCGGCCCTCCACTAACGTCGCCAGCTACAGCAGCTAAGACCGCCCCCTAGCCCTAGCGGGTTCCAGTGGGTTCAGTCACCACAGGCTGGAAGCATCCGTACCATTGAGATGGAAGAACCTGCCACGATTCTTACCTACATTGTCCACGAGTTCAACCTCGACAGATGGCCAGAACGCCTTGCTGGACATGTCATCTCAGCGTCTGGCAACTGGTGATTACTATATCGACGAAACCGAGAGCATCACGGCCTGCCCTCTTTGTCCCTCTCCATCCTCGGCCACTCGTCTCCTGCACGAGCACCAAGTAGCTGCAGCTGCACATCCGGCTATCCTCGCCTTGGAGCCGATCTCCCCGTACATGTATGGCATGGGTCCCTTTCTCCCACCAGAACAGACGTCAACAACGGGTCCGGATACGAGCATCAGGGGGGGATTCGAGCCGCATCTGTTGGTTTCGTGTGTGTGCTGTAGCAGTGGCTGGTACGGGCAAGTAGACACTCTGTGCCCCTATCTGGGCCGGCCATGTGTGCGCATCCCTCCCAATGATTGCTGGCATCGGATGCCGTGTGACATTCGACTGTTTATCCATCGTCAACAATGATTGGCGTGAGTTGGGCTCTGGAGACACCCCGTGCTGTTATCATAGGGCGCCTTCTGTAGATGTCTGGGGACTCTATTGATGGCACCCCTGCGTTGGCCAAACCACCACACGGCCTCCAGCTCTGCTCTGCTTTGCTTCTCTTCTATGGCCTCTTTGCTCTTGCTGGACAATTCGACGGTCAGAGTCTGGGGTTCGTGCAGGACCGTCGTCTCGTCACGTTCAGGCGAGATGCCCTCCATGCTCCATACCTAACGAGACGCACCGCCAACAGCAGCACCGTCTTCACACCAAACAAGTCATAGAACAGAGCACGCAGAGCGATACAGCTTCCCTCAGCCGCACGGCAAGCTCTGCGGATTGGCCACTAATCAGACCACGAAAGCAGGAGTGCGGCAAGGGGCAACATACAGCAGCCATGCACTATTGACTTGCAGCGAAATTGAGGCTTGCAGTTGTTGAGTCGTGTCAATGCCTGTATGGCTTCTTCTGAGCTTGGCGCACTTGTACGAGTATGTACGACCAAGATGAGTTGCTGTTCCCTGAGTCGAGTCCGATAACTGGTGCTCTTGATGCCGCAGGTGAGATGCATACCTGCCTGTTTTCCTCCGCAATTGCTGTGAAGAGCCTCGATGCATCTGCGGTCTTCGCTCACGGCTTTGGCACTTCACCGCAACTTATCCAGCCCAGAACATGGTGCATCTGCCCATACTGATAGGTCACTCAGCCGACCCCTGCGTGTTTCCTCATCCTGGATGGTCTCTGGCGATGTGTACGGAGCGCGGAGTACGAAGCATCCAATAGTCCGTTGCGCTCGACGGTTCACTGGCATCGTGAAGCAGGAGTCCTGAGAGCGACTAAATCACAGGCTTCCCTTATCGCTGGATGTCTTTGAGCATACGGGATTCGTAACAAAATTGGCTCATGGTTCGCGTGTTTGTAACGTCTTGCAGCAGTCGACATGATGATTGAGATCATTTGCGCTCGTTTTGTGATATTCACATGTACAAGGTGTTGGAATTCGAGAGATGCTGCATGAGGGCAAGGGGGGCAGCCGTGGCTACGCCAACGCTAACTGAACTTCAATTGAGTTCAGAGCATCACGATCTCGAGCAGGACAACAACAACCAGCCTGTAGCAATTACTGCCTCTTCCCACTCGCTTGCTTCAGCCGCAGACGAAATCATACTTTGATGTATGTTTAGTTCAGCAACTAATAAATAAACATGCCGCTCTGCTGCCCCGGCGGAAAACGGCCACGATCACCGCAGCTCAGCTGCTTTGCCACAACGGCTTAGTCAGTCGGCGGCAAATATAGAGTCAATCCTTTTCACAATCTTCACCTCACGGATCTTTCAAGCTGCGAGTGAGATTGATCGGGCATCCTCATTCACTCTCTTTGAATCATAAGTCTAATTATGTTATAGCGTCGCAAGCAATTGGAAAAAAGCTCATTGCCATAAGCGCTCTCGGTCGATTTTCCGGGTCGGACGAAGACCTCAGCTTACACGGATTCACGCACTTCACATCAGCCAACATGGACTCAAGAGACGACGTCTCAAACCCGGACGAGAATGTACCAGCGGACGCTCGAAAGCCGGCAACGTTCGAGGGCCGCTTGCAGTTGAACAAGTTCATGTACAATGGGCAGCAGCCGGTCCGCAGGAGTCCTCGGTTTGCAGCGGCGTCCGAATCGCCATCGTCATCCTCAACCACCAGCGTGACGGCCTCTGTACGAATATCATCTACTACAACAACAATATCATCATCATCATCATCCTCACCAGTCAGCAAGAGATCGTCCGTCAGAAAGAGATCATCAGTCAGCAAGAGACAACCTCCCAGCTCCCCATCACCCTCTTCATCGCCGGCAAAGAAGAAGAAGAAGCGCACAAGGCCCAGCTCGGGCTACGCTCCGCCCTCGACGTACGCGCATCTGCCCGAGCTCCCCGACGCCGTCGCGCCCAACCTGCTCGTCTTCTTCATCGGGCTGAACCCGGGCATCGAGACGGCCCGCAGCGGCCACGCCTACGCGCACCCGTCCAACCTCTTCTGGAAGCTGCTCTACTCGAGCGGCGTGACGCCGCGCCCGTGCCACTTCAGCGAGGACAGGCGCATGCCCGAGCTGTACGGCCTCGGCCTGACCAACATCGTCGCGCGGCCGAGCCGCAACGGCGCCGAGCTGAGCAGGCGCGAGATGGACGACGGCGTCGCCGCCCTCGAGGACAAGGCGCGCAGGTGGCGGCCCGAGAGCATGTGCGTCGTCGGGAAGAGCATCTGGGAGAGCATCTGGCGCGTGAGGCACGGCGCGCCGGTGGGCAAGGCGTTCAAGTACGGGTGGCAGGACGAGGCGGAGAACATGGGCGTCATTGAGGGCGAGTGGCCGGGGGCCAGGGTGTTTGTCGCGACGAGCACGAGCGGGCTTGCGGCGTCCATGTCGCCGGCTGAGAAGCAGGCCGTATGGAACCAGTTGGGGTCCTGGGTCAAGAGGCGGCGAGCTGAGAGGGAGGCTGAGAAGGAGGAGAAGAGCGTAGATGTGGCGGGTTCGGCATCATGACCTAATAGAGCATTACATACATTACGACACCAAACACCACTGCAGCACTTTATGCAATTGACTACACGAATTGTATAGTATCATAAGGAGGAGGCTTCACGTTGAAGCTCTCTGTTGTAAGTTCTTTAACTTGGGTACCTTGGTATGTACAGGTGCATGTACCTTAACTCCCAGCAACCCACCAATCACACGCGCCGCGCAAATCCAGCCTCGCCACCAGAAATGACATCGTCTGTCTCTTCCAACCAAACTCCCAAACCCTCTTCCTTCCCCATACCACCTTGTCCATCCTACTCCGTCTCTCAACAACCACAGAAAACCAGCCCTCTACATTTCAAAGAAAACTCAAGGGGCATAACCCATCCAGAAAGAATGTCATCAATAGGCCCCCAGCTACCACCCCATCTCACAAAGCGCCGCCGAGACAGCGACACCGACGAGTCATCAAACAAACATGCACGCCGCGACCAGAACCAGGACGAGATAGATCTCAATGCCTCTGCGTCTGACTCTGAAGACGAATACGCACCGAAAAGACCATCTTCGCCACCTACCACTTCTTCTACTGCTCCCACTGCGCCAAAAGCAGCAGTAGGGCCAAGTCTCCCACCACACCTCGCCAACACAAACACCACGAACACAGACGAAATCACCCTCGACAACTCCGACTCCGACTCAGACACCGGCCCAGCGCCCCCTCCAAACCATCCCCATCCCCATCCTCCTCCTCAAACCACCGCGAACCCCGACCCCGAATCCTCAGACTCCGACGACTCCGACGCCTTCGGTCCCTCCCTCCCCACCGCCGCCCACCGCCGTCAAATCGGTCCCTCCCTGCCCCCTTCTCTCCAAGACGACGACGACGCGCCCAAGCGCGACGAATGGATGCTCGCCCCGCCGCCCTCGTCAAACACCTTTTCCGAGCGCGACACCACCCGCATCCGCGCCCGCAAGTTCGCCTCCTCCAAGCCTCATTCTACCACTACCTCCTCCTCGGCAAACGCAGGGGGACCATCGATATGGACGGAAACACCCGAGGAGAAACTCCGCCGCTTGCAAGATTCCGTGCTGGGGAGGGCGCCAGCGGCTGGTACCTCGTCATCAGATGCCCAAACAGTTGGCATGTCAGAGCAGCAGGCTAAGAAGCTGCAAAGGGATGAAGCCCTGTCGGCTAGTATCCAGGCGCAACGAGGCAAGACGCTCCTCGAGCAGCATCAGGGTGGCAAGAAATCGGCAACTGCGTCGTCTAGGGGCGGCAAGGAAGAGGAGGAAGAGGACGATCCGAGCAAGAGGGCGTTTGATCGGGAAAAGGACATGGCGGTGGGAGGAAGGATCACGGCGACGCAGAGGAGGGAGCTGATTAACAAGTCTGCCAACTTTGGGGGGAGGTTCCAGAAGGGGTCGTTCTTATAGCGGGATTCGCCAGTCTTGGTGCCTTTTTCCCTCTTGTGATTTGCTTGGATCAACTACACAGATGGATCTGTAGAGGATCTAGATAGAGCATAATAGCCTGAGCATGATAGCCTCAACGTGATCAACTCCATCGAATGAGTGGGGATTTTTGAATATAACTTCGAGTGTACACTCATGATACGATGCAAGGCACACGCGTCCAAGTTCAATGAAACATCTTCACCGATTCTTCATTGATAACGTCGAGCTACCAAGAGAAACCACCATAGCCTCCCAACTCCGCCGCTCATGTCCCATGTCGCCTTCATCTTAGAACACGCTCGGAGCTCTGTCGAGTGAAAAAAGACAAGAGAGGAAACCCAGACCCATCGCGGGGAGGTACCAGAAGCAGGAAAGAAAGAAAATAAGAGGAACCATTCATACATGTGCACAGCCTCATACATGGAAAACCATCCGTCACTCCTCCCCTTGCCTGCCATCCATATTTCCCATTGCGAACCATATTTGAGTAAAACCAGAAGAGCTGCCTTACCTGTACTTGCTCCTCCTTGAGCGCCTATATACTTTGTAGTTGCACTTCAGAGACCGATGTGAACGTGCCGTAGAGTGGCCAATACACAGATGACGAAAACCGCGAGAAAAAGAAAAGAAAAGCTGTCATAATGCGACCGAAATGCCGAACCAGGCGCGTAATATGATTTCGAGCTTCATGACGGGTATGCTCAACACACGTGTTGGTAGAGAGAGAATTGCCACTGTTTGAAAAAGAGGAACATCACGCGCAAAAGAAAACCGGCAACACCAAAGACCAGATGTAACGGTTCAAACCCTGGCTTGCGTGGCGGCGGTGGATCACCGAGTGCCCGACTCCAGCTGTGAAGGGGTCACCGTCTCCGTTGCATTCATTCTCGGAGGCGGCTCAACTGTTCGTCCAAAGCGGATAGCGTGCCGGACAGACGACAGCATGGTGACGGGAGCTGATGGCCGAGCCTGCTCTGTGGCATTGGTGGCTGCTGGGTTCTGCTGAGCTTCCGTCGCCGCGTCAAGTGCTGCCGCCTGTGCCCGTCGCCGTCCTGGCAATCGCAGCAGAGAAGAGGGGGGCCTCGAGTTGTTGTCGCTGTGACGACTGCTATCATTACGATTGCCCGAACTGCGGAACCAAGTCCTGGCAAAGCCCACGGGCAGGTTCATTCGGGAATTCTGGCGCGGATCGAGATTGGCGTTGTTGCCAGCCGCGGCGGCATCACCCTCGGGGTTGGGCCTGGGCTTCGGGACGTAATAGTCGGCCTTGCACAGCGGGCAGCATGCGCGACGGCTGGTCAGCCATGGGTCGACACAGACGGCATGGAAAGTGTGGCCACAGGTCAGGCCGCGGACGTCGTCGTCGTCTTCGAGGGTATCGATGCAGATGGCGCAGGTATCGCCAGACGTGTTGAGAAGTTCTGGCGGCAGGGCGGCATTAATCTGCTCGTCGTCCTCTTCGTCCTCTTCGTCCTCCTCCTCTTCGGTCGTCGTCCGCTTCAGGTGGGAAATGGGCTTGACGGGTCCATCCTCGGGCGTCTCGGCGATCGTCGTGGCGTCCTTCTTGTCGTCATCTGGCTTCACAGCAATCTCCTTGTCCTGTTCGGTTTTGGTGGCTGTAGAGGCGTCTTCCTGAACGGGCTTGACTTCGGCCGAGGCGCGTTCTTTGGCAGCAACATCGGGGATAGCCCCCTCTACGTGGTGGACGCTATTGGGCCGACTGGGGGTTCCGACGCCTCCCGCAGTGGGCAGTCCTTCCCGAGCCCGCTGCGAAACCCACGTCTTGTACTTCATCATGGGGAACTTGTCGTTGACCTCGTCCATGGTCATGAGCTTCTTCTCACGTCTCCTACGGTGAGGGCGAGGCATGTTTTCGAGGGTGATGGGCTCGCCATCTTCATTGGTCATGCGAGCCCGGTTGCGAGCATTGTATCGAAAGCAGTACTTGACGCCAACGATGATCCTGTGGAGACGTTAGAGGATGCCGCTGATGAGGTCTTGACGAGAGGTGACATCAAATTAGAGAGAAGTCGTATAGTTACCGACCACTTCCTCAATTTGACCGCAAATACATACCACAAGTTGGTGAAGACGACTCCGAATCCCAGCGCAACGAAGAAGAGCAGCGGAGAACTAGAGCCGCCGCCCTTGTTGTTGTTATTGCTGCTATTCGTGTTGGAGGGAATGGCAGTCTGCGGGCTGGTGGTGTCTGACGTTGTCGCAGAGGCCGTCTCGGTCGCAGCGCGAGCGACGACGTGGGCGACCTCGAAGACGTGGTTGATGATGGCCATTGTTTCGGCTTTGAAGGAAGAGAGAGTGAGGGCAGGCCGTGGCTGAGTCGACGTCTTATGGTCCAGGTGCCAAGACGGACAGCATGGATCAAGCGACTGCGACGGCGATGGCGATGGCGACGGCGACGGTGGATGGGTTCTCTAGTCCAAAGCGCGATGCAGGCTCGGAGTCGTCGCGGCGTCGAGAGGGTGCACCATGCAAGGCTGAAGTCGGGTGCAGGTCCTACGATCTCTCTTTTGGAGTCGTTCCTCTTTTTTTCCTGGTTCTCTTTTTCCGGCCTCGTCCAGGGTGTTGTCTACTTTTTGCCGTGTCTCCACGTCATACAAGAGCGGGAAAAGACAAAGAAGAGGAAGGAAAAGAAAGAAAACAACTCAGATGCCCTGTGTGAATCAACAGCTTCGGCTGCTCAACCACAGCGCTCGAACAATGCACTGCAAAGCGATGGGCTGGTGCGCGGCTCACAGCGGACGGCGAGCAACAGCGCGTGGGAGGAGGAAGAAGGTCATGAAAGAGCGGCAGAGGAAGATGCAGAGAGAAGATTCGCAGCAGAGGCACAGACGAGTCGATGGTTCGAAACTGCGGAGTGCAGCAGGTGGAGCGGGCTCTCGACTTAAGAGGGAGGAGGCGATTCAGTGGGCATCCACCGCCCTCGGGCCTGCGTGGCCGGTACCGGGTACTGCGGGCTGCCCGCGAGAGATGGGCGACGATTGAGGTACCGGGTACGGGGCACAGTGCTGACGAACCCAGCGCTGCCGGCGTGTCGAGCAGGTCCAGCAGCAGAAAGAACCGGCCGCTTTCGACTTGCCTGCCCCCTCTTTTGCTCGGGCAGGTTGCGTTCAATGTTCACTGCTGCTGCTGCTGCTCCAGGGGGGTGTGTGACAGCAAACCGGGAGCCTTGGAACTCAATTGGGCACTGTGACGACTGGAGACCTGCGCTAAAGCCCCCCCCTGCGAGAGGGCCTGGAGGGCGCTGGGGGTGGAGCTGGCGTGGGTGGCTTAGTGGCTTTCGACGCGCTGGTTTGTGGGCGGATCAACTGGGCTGCAGCCACTGGGTTTGACTGGTGCGGGTGCCTCTGCTCTCGATGACTTCGTACTGTGGTCGTGGTTGTATTGATTGGGGCCGTCGGGGTTGCAGTTGAGCCGTGGGGGAGGGATCGTGTTCGAGCACATGTATTTTGCGCCATCAGACCTCGAATCGTGCTATGGTCAAGCAGAGGCACGAGATCTGTGGACGGCGGGTGAGCGTGATGGAGCTGCGGCACTGATTACTACCGGTTGGCTGGGAGCGGGAATATCAAATGTGCGCATCAGCAATACGAATGCATGCAAGTAGATAGTATCTATCGTATGTGCGCGCTTCGGACAATCAGAGGCCGTGTCTGTATGTAAGCCCGAAAATGCGTATTACTACTACTGCTCTGTACCGCTGCCACTCATGTGAGCTATTATCTACCTGTATCTTGTACGACTCCAGTCAGAGCAGGAATCGAGGTGCGATAGCCTCATCCGGGTTTGTTGGATACTACCAGATAACAGGTACCAGTCAGCGTGAGAACCAACAGTTCGACTCCCGCAGGCAAGGCGCCACTACCGACGGCAGGGGCGAAGAAATTGGAGGCAAATAGGAGCTGAACAGGAGCTGAGCAAATAAAGAGGAAAGAAGAAGAAAAAAGGAAAAATCCAAGGCAAACGCAGCAACGAACACCCTCGACGCCCCCCCAGGGCAACAAAATAGATTGAATGTCTCACAGCGGCGCCGCAAATAGCAGCAGCAGCCCGCACTGGCATGCATGCGACAAATGAGACTGGTCAATTCCCAATTCCCAGTTCTGCTCAAGATGTCGGTCCCATTTGATCGCTTTTGGCCCCGTCAAGCCGCGGCTGACGAGCATCAGTTAATCAATAGCCTTGCGATCCCTGAGCCGATTTCCAGTTGCCATTGCGTATTGCTGCTCTTCGATAATACTACTACTACTACTATGTATTTCCCTCTTTTCCAGTCTCTTTCTCTCCTTCTCCCCCCTGCCCATATTAGCCGGGGCTGTGGATCTTCTCCCACCGGGACTCCGTAGTCTAAACCGACGTCGAGGGCTCGTTTCGACGCCGTTCGCTTCAGATGACATGCCAACCAATGCCTCCATCCTCACATCCTCCATCCTCTCCAGTTTTTTACCCTCTGGGTTAGGCCGACGAGGGCGCCGATCGCCGTTGCAAAACGGCTGCGGCTTCGGCGGCTTCGGCCACGGGCGGGTCGACTCGACTTCCAAAGTTCCGGCCACCTGCGAGCCATGCCGTTTCCCCAGCGCCTCTTTTCTATTTCTCGCCTTGCCTGCTTGAGGATAGATTCATAGATACGTAATGGAGGATGGACGCACTACGAGTAGGTATGTACTATCTATGTAAGAGGCTACGGCTGACACGGCACCGCTTGGGAGCTAACAGCTTGCCTGTGCTAGGGCGAGGATTATATGCCCAGGTTGCCGGTCAATTACTCCGTCCATAGAGACAAAAGACCAAGAGGCAAAAAGCAAAAAAACAAGGTGATTGAAAGATGAGACTGGCGTTGGGCAAGCACATCACCAATGAGACATCTATTCTTGCACGCACAGGCCTGGACCCGTGCCTTGCTTGCTACAAGTACCTACCAGTATTCGGCCGAATTTTTGCAGATTTTCGTGAGACATGCATTGTTCGCAGGGTGACCTGACTGGTTCAGGCTCGGTGGCTTGCTTCTTTTTCTCCTGTTCTCTACTTCCGCCTCAGACACACTCATTCACGCATACCTGCACAGCACTCTGGGCCTCGTTGCCAGGCCATGCCCTGCCCTGCCCTGCTCCTCTCGTCGAAATCTTGCAAAACCAGGGGTCTCGTGCCAATCCCAGGTGGCGATCCTGGAATATTACTTGTATTGTACCTACAGTATGGCTCAGTGTATTGATTGTTGAGCTTCTGCGCAAGCGTAGGTATTCTTGCGGGTTCGGACGACAAACGGATTGATTCAGAGACAACCCTGCTCCATGTACTCCGTAGTCGGTTCTGTCATTATCCGTCGAGCATCCCCATGTGATTGTGCGTCTGAATACCATTCAAAGTGCGACGCATTCGTGCGCGTTTCCATGTCGACCTGAAATCGTCCACAACGCCGCCGTTTGTGGTGCGACAAGCGGCCGAGGGTCGAAATCGAAAGCGGTGGAGGCTACATGTATCTTACTTTTGGTGTAAGGGAAAATGAGGAAAATGTTAACCTGCGACTTGCTTCACGTCTCTGTCTCATGTATCCCCCGCTCTGCAGTTTGTCTGCCTGTGGCGCGCGTAGCTGTCGAACAGATGCGGGCAGAGTGACATTCTTGCCGCCACTACCGAGCGTACCGGGACATCTTGAGAACGAATTAGTACCAGCGTCGCAACTTGCGTCAACCTTGGACTGCAGCATCTACATAAGCATTTGCGCTTCTCCCGGAGTTGCGCAAGGTTGGCAGATGTCCAAGCCTGGTGCTACAGACTGCTCCGTGCTTTTCGACTAGTACATACAATCGCGCTGTCACTCTGCATCATTCGGCATGGCCCGCACGTTCTCATACAAGTTGCAGACAAGCCCTCTGAAGGCCATCTCGATAGATCTGGCCGAGATCGCAACGTCTGTTACGTCTGATCGCCGCCCAGCGTCAAAGGCTTGAATTGTTTCCCTGAGCCACGCAATAATAACCACCAGCAATCCATGGCGCCGCCAGCGGGCTTCCTAGGCACCCTGATCCTTGATTGTTCGACACAAAAAGCTGCAGCCGGTATTATTCCCATCGTGAGGGGGTGTGTGCGTTGTCGACAGTGCGCAGTATCCCCCGCTGTGCACTGTTCCATACCTTAGCGTCGATGCAGACGAGCTCCTGCAAGAACCTCGAAGCCTTTAGCATCAGAGTTGCAAAGCTTCTGGCTGGAGAGGAAAAACTGGCCACAGACGGCAATGACGACAGCGGAGCGGAGGGCGCAAAATCCGGTGCTCAGCCTCCTTTCCAGCGATTCGGATTCTGGAGAGGTCCGAGATGTGGGTTGGAATACCTACTAGGTACCTACTTCCACGACGTTGCAGGTTCTTTTGGCCGGATCATGCCGAATTTAGGTGGCCCGACACTTTGGACAGAAGCGCACGGGGACAGCTGAATCTCTTTCCTACCTACCTATTCTCTGCTTTGATTGAGGTGTTTTATTTTGTAAATTTGCATGCAAAGCAGCGGAACTGCACGAACCACCTTCGTATTATTATCCCATCTTACATGTGCACTGGATCGTCAACGCACGGCCGTCTCGGGCCTCCCGTCTTCCGTTCAGGGACATTCCAGATATAGGGCGGCCTAGAGGATCAATGGCCGTGCCCGTCAGCCTTATTCTAGGTCAGCCAGAGTGCATATGAGCAGAAATACAACAGAAATCTTGTACTACAACAATCGTGAGATCGAGACCGGATTTCGATATGATGTCCACTGCATGGGAGAGGCATATCCGTTCAAGTACGTCGTCCAGCCATTGTCGTTGCTCCCTCCATCTGCTTCACAGCGTCAGGACAGGGCCGCCATCCGCCTACATCCCACACCAGCACCCAAAAAGGGCATATCCTCCCTCGTTGCTGCTCCGCCTCCTCGCGATGACAGATTGCTTGACATATCCTGACAAAGGATGGGGGAAAAGGGGCCCATTTCCACCTCCACGCATGACCCTCTCTTTCCTTGCTTCTAGAAAGCCGATGGTTTATCACGAGCGGGCACCCAATATTACGGTAGACTACAATAGATCTATACAGCCACATACTATATCACTGTGCTGACGTCCACTTACTACAAATAGGTAGTGTCACTCCATCTAGTATATCTCTCTCCACCATCTGAGCACATGTATTCGGAGATCCCCAGCCGGCCGAACGGGGCCCCGGAGCAATTCTTTCCTTTTATCCCCCTCTTTTGCTTCCAAACGAAACAAAATAGATAGAAGAAGCCGTGCTGCTTTTTCAAAGCTTAACAAGTGCTGAAATGCGCTTTTCGGCGGGAAATCAAGCTGGACCGAGGGGGGGCTAATGCGTAAGGATGGAGAAGTCGGTGGCATGACCGCGCATCCATCGTCCCATGAAAAACATACAACTCAAACACCTTTTTGCTGCTTCTGTCTCTCTTTAAACGTTGGATCAAGGCGTGTTTGACAGGATTTGATTGCAATGCCAGACCTGTCCGTCCATCGCCCCCGTCTTTGTTCTACGGAGGCAAATGGAAGAGAAGCAACTTGCCGTGGATGAACAAATCGTGGTAATAATGTGTAACTTCGTAGACGGTCCTTTTTGGTGGCTTGAGATGGATCCATTTTGAATGGTGTGCCAAACAGCATTCCTCGCTTCTCGAACAAAGGTAATAAAGCCACCGTGATAAAAAACAATCCAGGCCTTCTTACATCATATTTAGGCACATCTAGGATAAATTTCGAGTATAAATCCTAACAGCCCGTTTTCCGCTCCCCTTGGTAACCCCACGGATGACTCGGGCCCAAAGCACAACTTCCATGACGATGTATGAAACAAATCAATTCAGAAAGAAGAAGGAAAAAGAAGAAGAAAGCTTCACATGAAAATTCTGTTGAACCAAAGAAATGTTAAAAACCTTCATATTGTGGACTTTTTGATCGGCACACCCATCTCCCATCATAACACACATTCCAAAGGACCGTTTTTTTGCTCGCGGTACCTGTTTTGCGTGGCGTTTTGCTATGCGCAAGCCACAAGGGCGCAGATCGCTTGCAAACGGATATTCCGAATGCCCGTGAGAAAATTGCTTCTGGAAGGATAGTGTGAGTATGAGTTGTTCTGGCTTGGAAGGGATCGGGGTACAGTTTGTGCTAGTCTATACCTCAGTGGACTGCTGTGGTCATTGATTGAAGAAGTCGACTCGTAACCAGAAGAGTATCTATCTCAAGGCAATATTGCCGCGTAGAAGGGAAAAGAGAGACGATTGAATAGCAGCGCATGTCGGTAAGGGTTGGTACCGTCAAACATATTCAACGCCTCACCCACGAAACACATCGGCACAGACTTCTTAATTACACAACAGTCACAAACCTTTAGATAAAAGAGAATTTATCGTGCTCATTGCGAGGCCTCAAAAAGTGCCATGACTTTAAACGAAAGCAGTAAACCGCCTAAAACGACAGGAATATAAACCTCCTAGAGTTTTCCCCTTTTCCCTTTGGTATCTCCCATTCCGTTACCGTGAAATGCCAAATCCCAACCTGTAAAAAAGAAAAACGCGGGATTGCTAGATCTTGTGCTAGGCCCCTTATCGAAAATGAATCAAACCAACTGAAACCAGATTCGTGTGCGTTGCGAAAGGAGATAAAAAGGAAATTGAGTGAGTGAGGACAGGAGAAGTGTAGTGAGAGTGATGAGACAGGAGAACAAAGCTGCTGTATGACAGAACCGTATTCGCCCTGGCCACACAAAACACCATTCAGCCCGAGCCCATCCCGTACGCGCTTAGTGGCGGCCGAATGCCCAGTCGCGGCGACGATGGCCCGGGATGAACGGCGTCACAGTTGGACGGCCGTTGTTCAGGTCGACGCTCGAGCTGGAGCTCAAGAGCGAGAGAGTCGTGGTCGGCCTCTCAGCCGGGCTATTGCCTGGCGGGGTGGCAGCAGGCACACCCGGACCCGTCACGAAGACGGTCGAGGGCGCAGGGTTAACAGGCACGAGAGACTTGTAAACGGTCTCCATCGTGTATATGGTGGCAGTTACGGTCGATGCTGGTGGCGTCGAAGCCGGCACATGGACTGTAATGTACTTGGTGACGGTGTGACCAGGCTGAGCCAAGTTCAGCGACGCTGACGACGATGGCACAACCGCAGTCTGTGTGCCATAGCGTGTCGTCGTGATAGTTGGCTGCATGGTGGTGAAGGAAGTAACGGTGCTGATGGGTGCAACCTGGGGAGGCTGGATGGGACCCGAAGAGGGGATAGAGGGAATGGGAGCGGCAGGAGGTGGGCCAGGGGCGGTCGCGTCCTTGCCTCCGTTGGCATCGACGGCAACCTCAAAGTTGCTGTCCATCTGGGACTTGAGAGCCTTGGTGTAAATGTCTTGATCATCGACGTATGATCCCATGGTGGCGGCCTGAGGGTCTGCAGCCGTGATCTTGATGTCGATGGTGCTGGCGTAACTCTCATTCTTGGCGATGGCAGCCATGGTGAAGCCGTGAGGATCCTTCTCTCCACGCATAAAGGTGCCAGCCCAGGGGAAGAGGCCGTTGGTGGTAGCCTGGAAGTCGATGGCGTCGGCGTTCAGATCAGGCCAGTCCCAGTACCAGTAGATGGTGTAGATGGAGCCGGGCTTGAGGTCGGTGGGCAGCTGGAGGGTAGACTGGCAGCCAAGTTCGATGTCGTGCTGGGCGCCCTCAGAAGCCAGCTTGGTAGCCCGCTCCATGCTGATAGAGCCGCTGTTTGGTTGATAGCACTGGCCGTCGTCGTAGTTGCGGGTGGCCAGGAGGCGGCCACGGCCGTCACCACCAGTGCCCTGCTTGTTCCAGACAAGATGGACATCAAAGAGGCGCTCCTCCTCCTTGGGCTGGCTGGTGCCGTAAAGGAAGACGGTACCGCGGTTGAGGGGCTTCTTGGGCTGGTTCTGGGGGAGAGTGGTATGACCGTTTTCCAGATGGATGATGGCTATGTGGTCGCCCGGTGCGGCCTCCAGCATAGGAAATTGAGGGTTCTCATCAAACTTGTACTTGTTCAGCACCTCATCCCCCGAATAGGCACCCTGGCCAGCAGCAGGAAGAATCCACTGCGGGATGATGTCCTGAAAGACGGGATCAGTAGAGTTGCGAGCGACCCAGCCGCGAGCGTAACCCTCAGCACCGATCATGGTGCCGTTGGCGGCGACTTTGTACGCCTTTTCGATCCATGAGTGGCCGTTGGCGAGGGTGGCGAGGGCCGCAACCATCGTGGCCTTGAGGCCGATGTGCGGAGTGGAAGCCATTCTCACGGTCGAGACGCGTCTCCTGCGAGGATGCTGAGTGGTTTGACTTGCTGATAAGAGAGCGTTCTCCTGAGTTGCCGAGCAGGTAAGGACTGAGTCAAGAAGAGATATCAAGGAACGAATGCTATTGACCTCGCTGAGGAAAAAGGCTGAACCAAAATTCGATCGTGAGGTTGACGTGCGCGCTTTTTTTTGTGAAGTTTGTGTTTTGTTGTTGTTTGGCAAGAAGAAGAAGCGAGAGAACGCGAGAAGGAGAATAAATATGGGTTGCCAGGTGGCAGAAAGCCAGCGCGGTCTGCGTGTGCGCGTGAGTGTTCGCGATAATTGGCGGACCGGCGAACAGCTGGTGAACAGCTGGCGGTGAATCTTTTTCTCGAATGATTTGATGTGTGAACAGCTTTTGCCGATTAGGGTTTTTCCAAAAGGATGGCTCTCAGTTGAAGATTGAATTGTATTTGTATCCTGTCCGTTGAACTCGTATCGGTCATGTAACAGTCGAGTGCCGTCGTTGAAGTTGGTTCGCAGCTTGAGGATATTCAGGGGGGAGGGTGAATCACGTCCAGCGTCGTTCGAACCCGGTGAATTAGTGAAGATGATGGAGAGTGTCGTTCTATAAGTCGTAATAGATCCCAGAGAAAAGGAAAGAGAAGAGAGAAAAAGAAAAGAGAAAAGGAAAAGAACAAAAGGAAATAGTTGTCTTCTCTCTTCACCTTGCCATCCTCAGAATCGTCTCAACCCGTTGGCAACAATCAGACAGCCTTGTGACAATCAACCCACGCACTAAAGGCAAACCGGCACAATGGTAAAACAGATGCCGCCCGCGCAAGCAAGCAAGAAGCAACGTAATCTATGGATGGTATGAAGATATGGAAGAGTAAGAGAGGGGAGGAGAGGGAGAAATCGAGCAAGATATGACGAACAAGTAGATTCACAGGCAAACATCCCACGATTCACCCACGAGTCGACGGGACCAGGAACTGTATTTACATAGCTGACGCCTCTGGCCGCGCCGCTCGGCTTCAATGGCAACCTATCGAACGCATGGCTTCGGGCAGAGGCACGGCATCAGAGTGGCCGCTTGACCAGGCCCAGGTCATGAGATGAGACAGCCGCAGGACCATTCAACCTGGGCGGCCGTTTGTATGACGGCAGTGCGGCGGCTGATGAAATGAGGGCCAAGCCGACCGGGCCATTGGACACGACAGCCACAGCTGGAGACCACGGAGAAGAGAAGAGCACGTTGAAGAGGCTGTAGGCCTGATATCTGGTGTTTCAGCGGACGAGCGTCAGTCGCCGCGGATTGGCGACGACAGCCAAGAGCCGCGGCTTGCGGCAGCGGCGCCTGCAGGACGAGATCTGGCAGATGGACAGCTTCAAGTACCTGCAGTAACGCATCAAGTACTGCGCTGGTAGCGCTGCACCGGCCGCTCGCAGCAGATCTACGCAGTTCATACGCGAGCGCCAATCTCGGGTCCCAGATTGCGCGCAGCTTCCATTGCATGCATCCATGATGGGACCTGTACCAAATGCAGATCCCGGCATCGCGAGTTACCCGGCCAGTACTTGCACACGCCGGCGTCCCTGTTTAAGCGCCGCACTCAATTGCCGGCTCTGGGCCTACCATCGCCCACGTCAACGACAAGTACTGTCCTCGTGGCCTGTTGGTGCTTGTTGCAGCCGCCGCTACCAAGCCTCGAGCGACTGGCTGTCATTCGCCGCCATGCCGACGGGCCTTATTTGCCCAAACCTCCTACCAGGGCCTTTCTGCCTTTCTTTCTCTTCTCTTTTCTTCCTTTATTTTCAGAATCTCTTTCACAGTTCGAGTACAGGTTCTTCCAAGATTATGGAACGCTGTGGCGTCTCGAGCAGCTGATTTCATCCATTCAAGCCCTCGCTTTGTCGCTGTCCACCCAAGCCACACAACCGCAACCTCCATACCTATCAATGTATCAACAACCGCAATTCAGAGCGCATGTGCTACTCTGTTTCGCCATCCCATGAGGCCAGAATGGCTCCACGTTAACAATAATCGGCCTCCAGGTCTCCTCATCATCGTACCTTGGCCTCGTTTCATCTCTCCCTGTCCGTCGTACGGGCGCTTAAGGAATCATGCGCTTCCCATCTAAGCCCTTCGTGATACACGCCGTTTCAATTTTTTTTTAATCTTCTTGCCAGTGTAGCATCCCGCTTAGCCGCCGCCGCGCTTCGAGCACGAAAAGAGTCTTCCGAAGGCAATAGGAATAATAGACCTAAATCGATCTTCTTTTTTTCGACAAGGGTGCAGGCATGCAAGAAATCAGGGTTTTGCTTGCAGCTTCGAGATGGGGGTGTTGGCCGAAACCATGGAGTGCTACCCTATTAACTGGTCGGAAAGAAGCAAGGCATCACATATACTCGCCCACTGCGTTAGAAGAGACATGCTACGCCTCGAGTCAAGTAATTAGCAATGCAAATTGATATTAAACTCCGACACTATCCATGAATCTTGGACGATATATACATGTAATCAGGCAATGTTGTTCCGACATCCGATCTACCCCCAGCGCCAAATAGCACGTTTCGCTCGCCTTCTCTCTCTCTTTTGGTTCCGGTCTTCGTCACACGACAAAGCCATATTTCTTTTTGTACACAATCCCGGCTGGGAATCTGAACTCTTCCCCAACAATAACACGCACAGCTCCTCTCTTCATTCTCACGAGGAGGCAGCCGATAGTGGCTTGGCCGCCAAAAGATCAATGACCTTGTAAAACATGTCCTCGACGGAAGCTCCGGCAAAGGGAGGCGCGGCATCGAAAATGTCTGCAAGATATTGTTGAGGGATAATGTTGGTCTGGACCTCCTCGTCCTCCATGTCCACATCCTCATCTGCGTTTTCGGCCTCGTCCATCTCATCGTCGCTCTCGGCGTCTCCGTTGAGAATGAGGGCGAGTCTGTTGCTATCGGCCTCCTGAGAGGCATTGTCGAGCCGCAGATCCTGCAGCGGCTGAGCGGCCAAAATGTTGGAGGCGTTGGAGCCCTCGGTAAGGGTCCAGACCTGAGCCACATCATCGAGAGCGACAAAGCCACTGGTACCGGGCACTGAGATGAGGCTCACAATCCGATGGGGTGTGTTGCGGACGATGAGCGGCTCAGGCTCGCTCGGGCTGAAGATGCCTATGCTGGAAGTGTTTCCAAGAGGGAGGGTGACGGCAAAGTGGCCAGATACCGAGTCGACAGCGAGCTGCAGCAATTCCTCCGAGTCGGAAGCCTTGGGCACCACGATTCCGTACCGCAAATCGTCGCTCACAACATCGTAGACGTGAAGTTCATCGGACAGCACAATCAGGTACTGCGACAGCACTCGCAATGAATGCAGCTGTCCTTTCCAGAGGCCCTCCAGAATCTTGACCACTTCGCCAGAGGCTGCGTTGATCACATACACTGCTCCAACGTCAAGAGCGCCAAAGGCCGCAAATAGCGTGGAACCGTCTTCCGAGAAGGCGATGCGGGCTTGAGGTTTTGCAGGAGCAGACGAGTCGTTGGGAATATCTGCAATGACATCTCGGCCCAGCCCATCGCCAATGGGGATGATCCGGGAAGAACCCCAAGTAAACTCCGCAGCGCCACCTGCGTTTCGTGAGCCTTCTTGTTGGCGAGCCTTTGGCCGCCATAGACGAACGATGCCGTCCCCGGCAATGGTGGCAAAGCAGGCTGAGGCACTGTCGGAGGCGAGATCGAGGATTGTCTCTGGATGAGTCGACGTGTGCGGCGCATTGATCCTGGAGACGAGGGCAATCGAGTTGTCCTCATCATTGACTTGCCAGAACTTCAGGTATGACTCGTGCCTCTCCTTCAAGAACTGGTCTCCGGCGTCGCCACTAACGGCGCCAACATCTCTATTTGAAGGATACCAGTCGTCGACGCTGGCCAGCCATTTTCCATCGGAAGAAAAGGAAATATGCGTGACAACGGGCTCTTCAATGGCATAGCCCTTGTTGGACAGATTCACGTCCGTAGGTTGTGTCCGGGCCAATGCCTGCTTGGAGATGCTCGTGAAGGTCTCCAGATCAAAAGACTGCAGCAGGGGGGCCGAGAAGTCTCCCGTCATCGTTGCCTGGCGGCCATTGCCGACACAAACATGAAGCTTGGAGGGCTGGTTCGCCTTGATGGCAGCAGGAATAGGCCGCCGCACTCTGTCTGCCACTGACCAAACGCGCTGCACGAGCAAGTCTTTGGGCGTCGTGGCTTCAACGGAGGCGGATTGAATGCCAGATATATATGTGGTCGGAGTCAGTTCAGCAGTAGATAGAATCATCGTTGAGTTGTCGTCAAGGTGCACGACATAGGATGATCCGCTGGCTGAAACAACAATGTTTTCTACGCTGCCTGACAGGTGCGGAAGGTAGTTTCTCTTGACTGTATCCATCTGCCACAGCACAAGAACGTTTTCAGAGCCACCTGAGATCATGTAGTTGCCTAATGGGAGAGTTAGGGGACCAGGATACAAACAAGGGCGAAGGAGAAAAGGGGGATCAAGTGCGGAAGCATACCATCTCGTGACCATTTAACGGAATGGACTGCCTTTCGGTGCCAGTGGAATTTCTGAGCTTGGATGCCGGCTTTCCCAAGGGATTGGCTTCGAGCTAGGGCGTCGTGGTAGAGATAGATGCCTCCTCGTGCGCCGCCAACAATCACGTCCACCACTTTGTCGGAGTCGCGTCGTCCTTTGCTTCCACTGCCGGACAGAGCAGAGGCTGGGTATACCCTGAAATCGAGCGTGGTGATGATGTCGGGCACGTCAAAGGAAAAGAACTCGTATTGCAGTTCTTCAAAGTTGGTCAATTGCTCGTGTGACGCTACGCCAATAAACAGAGAGTCATTCACAGCACCGACCAAGACAAGGCCGTCTTGGGTGGACTCGATCAAGTGCAGGCCATTGCCGGACTTCTTGACGCTCAGGAGGTTCTTTGAGATTGGAGACGACAGGATATCACCGCCATACGCAGTCAATTCCGTCCTACCGGACTTGGCTGCCTCGACGACGACGACAACATCAGCCTTTGTGCCAGAAGCCTCGGTCGAAGTCACCGTCATCGCTTTGGTGGTGCCCGTCGCCGTCTCGAAACTCTGGTGCGTCTCAGTGGCTTCTGTCCATTTCACATAGTAGATGTGACCGTCTGAGCAAGCAACCCAGAGGTATTCAGGGTTCTGTATGGACAGGCGGGTCGCAACAATGTTTGCGGGAGACGTGCCGTTTGACGTGGTGGCATCGGCAGCGCCAATGGGGATTCGTCTCGGGAGGAGAGAGTCGCTAGCCGTGTATACTTGGACGGAGGTGTTGTATGTCAAGATGAGGTATCTGATTGCAGTGAGAATGGTGTTCCTTTTGAGACGGAGAAGAGTTCGGTTGTCTTACTGGTCGTCTTGGGTGAGGATGGGGTCAATGTCGAGCATTCTGCCACCCATAGGCTTGGAGATTCTCCAGCCAGCCTCGCCATCCGAAGACCGCTTGGCCAGAGCTTCTCCATTGCTTTTTGATTTGGCCAGCGACCCATTCTGAAGGTTGTTCTCTGATTCGACGTCTCCGTTAGCTGCTTGATCGTGCTCGATTCCCTGCTGCGCCCGTGACCTCTTCTTTTTCGCGCCGCCCTCGTTCGGATCCCTCTTCCTCTTCTTGGTCGCTTCGTCCTGGGGCTTAGAAAGCCTGCTGCCCGCCATCGTGAATTAGGGGCTCGTAGAATGGCAGAATGGAGGTGATTGAAAGAATGGAATAGCAGGCTTCAGCACCACAGCGACTTGGTTCCAAAAGTGCTAAGAGCAATGCGCCGCAGAAATTTTGGTGCCGCCATGAACTTTTTCCACTATCAGCGATAAGATAACAAAAGCCGGCGGCAGAACCTCGGCAGCATAATATTTTCAGCCATTCCGCGTCGCCCCCAAGCTTAATCGAACTCTTTCCTTGGTTCATCACTCCAAACGACGTTCGCCATCGCATCGCCAACATGATTATTCCCATCCGCTGCTTCTCTTGTGGAAAGGTAGGCATCGGACTCTCATTTTCTGCGTATCACATGCAAGCACTAACGATGACAGGTCACTGGCGACCTCTGGGAGCGCTATCTGCAGCTGATTGCGGATCCGCGCAAGACAGATGGGTATGCTGGCCCTTTCAACCTCCCGAAGCAAAACTCGAGACTGACCCTCTAAAACAAAGCGATGCCATGGATGAGCTAGGCCTGAAGCGCTACTGCTGCCGACGAATGATTATGACCCACGTCGACCTCATCGAGAAGCTTCTCAAGTACGGCCCGCTGCTACGGAGTCTGAAGACGCCCCTGATCCTGATTGCTAATCATCCCGCTAGGTACACTCCCGATGGACGAAACGAGAAGAAGCAGAGATTGAACGAGTCGGCATAGATTATATTTTGGGAAAAACGAGAAAGATGCGAAGCAATGCACAGTTTGGCGTTTTTGGATTCAGTTTTCACCTTTTGTAACTTGGGCGCAAGGAAGAATCAAAACTATATCGCAACGATGACGGCGGAACCCACAGGCAAACCTGTCCATAATGGAACGAAGAGTACTCTGCTACGCGAGGGCGACCGCCGGATACCGCGATGAATTATCACCATACGATCAGATGTCGGGGCTTAAAGCAGGGCTCGGGCTGCTGCATACTCTCAAGATTGATCTGGCCGTACTGTCACTTTGACGTCGACGTGATGCCGAGGCTCAAACTGGTATGGGTGGCTGGATGGCCTCAATCTGCATATCCAATAGGATAGCGTTACGCTGCCGCATCTCAAACGAGCGAGTATGGCTAGTATTAGCATGAGCAACACACCTTTACGTGCAAAACAGTTCGCCGCTCCTTACCGCTTCCGTGTTCACGTTTGAGCTTTGCCTGCCATATGTGGTAGTCAGTTTCAAGATTTCTAGCAGGGCGAATCAGAGCAGTAAACTGCCAAACGACGGCCAACGTATGTCCAGAAAGAGGACTGCGAACCAGGTTGGTGGTGCGATATTACACCGAATCCGACGGTGATGTGAAGGGGAAGCCCCATATCGATACCGACGTTCCAGATTACTACTGACTAACCACTCCCAATGCCTTTGTGACTGGCAGGGATATAACGTGGGACTGTCAATCGGATGTGCTTTGGCCATTATCGTCACAGAAGAAGAAAGGAACGGCGTCTTCACCATCAGCTGTTCTTGTCCTTTTTGTTTCTCGTACCTGTTTTCTGCATCTTCCACAACATAAGGCAATCAGTTTTGGCAGGCTGGCCTGTTCTCTACTCAAGTCAACGTCAAGCAGCACACGAGGTAAACCCCAGAGCAGGAATTCCTCGATGCAGCCCGCCAATGGAAGTCGAGTGCAAGCGAACCGGGGAAGCAAGAGACAAGTGGCTTGCGTCCAACTACACGGAGGGCGTTTATGCAGTGCGCTCGGTAGGTGCATACATACGAGCATGTATACACCATCTCATGGCCACCCACGAACCATCGTCATCGATAGCTTTTTGCCGGCAGCGAGCAGATACAGGCGCGAGAATTGCCGCTTACAGGCAACTGACGAGATTTAGGGTGTGTTGGACAGCTTTTAGAGTTGAGTCTCTGATGATGTATATCCAGTCTCCAAGAGGGTGTGACACAGATTGCGCCTCTGAGCTCCAGCTCTTATAGTTGCACGAATATCAAAGGGAAACCTAATTGCCAGCCTCCAGTCGATAGAGACTCTTGTCCTCATGAGAGGTCGCTGGCGCAACTATTACCCATCTGAGGATTCAGTCTCGAGACGATGACTTGTTCTTACCGGGTAGTTTGGTAGAGACTTTGTGATGGCGAAGGTGATCTACTGCTGCTGCTACCCTCACGAGCACTTCTCACTACTGTCGCAACAGGCGTTACGAGATAGTCTACTAGATATGTATTTCCTTCTCAGTGGGAGAGACAAGGATGTCACACAGAGCTGCAGCACGAGTCGACTAGAAAATCCTACGCCAGGGCCAAGGACGGGAAGCGACGTGAGGAGGCCGTACAAGCAAAGCTTGGCAGCGCGTACAACCGTATACACATATGCCCGACCTATTTCCCTTTCAGCTCGGCTTGTCTGTCCATTGGCATGATTTGGATGCCCATATGTCAGTGTCAACGTAACATGTAACACAAGTACATGCGTACGGGGACGAGTACCGCACCTCATGCTCCGGAGTGCCCATGAGGGAGAGAGAGCATGCATCTTGTCGACTCCGCCCACCCTTCGGGGAGAGGAGAGAATCGGGCGGTCCACAGACGGGTTGAAGTGAGTGGGCCGTGGCCGGGCCTAACCAGCTTCGTCTGGGCATAGGCGCCGGACCAGATCGTCGGGTCGAACGCTGCCAATCAGCGCCGGTTGCCCAAGTCCCAGCATGTCCCTCTGTGCTCTGGGACGGGAGAACAGGGGGGGGGGGGGGGGGGGGGGGGGGGGGGGGGGGTCTGAAGGGCACCGCGGGCCACGAACCGAGCAGATAGGCGCTGTGACAGAAGCCTTAGGCTTTCGCGTGGTCCGGGTTCGAGTCGAATCGGATTGAGAAGCCTCGGGATGGTGGTTGGTGTTGGTGTTGTTGTTGGTTGTTGTTGCTGCTGCTGCTGTGCTGGCCATCAGAAAATGGAGCCTGCCTCGCTCTTCGCGGCACCGCGAGATGCCTGTTGGAAGCCGGTTGGGTAACAACTCCGTTTGCTGCTCTTCGACCAACAACATGGCTTGCGGCGGATTCCATGCAGTTATCCAGGGAAGGGCTGCTCGGTCGTGACTCGAGAGAGCCTGGCACACAAGTCGGCGGTAGCTGAAAACATTGGTGACAGTGGCTTCGCACGCCCGCGGATGTTGTCGCCATGCATGCCCAGCATGAGTGTAAGTGGCATCGCAGCAAGCCACGAGCGCGCAGCCTCAAGTCTTGTCTTGTCTCTCTCTCTCTTCCCTCTTCCTCGTCCTCGCATATCCTCCATGCACGGACTCGCATCCTGGTTCGTCGACGAATCGTGACTCGGCAGGGAAAAGCATGTCATCCACCTGAATTAAGCGCCGACGCCTGTCGACTCCATGCAGGCTCTATCCACTGCGCTACCGAACGGGTCTGTGAGTGGCTGGGCCTTTGCAGAAGCTCCTCTTCAAGAACTAGGTGCAGCACAGCAGTTCCCCCGCCCCAACGGCTGCGTCGCATTGGAGCCGGCAAGGCTTCTTGATGAGTTTGAGTCGACAATAGAGAGAGGTGTATTGTCTCGTGTACTGTACAAGTAGTAATAGTTGATGAGATAGACGGTCGCTGGCGACATCAGTCCTGTTGACGAGAGTCTGGCGACGACGGACACGACGTGTATGTACCAGGGATGCGGTGGATCAAAGGTAGAATCCTCATGTCGTTGATTGCTGGTATATAGTAGAGTGTGTCTTGTCGTATGTGTAAACTTGACCAGCTCACGATGACCGTGCTTTGACGGCATTCCTTCGCCTGGACCTTGTACTTTGATAGCCGATCCGTCTCTCTGAACCTGGTTGCGCAAGACGCGGCTGTCCACCAGACGATTCCTGCTTTGAGAGCATGTACGAGCCCACTTGAGAGACGCGGTCTTCAGGGATCCACGGTCTGATCTGGTCAATTATCAGTTGACAAGTAATATGAAGATTAAGCGACGGACTTGGCTTCTGCGGCTGGCGTCTGTCTGTCTACATGTAGTATCACCGTCTGCCCGTTCCGCCGGCCTCGAAGCCCAAACTGCAGCATGGTTGAAGCCTCGTCGTTTTCTAGCCGCGGGCTCGCGCCTGGTGCATGTCGTCGTACATTAGCTGGAAGGATCTCGAATACTAGCTGCCCCGTTGCAATGCACGAACTAGTAGACTTTCGGTGATGAATTGGATGGATTGGATGGTGGCACAAATTTGTGTGCTTCGTTCGCAGTTGGGTTCACACAAGGCCAGGCACAGAGTACAGCCCTCTCGAGGCACTCCTGGTAGCAGCAGCGCCGGGGCCTCGCCTATCAGGCTAGCAGTCACGACAGCTCTCGTGGGTACAGGTCGCACAACTTGCGGACACGATCCCTCAACTGAGCATCACTGGAACCTACCACTGCTCCTCCTCCTACACCCAAAACGAACATCGAGTTCCTTCGTCATACGCTGTTGATCCGTCACCTTTTCCATTCCCCAAGTTCTTTGACTGGAAACTCTTCTTCGATCCCCTCTTTAGCAGTATTATTCGAATCGGCTGCTGCGTGTGTCTGTGTCGTGTCTGTTCCCTCCAATTCGCCTGCTGACAAGCCCCTTCGCGTCTCTCTTCTCTTCTCTTCTTCCCGTCTCTCCCTCTCGCACGCCATCAACACGACGCGCAAGGCCAGACAATACAGTTACGAATACAAATACATACATCGTCACCTCCGTACGGCACCGGAAATACCAACGACTTGCCGGATCCAGTGCGAACTCCTCCTCCTCCTCCCCCCGCTCAGCCAACTGCGACTACTACTAGCACCCGCGGAGGCTGATTATTAGGCGCGAAGCTCCAGCAGCTTGCACTCAACTGCGTCTTGCCTCTGGGTCGCTGCACGTCCTAGGCAAGGGTGTCCTCGACCCCTGGTCCATCTGCCTGGCCGCAGCGTCTCTTAAACCGCCCAGCCCGCCATCCGTCCAGCGTGCCTGGAGCTGCCTCGCCTGATCTACGACCGGGACGTTTCGAATCGCAGCCTTTGCTTCTATTCTGGAAGCACGCTGACTGTCAATCGAGGCCCGCGACCGCGACCGCCTCTGCTAGTGCTTCGAACCTCCATTCAATCCTCTCCATATCGCGAGCGCTACACCTCGCCTCGCCACGCCCGCGATTGAGACCGTCAAGGCTTTTTCCGTGGGGTAATAACCAGAAGCAATCTGCATCGTCAGCCGCCAGGCCGGGCACTCTAAGCTTCTTTGCTTGCTGTGTAGAAACAGCCCGCAACGGAAGCCGGTCCGAGATTCTGCATAAAGCAGCTCGACGTCGCGCTCTGTGGGAAGCCGTCGGGCTCTTGCGCACCGCAATCGCCAAACCACTATCATGGCCCTCGAAGCGCCGCTGCGATCCTCAACTGGAAGCTTGCAATTTCAATTCAACCACCAAGGCGACGTGTCTGCAACCTCCGAGTCGGACGGATTCAGGTCACCGTTCAGAATCATGTAAGCCCTGGAATTTTGCGGACCACGTAAGTCTTGTTAACATGTCGACTCCAGGTCTTCCCCCCCGCCAGCCACAGACTCCTCTTCTCTTCGGCCTGACTCAATGCATCATCGGCTGTCTCAATCGATGCACATGTTGAGCCCCAGCGATATTGTTGGGCCATCGCCTGTAACCTCCAACGGCACTGAGACTACGGAAATCGAGGACGATGTTGCCGACGATCTCGAGCCGGATCACGGAGCGGGAGGGAATCACTACCGCCACTCTGATGTAAGTAACGAGAGCTCAGTAGGGCATTGCATACCGCAAGATGCGTACCTGACAGTGTTAACATGGCTTGTAGAGTCTCTTGCTTACCACAAATCTCCCCGAAATCGTTCGTCAGGGTAATCCTGAAGAAGCTGTCTCCGTCATACATGCTCCGGAGAGCTTTGCCAGCTGGGTAAGTGTCACACTGTGACAATAGTCTGCTATTAGACCGCAGCATAACTAACCCTGCGCAGGCATCCAGCGAGCCCTCTGCCAAATCAGCTACCTCAACAGAGAGGTCATCACCCAGGGCGGACGGCGCCAGCCAGCCATCCTCTACTGGGACCTTTAACAGCGTGAGCCCAATCTCTATCAAATGTCCATATCCCAGGACTTGCTAACAAGCGTCATGCGAAAAGCCCCCCAGCCATCCTGCTCGCCCCCCCATCTCTACTGACGTCAAGCCTGTGCGATACAGCCTAGACAGTGCCACACCACGAGCACAAGACTTGCAGGACATGCTCGTAGATGGTAGCCGACTGCGTTCAAGCAGCACGAGCAGCCTCGAGAGTTGGTTTCTCTTCCAGCGTCAACAACACCACGTCATGGCTAACCATGTGTAGAGATCGACGAGCAGACTGAAGCTGAGGGCGACGACGACGACGACGAACCCTTTCCTCACGTGCCCCAGGTGGCTGATGAGATTGGCGATTTACGGACTCTCCTCCATGAGTCCTGGACGCTGTGTAATACCCTGGCCAACTTAAGCTCGATGCATCGACCGCGAGCCTTTAGGGATTCGGGAACCCCCGATGCTGTTGAAAGGGCCTGGAAAGCGTGCTGGAAGCTCTGCCATCGCCTCTATGACAACCAGGACGAGGACCCCGCCTATATGAGCGTCAAGTTCAACCTGGACCTCTGCCGTGACTTTTGCCAAGCGCTATTCGACGTCCGCGATAAGAAGGACGAGCTGGCCGACTCCGTCCTCAGAGTTAGCTTTGAGCTGAACAACCAGTGAGTACTTTGCCACATTCGATGCCAATTCCTCTTCGACTGATCTAACGCCTGCTACAGTTTATACAGCGCACAAGACAACCGAAACCTTCCAGAACAGTTCCGGGAACGGACTCTCGACTTTTACATCACGCTGTGTCACCGCTTAATGAAGCAGCGTGGTGAGCTCCTTGGCAAGACTGATCAGCTCCTCGGAGCCTGCTGGGCCCTCGCCGAGATGCTCTTCAGTCTGCGTCAGAACAGACTAGGCGGTAAGCCACCGGACGGCGAATTGCTCCTCTCTGCGGTGCAAGCATGCTGGGGCTTGGGCGACATATTCAAAGACAGCTGGGCCAAGGTGAACCCGGACAGAAGCACTCCTCGGCCGTCCCAGAGCTTCTTCTCTCACTCTTCTGATCAGACTGGTCGTGAAAGCCGACAGTCTAATCGGTCATCACGTCACTCTAAGCAAGTGAGCATAAAGAGCACCCATCAGGAAGAGCGGCCACGGAAGCCTCCGCCAGTCCCCGAAACGCCAGTCACAGAATTCGAGGACACGCCCATTTCTCCCGAGAGCCGCTCTCCCCAGATGCCCAATCTGATGGTGCTCGGCCCTTCCAGTGATAGTGGCCGCAATCCAGGCAGATGGTCCAGCAGCGCATCCAACCTGTCGAGCTACTCCCACAGCAGCAACAGGACTTCGAGCACCGCGACGACGACTACAGCAACCGAAGACCCCAATGTCACGCGTGCAAAGATTCTCGTTCTCCGGGCTGCCATGACTCTCGGGTTCGACCGTGACGCCATTACCGACCCGAAGGCAGGGCCGGCGCAGCTGCAGAAGTTTGTACAGAGCCTTCCCGCAGATGCATTTGGCACTCTACCGAGAGATACCACCCTCCTTCAGCAATACAAGAACTCGGTACTGATGGACGCGTTCATTCCGCGGAATCATTCAATCCCCTCTCGCGGCAAGAGGGTTCCCGCCGTGGATATGGCAAAGAGCATCCAAACCTTGGCCAATAGCTCGCCTCGCTATGCCTATCTGCGTGATCTCTTTGGGTTTGTCTTTAACTTCCCCATTGAAGAAGTTGACGCTCGACGACACACCAGCATTGCCGTCTAAAGGAAACTTTTATACGTTGTCAGGCACACCTGTGCCAAAGAAACCTACAGAATCGAAAACGGAACAAAGAAGCACAAAGAAAGAGAAGGAAGAGACACAAAGGTGATGAAGGGTTGGCGGACCATCTTTTCCTATTTTCATTACGCTCCAGATACCCCTTTACACTATACGTTGCGTTGATCACGGCCATGGTACGAAGCGAAGGATTAGTTTTGTGTGTGCAGTCAGGGAGGGTCACGAAACGTTGAAAGGGTAGAGCGGTACAATCATTCCTTTTTTTCTCTCTTGGATAATGATGTTTGATGCCGATACGTCGCCGCAAGGCAAAAGGTTTTAGATGTTGGAACTTGGGAGGCTATTGTCAAGCTGTTTACTCTTCGAATTGATCGCATTTATTTTGGGTTTTGGCGCATAGCAAGCGGGATGCAAGCCTAGTTTTAATCGATTCACCGATGTTCCTATTCCACGGAGTGGGCTTGTTGTGTAATAAATATACTATGAATATGAGAGTTTTTCTGGGTATCTTGTTGATGGAAGCCAATCTGTGAGCAGCTGTGCTCGGTAAGCGAAGACAAGAGAACGTGGTAACAAAAAAAGGGAAAGGAGAAGAAAACTAGCAGAATAAAGACTCCGTACTGTCCAGTGCCTTTGTAAATAAAAAAACATCCATCCCTACTGATAGTTTTCCCCCTGAAACTTCAAAACGCAATCCTGCTCCGTCCCTGCAAGTCGAGCCAGCCCATTGTTTGGAAAATAGAGATCCCATTGCGTATACTCCAACAAGATGATACAAAAAAGTCAAACTACAGGAAAAGAAAAAGGAAAAGAAAGAAGTCGATAAGTCAAAAAAGAAAGGCTAATAGTGAAGAAAGCTCTGAGAGTAGGTGCCTCGTCACTTTTCGACGAGCATACCATCACAACGGGAGGAGGGCTCACTCCACTTCAGTCACTCGCGACGCATCAGCGGGTGCCGAAGAAGAAGAAGAAGAGACATTCGGCTGCTGAAGAGCAACTGCCGCAACCACCACGTGTCCTTGTCCGGCGCGGGGACCGAACAGGAGCAGCGGGTCAATCGTCCCAGCGAGGTCCCCCGGGTGAAGCTGCGTCTCAATGTACGCCTGCTGCTGCTGCTGCTGGTCGAATGAAGTCGGGGGATGAGCGTGGTGATGAGGCTGAAACTCCGGGAGACTGCTCATGGTGAGAGACTGGGGAGGAGGAATGCCATGGCAAGTACTACTGGTAGCATCCATCGCCGCTGCTGCCGCTGATGCCGTGAAGCTGGCGACATCCTGGAAGACAAAGTCGGTGGACTGCTGCAGCGGCGGCGGGATGACGGGGCTGAAGGTTGCAAAGTCGTAGGGCGAAGGAGGTGTCATTTGAGACCAGTCCTAGTGGTGCTCGGCGGTGACGCCTCCTCCTCCAGGGGCCGTCAGGATGGGAAGGTTGGTGGTGGTGATGTGTTGGGATGATGGCGAGTTGGCGGGCAGATCCTGGAAGGTCGTCGGCATGGGTTGATATGGGATAATGGCGGAGAGGCTGTTGTTGTTGATGTTGTTGTCCAGATTCGGGGACGCTTCTGTCTCGGAGATGGGGAGGAGGTGAGGGTACGGTTGGGCGGCGGCGCTGGAGACGTTGATGTGATACTGTTGATGCCGCTCGTTCTGGGTTACTACCATCTGATGTGGATGCTGGAGTTGTTGTTCCCGGTAGTGCTGAAAGGGGGATGGAGCGAGGTCCGGCAGAGCAGGCGAGAAGTGCGGAGCGGAAAAGGGCATGGCCGTCTGACTTGGCGGCGGCATCTGAAGCTGTTGATACTGCGTGGTTACGGGTATCTGGGACATGACGCTGGCGGTCTGCCCGTCAGGACGATGATAGAGCTCCTCCATCGTCGTCGTCGTAGCAGGAGGATAGATGGACATGTATGCCTCGGGAACCGCGTTGCCGCCGCTCGGGAAAGTCACTTGCTTCCCGGCTGCTGCCCAGACGCTCCGTGGCACAGGAGAAGCCGTCAAGATGTCGTTTGTGTGGAGGAACTGCAGGGTGTTTTGCTGTTGTTGTTGTTGCTGCTGCTGTTGTGGTGAGGGCAGGAGGTCGCCGTGTCCACCGGTCTGCAGAGCATCGAAGTAGTTGTCCGCCAGGGACATTGCCAGCGGAGAGGCCGAGCGGATGCGCAACGCGGAAGTAGACTGGAGGCCTGCCGCCGCCGTGCTGCTTTTCCACTGCTGCAGCGGCTTGTTGACTTGGGCGGCGGCCCTTGGGACAGCAGGCTCTGGGGCGGCAGGCTGTTCGGGGTGAAGGTCTGCTCGCTGCGGTCCGGCGATTTTCTTGATCAATCTTTGTGGGTTGGGGGAGAAGGGCAGCAACGTTAGTGATTGATGTTTCGTACCTCTGAGGCTATACTGACAGGGTATGAAACCGTATGTGGGAAAAAGGGAACACTTACCTTTCGCGAAGATGGCTCGAGTCGTCGGCGCTCTTCTTGCGCTTCATGCGTGTTGTGCGAGTGGTCGTCGTCGCTTCGTCTCTTAGCTCGCTTCTCCGTTGTCCTACCTTACTTGTTGACGATGGCCAAGCTTTGCTGGAGTCTCTGAGATTGAGCTCGTCCTTGTCGGCTTGCTCACCTTCGTCCTTCTGCTCCTCTGAGCCACCAGGCTTGGGCGATACGGCCGTCCTTGGAGGTCGAGCATTCACCAACGGGCTGCTGTAAGAGGGGGGGAAGACGACATATCAGCTTCTGCCATACGAAATCTCGTCACAACTGTGCATCCTCCCATCGTCACCGAAAGAAATGGGCGGAGTAAGGGACTGTAATGAGTAAGGGGGGAGGAAGAAGGGAGGAGAGACATACTTGAACCTTGGGTCTTTGCCATACTTGTTCTTGATATATCGAATCTGGTTATGGTTCAAGTGGCGGCCAAACCTTTCATGAAAGTGCGTCTGGATGTACGACTGTTTCTTCTTCCCGACGACGGCGGAGAGAACCCAGTCGATCTCATCGTCCAAATACTGCGCCGCGCCAACCATGGCTGCTGCTTTTCTCTGCTCGTCTTGCTCTCTCGTGAGGGGCTATATCTGGCGTTGTGTTACTTGGAAACGACGACAAGGATGGCAGGCCACGGCTTCAAAGATCTTCTCTCGCTCCGGTGAGAAGAAGGCAATTTTTCCCAATGCCAAAAGGCACGACTTGCCAGAATCTCCCTGTTTGGAATGTCCGAGGGAAAAAGACACTTCGTCGTCTTGCGTCTCCTTGGGTCCAAGAAGCCAGCAGTGCTTGGCTTCCCAACACCTTGTACGCTGCCAACAAACGGGCTATAGCCCAGACACGACAACTTTGCGTCCTTGTTCGCGCTTTGCTTCAAGAGCGGTCACTCAAAAGCAGGGCAACGGAGGTAAGAGAAAGAAGGCCCAGGATAAGCCACCGATATCTGCAACCACTTGTACCGGAAAAATAAATAAATAAAGAACACAGAAAGGAGGAGAGTATCTCCTAAAGAAGAGGAGGAGGGGGAGAGGGAGGAGCCTTGAGTTCACACAGAAAGCAAAAGTACCTAGATCTTCGAAGAAGGGCTTCCAAGCCGAGATCAAGGGCCAAGGAAAACCAAACAAGGGATGTTAAGATGTGCAAATGTAGGAGACTGTAGAGCATCAGCAAAGCCTTGTAAAGCCAAATTGTAAAGAGAGAGAGAGGAAAAGAGAGAGAGGAGGAAAGAGGAGAAGGGGAAGAGGAAAATGAGCGCAAACTTGAATGTCCGTGGGAGAGGAAGCCCGTGTCCGGTTCGGGCCTGATCCCCCAGGCGGCAAAAGAGGACGCTTGACGCCCCAGATGCTTGTGCAGCCTTTGCCTTCCCGCGATCACAGGAGGATTTGTCCTCTTCTTCTCAACGTTATCCGGGTGCAACGCTTCTTGATTCTCCGCAGAGTTGTGAAAAGGAGGGAGATGATGATGATGATGATGATGATGATGAATCTCCGCTCTCGTGAGTGAAATGGCAAGATTTGCTTCCGTAAATCAAAGTAACAGCGCTCGTGTTTGCGTTCGACACAAACAAAAGCCCAGCGACCCAAGATGCTCTTCAGATCTGCCAGAGTCAAATCATCAAAAGCCGGGGAAAAGGAAGACTGTTGAAAAGGGGGGGAGGAGTGTACTGGGAGAAGGGGGGGAGCAATAGTAATAGTAAGAAGCCAAACCGGGGAGGCAAAAAAATCAGAAAACACAGAAAGCAAGAAAACGTCCGGTTTCTTCCCCGGATACGCGTTTGACCGTGTTTCTGATTCAGATATGGCCAGCGAGTGGCATCAAAGTGTCCATTGCCCACGTGGCCCAGCACGCAACGTCCTTGTCTATTGTCCCCGCAGAAAGAACAATAAGGCCTCCGTCTGCCAAATAGGAGGCCGGACTTTGGCTTCTGTGTGTGGGAATGAGATCAAAGGCGGATGCGTCTGTCCCGGTTCCCCGGTCTCCGCTGCTCCGGGGCCGTCGTGGTGTGAATCATCGTATCATGTTTGGGGGGAAGAAAGACGGTGGGCAGCTGTCATGAGTGCTGGGCAGGCAGCAAACGGGGGGGCGGTTTGGGGGCAGCAAGCGGACGTGTGAGATTACGCAGATGGGACGGAGATTGGTGTGCTCCGGGCTCGTGGGTGTGAAGATATATCATCTTGGCTGATTGTACTCGTCACCGATTTAGGGGTCACGTAGATCTTGCTATCCGTGATGGTACGTGATCGTAGATCATGCTGTGATGGTACGTGATCGTAGATCATCATCAGTCTAGCGGGTGTGTCTATAAGAGTCTACATCTAAGCATCTCCAACCTCTAGTCTATCAAGGTCCTTTTGTCCCCCCCTTCTATCCGTCGTCTATCGTCTATATCTCATCGAGGAGATCCCTCTCCGTCATCATTGATTCATAAATCACGTCGTCAAGGGCGACCCGCCACGCGAAAAGATGCCCAACCAGCACTTGACCTGCCCCTCCTCCTCGTCCTCACCCCAGTCATCCTCCCCAGCGAGCTCGCTCTCCTCCTCGCAGAACAGCGGCGTTTCCAGATCCAGCATGGCCTGCTTGAAAGCCTCCAGGAGCCTCCGCGTGGTGTCGTCCCTCATGGGCACCATGACCGCCGCCCTGGATTCAGAGCCGAGGGCGAGGTTCTGGCAGATGGCCGAAGCGAGAAGCCCCGGGTGATCATCGTCGTACATGGGATCAGCAGCGAGAACGAGCTACCCTCCGTAAAAACCAGCATTAGCCACAGCCGCGTCCTGCACAATCAAAAGGATAGTAGTAGTAGTAGCAGTACTACTGATCATAAAGAAAACTTGCCTTGAACTGAAAAGGTTCCCCAAAAAGCTCCTGGTCAATCTCGTCCCTCTCTCCACCCCAAGTCAGCGGCCCAACCGACATGGATCCCCCCCTGGCCTCCACCAAGCTCCTGTTCTTGTCCACGTTGTCCTTGAGATTCGGCACGATGTTGGGCAGGTCGCTCAGGATGACATGCGTCTGCCACAGCGCCGCCGCCGCAACGCCCAGCAGCCCCGTCCCGGAACCGAGCTCCAGCACCGTCGGCGGCGGCTGCCCCAGCGTCTCGTCAAACAGCTTGAACAGCGACGTGGCCGCCAGCCGCGGCAGGTGGCGCGACAGCACGTACGACGACCCCCAGGTCTTGAAGCCCAGCGAGTCGCCCGTCAGCGCGGGCTCCTTGATGATGAGCTCAAACGGCTCGCAGGCCGCGCCGCCCCCCTCAAAGGGCCAGCGCCTCGTCACCTCGCCCATGGCCGTCCGGCCGCACCGCTCCGACATGCGCTTGCTGGCGAGCTCCCAGAGGACCTCCTGCTTGTCGTAGTCGCCGATCCAGGCCAGCGGGCTCTTGATGATGGACGAGAGGTAGCGCGTGACCTCGGCCTTGCGCTGCGCCGCGAGGGATTCCTGCTGCTGGTGGGCGAGGATGTCGGCCTGTCGCTGCCTGTGGTTCCAGACGGGGGGGCTCAGCTCCAGGCTCTGGAGGATGGCCAGCAGCTCTTCGTAGCTTGGCCGCTGCCACATCTGGGGGAAGTCTTCCGGTGCCAGAGACGCCATGATAAACGCTGAAGATGGCTGGAATATATCGATTGCAAATCAAAGCCGTGGGAGAAATGAGCGGTAAAGATATCCAGAGACGCCGTGAGATCAATCTCAAGAAAAGAAAAAAAAAAAAGAAAACCCCTCTCCAACGAGAGCGTAGATCTAGATGGCTATCATGATGAAATCGTGTATCGTAAATTATCCTCTGAGTGTGTCCAGTGAGTGCGTCGTTCTCAAAGAACCTCAAGAGGTCTCTTATAAAGAACCTGGAAGAGAGAGTTCAACTTCACATGCAGAATGTCACCGCACAGGAAAACAAAATTCCAAAAGAAAAAAAAATCGGACCCTCTAACTTAGGTAAGCATGCGAATGAAAGGCACTCGAGAAATCCGAGTGGATGGGAGTTAGAGAAAAATGTGGGGTCTTTCACACCCCACGTGGGGAGATGCTTCCCAAGCAGTTTCGAGTTCCCTCATGTACACCCAAGTACTGTACCTTGATATTACCAATCATCATCAGCAGCAGTAGGAAAAGAAATGATTATACAAAAACCAGAAGCAATTTACACCAACGAGGACTCGACTGGTGAAAAGACAACAAACAGGAGAGCGATAGAGCAAACAGAGCGCAGATTACCTGCCCCAGACGGGCTATTTTAGGACATGACACACGGACGCTTGTCGCGAGCTGACCTCTAGTCTAGTACCTTACTCTATGGCCTTGGAACCAAATCTGTAATTAAAATACTCGCCAAGGGGGTCGACGAGGCAGCAAATCAAATCGAGTCATCCCTCTATCAAATCGACGATTACCGGCACTATCTTGCCTTACACATTAATAACAGGACCTGCGGGAAGGGGACCTGCACGCTCTAGCTCACACCAGCTCTAGACACGGCACTCACTAACAAGCAATGGTAAACTACCTGAATCCGTTAAATGAAACAAATCCTAGCATGAAACGGAAAACGACAAATCATAAAACAAATAGGCAGAGTAAAGGCCCAGTCCGACGTCAAGTCGTTTCAACGCCTACAATCTGTTTACTCATACAATTCCCTCCTGACAGGCAGGCCATAACGCATTGGCAGCTCACAAGGGCGGTCACACTACAGTAGTAGTAGAGAGGGAGCGCATAGGTAGATACATACCTACGATACTACCTTAGCAATACATACAGCCCGCCACATTCTAGAACCTGGCGGCATCCGATCCGGCCAAAGCCGTTGATCAGCAGAGATCTTCACGCTGACGTTGATCCCTTTCGCAATGCCATGGCTTAGCAGCTCGGATATACTAGTACTTACATACATACATCTCTCGCGCAAGCCGCGGCAGAATGACATCAACACCATCGTCACGGCATGCATGCAGACACAACAGACTTCCTTCAGCGAACAGGTTTCCTCATTTTTTTGGGTCTCGTTGTGCACAAGACTGTTCTGTGTCTCGTATCTAGACTACTGTACTGCTATAAGGTACCTATAGGTGCTCCATGCCGGCTGCTCAAGGCAAGGCCAGAGGCTGGTCAGCACTAAACGTTGCCCGTGTACTCTCTCTCTGTAGCAGGGTCTGCGTTTGAAAAAATCAACAAAGCAATTCAGACAGATCATCCTCTGCTGGTCTCTTTGCTCGAGACTCTAAAATCGAATGGTATCAAGCCATATCCTGCCTGCGCCAGAGCGTGCCTATCCTAGAGGCCTCGCTGCGAGATGCAAAATCCGTTGCCCAATTGTTCCTTGGGGTAAATGCACAGGAGCTCATTGTTGCCGGAACGCCACAAGCAAGAAACAAGGTCAAAGAAAAAAAAAGAAAAACAACGGAAAAAAGCAAAATCAGCCGGTCCCTTTTTGGTGCTATTATCGAATCGTCATTTCAGCTTGTGAATCGTAAACGTCTCCCTTGTACGTTGGAGGCTTTGTGGAATTCCCCCTGTAGTGTTTGGGGTGTGGGATCGTGGCGCTGCAAAGCCCCAGTCCTTCCTTGTGGTTTCGGTTCGAGGTGCTTTTCAAGGCGCAGAGCTCGCAAGTCTTCTTAGTCGGCGGCGCTTCGTGCCTGGTCTCACACGGGCGAGCACTCCCGGTAAATCTCCTTCTTCAGGTTCTCAAGTCGGCCCCTCATATCCAGCAGGTCGGCCAGCTTTTCGTGGGGCGGGTTATCCAATGCCGAGATCTCGTGGTGCAATGCTTCATATTGCTGGTAGTAAGCCTTAAACTTATTAGCCTTACGTAGGATATCCAACGAGACGTTCTCGGCCGCGCGCCGCTTCGCCGCCGAATTCTTGGACGCCGTATCCTCCTTTCGCTTCATCTTCGGGGCAGGTGGTGGTGCGTCGTTGTCGAGGTCGGACGCATTCGTTGGCGGCGAGGAAGCCAGAGGGGATGACTTGGTCGGCGACGTGTTCTTGCTCTTGAAGGATGACGACACAGCCGTGCCACGGGAGTTGACGCTGGCGTCGGACGGGCGGTGCTTGAGCGCGGGCAATGCCTGCTGTCTCGGCTTGATGCGCTTCGACAGCGGCGTTCCGGAGCTGGAGCTGGAGTCCTCCTCTTCCCGAGGCCTCTTGGCGGGCGCTGATGGCCGAGTCGGGGCCTTGGCGGGCGGCCGGCCGGCGACGATGACGGTGTCCTTGACCTTGGAAGCCACAGGCTTCGGCTTCGGCTTGGCAACGGGAGGCGCAGCCGGAGCCTCATCGCCCGAGTCATCCGAGTTGACAATGATTTCCTGGGACAGTATGCGTTTGTCGTTGCCCTTGGAGGCACCAGCCTTGGCCTTGGTGGGAGAAGTCTTCGCAGGAGCGGGTTTCGCCTTGGCCTTGGAGACACCAGCCTTGGAGGGACCGAGTAACCGTTTGACCTGTGCCTCCTGACTGGTCGGTTTCTTCGCCTTGGCCGGGAGGGGATTGGAGGCTGATCGTGACATCTTCTCCCCTCCAGCCTTGGCCTTGTCGCCGCCCATGCCATCGTCGGACGTGAATCCGTCGTCTGCCTTTTGCACCTTGATCTTGGGCGCGCCCATGGCGATGGAGGCCTGCAGCCGGCTCAAGCACTTTCCCTTGCCGCGCTCCTCCTTGGGGAGCAGCTTCTGCCACACAGCCTCCGAGGAAGAGATCCTCTGCTTGTCGTATTGGCGGATCGCGTTGTCGATGGCAGTCTGTCGCTCCTCTTGGGAGGGGTAGTTGTAGCTCCAAACGTCGAGCTCCTTCCAGTACGTCTTGCGCATGGTCCACGTATCTGTGGCGGCGTTGTGCTCGGCCACCTTTTCGAGCGTCGGCTGGAAGTCGTGCTCGTTGCCGTCCCACTTCTTCTTGAGGTATTCGGTCGACCGGTCTTTGGCGGCCAACTCGTGAACGAGAACCACTCTCTGCTCCTTGGCACGTTCCATAGCCTGCTGGGAGGCAGTGAGTGTCGGGTTCAGCGAGGGCGAGGTGATGTCATGGATGCTGGGCGAGGTGGGCAGAGAGGCCGTCTTGGAGCCATAGTCGGAAATGGGCTTGGCCCTCGACTTGGCCAACGCCTTGGCCTCGGGCACTTTTGCGATGCGAGCTCTGACAAGAGGCGTTAACACACAACACCACAGCGACACGCAGATAGCACAAACCTCTCTCGCGCTGCCTCATGTGCGGCTAAACCGTTTTGCAAAGCCTCAATGTCAGAATCCAGCCCCGGAGTAGACGCCTTGCGGGAGGGCCTACCAGGCTTCGCAAAGACATTGCTTGTGTATGGGATTCGCTCCGCGTGGCGGGTGGACTCGAAGGGCCGAGTAAGGTATAGGTCGTAATCGGCAGAATCGTTGGGGGGAGCGATGCGGTGCGACTTGGAGCCGTATTGAATAGACTATAAAGACACAGAGCAAGTCAGTACATGAAATTCCCCCAATGGGCCACCCCTTTGTAGGGGCACCGGGTTGGAAGAGGGAGAGGAGGACCCGGACTTACGGGAGTTGAACCCAGCGAAAGGCGAAGATCCTCGCCGCTACGTGACGCCTGGATGATGGACTCAATCGTCGACTTGTCGAGCTGCACGTGGAAAGCCTGAGGCGGCAGATTCGACTCGGAGCCGGGATCCGTCAACCGCAGGCCGCCTTCCGGGACCTTGAGCGAGTTCATGTCGGCGACTGGCAATTGCTACTACTTGCGTGGTGCGAAGGTTCGAGAGAATGCAGCTTTCCCAGTTTACAGCAGACGAGGCAGATCAGAAACGCCGGGAGTGTGCAGACGAAGAGTCGGATGCGAGAGTTTGGTTGCAGCAGCAGCGCGGGTGCTGCGTTTAAATAGGATCCGCAGTTGAGCTTTCGAACGTAGGCGAGGGCTTGTTTCAATCAGACTCAACTGAGGAAAACAAACTCTATGAATGGCAAGGCGGACGCCACATGATCGATTGAAGGTTCGTGGCGCCCAGAAAGTGAACAATAGAGTGCGAGGCGGGCGAAGCCAAAGTGAGGCCAAGGTGAAGCGAGGCCAAAGTGAATGAAGGAAGACAAAGGGCGAAGTCACTCCCAGGCAGCGCGGTGGGCCAGCCAATACACGAACGGGACTGGGTCTTTTGTCGATCCGGGCCTGCGTGCAGAAGCCAGAAGCCGGCGGAGGAGCGCCAGAGGACGGAGGCTCTTGTTGGCAGGCAATCGCAGGCACAAAGACGGGGCGAGAGACCTGGGCGATGAGGTTGCGTGGGAGAGGGAAAAGAGTGCAATGATGCAGCTCCCGCGGTGGAGAGTTAGCAAGCAGCAGTAGTACGAGTAGTAGCAGGAGAAGGGACTGACTGGAGGCAGAGCCCAGGCAAGGCCAGTCCAGTCCAGCGCAGTTGGGGGAGCGGAGACAATGGCGGACGGCGGGCGGGAGGGTGGGAACAGGTCCCAGGGCGTGCTGGTTGCAGTGGTACAGGCAGTACCCAGCAGTACCTACGGCCAGCAGCTCCAGGCTGTTGCTGGGGGGCCTCTGCTGCGCAGTTGGGGGGGCGTGCGGGCATCAAGGCAGCTCTGGAGGTTCCCAGCCTGTACCACTCGTCCTACAGGTACAGTTCACACCGGTGCCAGTCCGGCTGCAGCCACTGGCGGGTACGCAGCGGTACCCGTGACGCACGCACGAGCGTCTGCGTCCGGACGGTACATACAGGTACTCGCTTGCAGTACCTGCGCGCTACTGCGAGGCCCTTCGAGGCGCTACAGAACTCACGGCGGTGCACGCCTGGGCAGGGCCAAGGCAGGGCATCGACAGGGCATCGACAGGGCCCCGGACGGGTGGAGGCCCAGCACGAGGAGGTACCCGGAGCTAGAGGCCCAGGTACCTTACTCAGCACAGCAGCGACCCTGTGCCGCGAGAGTGCAAAGTTACAGCAGAGGCTGCCAGCGTCCAAATCACCCGCGTCTGGCGGCCCCCAGCAGCGCTGCGAGCCCGGCTCCAGGCTGGCCGATGTCTGGTCCCTTGAGTTTTCCCAAGCGTCCAGCGTCCAGGTCTGCAGCGTACCGGGTCGGTCGACCTTACGGGACCTCTTCCGGTACCTTCGACGACAGGCAAAAAGGCGGGCCAGGGCAGCGCCAAGGAGCTTCCAGCCTAACGCGGCCGGGCTTAGCCTCGCGGTACCAGGGCCAAGTACCCAGAGATACCTCGCTGGGGGTCGGGTAACCTTTCATTCCAACTCGGCTCGGAGCCTTCTCCTGGTGCTGCCAAAATAAGGCGCTGCTGTGACACACACGCCGAATCTGATGAGTGAGCTTCAGTCTCTCGTACCGACTCAGACAACGCACCCAGCTCACTTCGCACGGGCAAGGCGAGAGGGCAGCCTAGCCTCAGCGCAGCAGAAGCGACAAAGGCCTCGGTTCGGGCTCACCTCAGGCTCAGGCCAGTTCGGTCGGCAGTGAACCGCAAGTTGCATCATTCTCTCCACTCCGCCCCTTGCGCCTCTTGAGAAAGAACTCACTTCTGGAGGAGGTACAAGTTGACTGGACTCCGTAATACCGCTCCATACTTTACCCATCGACGAACCAGATGCAGTTTGCCCCATCTCAGATGTTGTGTGTTTCTTCCCCGTCAAGTCCCTTCTCCTTCACCTCCTATGCTTCTCGTAGCACCACCAGATGCCCCCTTTTCCCTTATTTTCATCTCTGCCTATTCCGTACATAAGCAGTATCTTATCTGCCAAAAGCCCACAAGCATCGTACATACGCTGCAGACTCAGTCGAGAGATGGATGCGTTCTCAATGTGCGGGACGGCTGTTCCTTCATCAGGCACGGCGACGCACAGGCCCTCCTCGCACCAGATTGCCTTGGAGAAGAGCGATGCTCTTGTGCCGCCCCCTCCAGCCTGAAGGCAATCATTCCCTCTGGCAGAACGGCTATGGAACCCGAATGTGGCCCAGCCCATCCGGATTCTGGTGCTACAACTACAGGTTCAATTGAAGTACTCGTGATACCAGTATCGCACGCGCAGGTGCCCTCTGTGACCGGGTAAGGGTAGCATTTGCCATGCCAGCAGAATGTCAACTCCGGCCACGCCCCCCTCCCCGTTTTCGCCAGCGGGCGGTCGTGGCTTGAGGTGAAGCGAGCACGCTGTCGATATGTGCGTGCATGCAGCCACCAGTCGCACCGCAGTGAGGTAGCGAGCGCCTGGTCCTGGTCAGTCGAGCAGCATCGACGTAGCAAGAGAGCAAGAGGAATGTGAAGAAGGCAAAAGAAAAGGCACGAACCTCTGTAGAGGAGGATCGTTCCAACTCTCTGTCTACAGAGTCTTGACATGCACATGACGAGCCAGGCAGATGTCAGTACCTGTCCCTGTCCCCGTCCCCGTCCCCGTCCCTGTACCTGTACCTCTGCCGGTCCCTGCTTGTCCAAGCCTCTAAGCCGTATGGAGATCGCCGGAGCAGGGAGCTAAACCAGCATGACGGTACAAAGTACTTGCTTCATGACCAGCAATCGCAAGTTCGACGACAACGCTGCTCATCCCATCCCAGGAGCCAACTACATACTTGGTCTGAAGGCTATAAAATGGCCGCCAGCCTCTCGGCCAGAATCCTCTTCTTCGTGGCCGCATCTCGTCACTCCTCCTTTTTTTCTCTCGGCAGCGCAGCAAACGCAGCCTGGCAACTTCCAGTTGCGGATTCAGTCCAGTCCCTGTGACACCGAGTTTGGCCGCCATGCCGCCCTGATTCGCCTGCTGAGCGGTCGCTTGGAATTTCCCTGACAGCCGCGGCGCCGTATTGGACAATCTGTGTAGCAGGAGAGCGTCCAATCAGGATGCAGTGGACGCCTTGTCGGGGAGCGGAAGAGGGTGTCGGGTTGCGCCTCTGCCCAGCAGCAGCCCTACGGCGGCCTGTTCCAGCAGCATCTAGATCACCTGGGGAGGCAGCCCTGTGAGAAATGCCTGGCTGCCCTTCTGGCACGTACCGAGATGACGGTTCCTGGGGAACGACCGCTGAGAAAGGCATGTGATTGAACTTGTGTTTCGAACAGACTTCGACCGGCAGAGCCGTATCAAACAGCATCAGCCAGCAACTGCAAAGTCAACAAAGCAATGCAGTGCGAGGCGAAACCCGGAGGACACTCTCCACGCCTCTTGTTTGCAGGGTAGGTGTCAACTCCAAGTCTCAGCCGCCTACCACCCAGACGCAGCATCTCGCGTCACGCTGCACCATGACATCTTGTGCCCGCTTTCCATCCTTAGGCCACCCGCACTCTCATCCACTGCCTCATACAGTACTCGTATGCATATTTTGCTGGCCCAATGGCGGCGCTGCGCGGGCTCGGTGAGTCGCCAAGTCTGCGCCCGGGCGAAAGAATAACTTGCCGTGTTCCAGACTTCAACATGCTTGAGTGGCACGCACGACAACGATGCGGCTGCTGACATGACGCAGCCAGCGAAACCGGTCCTCTGCGGGCACTTGAATGTATGTGCAGACAGGCATGGCCACGTACCTTATTCGTACTACAGTTCGTAATGACCCTTACAACTGTACATGCGAGCCTGGTTTTACTCGAACCCTCCAGCCTGTCGCCTTGCCCGAAAGCCAGGCAGTGTCGAGGCATCGTTTCTGTGAGCTGGCCTTGCAAGGCAAAATGTCCGCTGACGTGCCATCGTGGCAGCTGTTTCGGATTCGGTAGCCGCAAAACAAGCGTCACGGCTTTCGTTGCCTTTGTGCGAGGGCATCAACCAGCCCATCCACAGGCGCGAACCAGCCCGCGGTTCATCAAAGATTCCCGTGGGAGGGGTTTCATTCGAGCTGCCTATTCCTGCCCATCCCTTCGCCCTGCTTTGCCCGTGAAAAACGGATACCAATATCATCTTGCCTGGGTGCTCCTAGCAGAACAATACATACATAGTTGAGCTTAGTATGTAGGTGCTGGGGCATGCAGGTACTTTGGCACGCTGGCTCCTACAACTGACGTTGCATGCAGAAGAGCAGCAGATGCAGAAGAAGAGGGAAAGAAATGGGCATCGCCATGTGTGGAGGGGCGTGTGTGTGTGTGCATGTGTGTGACATTCCCGCGAATAGTGGCCATTGATGGCTACCTTACCGGTCAGCTCTCGTTCCTCGTACGACTAACGCTCTTTTCCTCTTGGCTCCCTTCGCTACCTGAGCTAGTAGCCATACAACTGAATCAAAACGGAGCTCAGCTTCGACGGCACAACCTTCCATTGACGGGTTTGTTGGCTTCCTCTGCATCCTTCGAGGGGGGTCCGGTGCTGACGGGTTTCTCCTCAGCGACCGTGCTGCAGAAACTCGTCCCGTCCTCCCAACTTGGCCGCTGAAACATTCCGTGCTCAGGTCAGCGGGCTTGCCTGACCCTTGCTTTTGTCTTGGCCCTCGCCAGAGCTGGTGACAGAAGGAGAGAAAGAGAGAGAGAGAGAGAGAGCTGCTTTACACATTGGGGATCTAATTTCCAAGTTGGACGGTAAACTTACTGTTCCCTCCCTTTGCTGGAGAACGGAGAAGCTGGGGATTGGACGCAAAGCTGCTCTGTCGTTAATACCACCAGCGCCAGTCCGGAGAGCAATACACGTACACGTACACTATTTGCTCGTACTCGTAGTTCGCTCCACTGGGCTACCAATAAGGTATTGGATATGTACTCGTACAGCATTGCAATAAGGTCGCCGTCTAGCTCTTGATCGCCGCAAGCCACGCGGACAAGCCAAAACGCTCAGCCGTTGAAAACACCACCAAGTCGGGGGTTGCAGCCCGGGGCTTGGTCATGTCGAAGCCAGAACATCACCCTGTACGTTGGTACCAGGCAGTCTACATAAGGTACTGAGCAACATGCCTTCACCTGTAGATGCAGAGAACCTTGACCTCACGCATGTCAAGTACGCACAGGGCGCGAGAGCGAAACATGGATGACGAAAGAGACTGCTTGTCCCGGGCACACAGCATTGCACCTCACCCCCTCCCCGTCTCGTCCCGTCCCCTCTGCTCTCAAACAAGCGAGAAACAGACGCCTCTTCTTCTCTCTCTGTCTCTGTCTCTTTTCCCCCCCTCTCTCGTTCCCACGGCAGCAAACGTCCGTCTTGGCCTGGGGCTAAAAGCGGCTGGAAAAAAGCTGCAAAAGCCGGCGCACGCAGCTGTGGCCTTGCCTTGTCTGGAACGCCAATGCTACATACGACGGGTTCAACGTTGGCCAGCAACAACGCCGGCGTTTGGTGCCCGTTGTCGTCGTTCGTCCTTTTTTTGGTCAGGCTCATTGCCACCGAACAAGTTGCTTGGCTGACAGCCGGCAGTGCCGCAGAAAAGCACGTTGGACCCCAAGGGACGAATTCCTACCTCATCAGAACTTGCATGTCCATGCTGGCACACACCCCTCCCCCCCCAGCAGCCTGGCTTGGTCTGGCCTGGGACGGCAACATGGAGAGGTAGCGAAAGTAGAATCTGGCTGTGCTTCCGTAGGTACCTTGCGGATAGAAATCTAAATAAGGTGCACTTGTGCCGCTGCCGTAGTCCGTACATTGTAGCCGCTGCTGCTGGCACATTGTTGTTGCATCGCTGAGAGCAATCAATGTCGATCGCCCGAGGTACCTTGGAGACTTGTCGCATCGCATCGCACATCGGCGATTTCATACGTACGAGTAGTACTTGGTATTACCTCTCTCATACTTTATGCAAGGGAGATACTGGGTCGGCCATGTTGCAGAGGGCTAGCACGCACGTTCTGCGAGTTGACGAGCAGCATCTCCCTTGCCCGAGACCAACCTGGGTTCGACCGGGACCAACTGCTGCCGCGATAGGCACGCAGCTTGTTCCAGATTGATATCCCGCGGCTACATGATCCGCTACTACACGTACATATAGTTGTACCTACCTACATACATAGCAGACAACTCCCGGAGCCTATGTATTACTTATTGGCGCTGACAGGGGTGCCTGAGGGGGAGAACGGTCAGTTAATAGCCAGTCCGACACGGCAGCTCTTTTACGCCGCGAGCATCTTGTGGGAGCAAAACGACGCAAAGTTGAAAGGGTAAGGCATCGCAGCCAATGCCCAAGGGGAAAAAGGGGAGATGCCGGAGCAGGGTCAAAGAATATAGGTCTTCTGACCAAACTTCATGTTCTCAGAGATGGTTTTGGCAGCGAGGCTCGTTGGTTGCCTACCGCTACAATGTTTTCCGGAGACCCAACGACAATCAGACAAAGCCTTGCCGGCGGCTAGAACCCTGGTGACGATGCCTCGTTCGACAAACAGGCGCGCCGGGGGCTGGGATGAGGGAACCTCTGCCGTTGGACGAAATGTCGAAATACATACCACATGTAACTGCAAAGTACAGCATGACGTTTTGGTACTTTGACTTGTAGGCAGAGTCCAAGAAACGAAAATACGAGGTTGAGGCTCTCAAGCCATGAAAGGGCGTGCACGAACGGCTCGTCTGAGCTGCAAGCCACCGCGCATTGACCCAGACTGCTGTTTGTCTCGTGCCTCCATGTTGGTGCTTCGGATCAGCGAGCGACAGCCGTCTCTGCATCACCACCTTCAAGTAAGAATACTACTAGCGGGATCACAAGCATCAACAGCAGTGGCAGAAGCAGAAGCAGCATGAAGCCAAGAAGAGAGATGCCAAGCACCGCCGAGCTGGTCCGTCACCAACCCGGCGCTGCATCTATTCGTTCGCCAATCACGGCGGGCTTCCACGGACGTGCGAGAAAAACGCAGCTCGCCATCATGAGCGATGGCATCCATTTGCTGGCACGTGCCGCTTATTCTATCCCAATTGTCCGTCTCGCCGGGGAAAAAAGGGCCCCCAAAATTTCATACAAGCCAAGTATTATTCCCTCTCCTGCTCCTCCTCTTGCTCCCCCCCCCCCCTCACCAAGGAAAATGGCCCAGCTTCCCCATTCGGCTTATGCTTGCCGCTGACGGCGTCCGCTGGGCACCTTGCCGGCTCGTCAGCTCGGGAAGGAAAAGAAAAGAAGAGAAAGGAATAGACAAGACGAGATTGCAGTGTTTATCCTACTGAATTGAAGAATGAACTTGAAGATGCCAATTCACCTCGAGTTGTCAAGCAATGCAAAAAAGCGTTGGAAAGGCGCAAATGTTGTGATAAGTCGTAGTAGTTCCGTCGTGACGATGAAAAGCCCCAGCCCCAGCCGGACGGATTCTCAACGGCGGACAGGCCCGCTGCAGGCCATGCAAATCGGGAATGGCGTCGTTGCGCCACAGCACGCACATGTACTTCCCTGATAATGTACTCCCAAGTACCTTACCTGCAAGAAAGTGAGCGGCCTAGGGGTTGCCGTGCCTTTCCGCCCCGACGATGGCTGCAGATTCAAAAGCACCCTTTCGACTCTGTCCCAACTCGTCGCCTTTTTCTGTCGATTGAGAGCGAAAAGAAAAGAACAGCAAACAAAGGCAACTCTCGCTCTCGTCAGTGCGTCGTATCTCCTCGTGCCGAAAAGCCATGATATATAGGTAGGTTAGTAATTCTTGCTCGGAAACAGCCAGCCCTCGAACCGCCGCCGATCCCGTGCCGTTCCAACGCTTCCATCCTCCAGTTGACGGTTTCTGCCCCTCCGATCCAGGATCCAGGGGGGGCCTTCCATCTCCTCTTCGCGGATGCCTCGCCCTGGCGCCGGTGCGGCATCTCTCGCTGTTCGGTGCATGGCGCGATGTCACTCGTCTGGTCCTCTGGCCAGTCCGGTCCCATTCCATTCCATATTATTGCTAGTAGTAGTATGTATATGTAGTCCGGACAGTGTACCCCATCACCCGTCACAGAGCACATTCCTGCTCTCATCGCAGTGATCAGAGGACCGCTTACTTGCGTCTGGCAATCGCCTGCTACCTGGTAAAAATCTCACACTGCTGCTTCGTTTCTGTTTCCGATTCGAGACTGACCGAATGTTGCACAGGAAGGAAGGGGGGGTTGAACTACGATGGCCCTCTGGGCATGCATCATTTCCCCCCCCCTCCTTGAGACGCAATCCACTGAATCTCGATACTAGTATCATCATGGGATTCAATCGCTGCTCAAGGAATCAAGGCCATCATCTCTTCAAACTCGGAACTCCCTGACTCTCCTCTCCCGCTTGGTTTCTTCTCTTGTCTGTCTGTCTGTCTGTCTGTCTGTCTGTCTGTCTGTCTGTCTGTCTGTCTGTCTGTCTGTCCATATGCCTCTTTCTATAACCTGCATGACATCCTCCCGCACACCAACGGCCACCCTCGCTGCTACGAATCAGTAGTAGTATACCGATTCCGCTTGCTGATGCAGGCCTAGCGCGCAAGTCTATTGGAAATACTTTCGTCTGGCAAACCGGCTATGGCCACCCTACTGCTGCTACTCAGGTCCTCAGTAGTACAGTAGCCGTACAGTGAAGTAGGTAAGGTAGTCCCCCCATCAACCCATCTCTTTTCATGTATGGTCGACACGCAGAGGCCGGTCGTTTTATCAACTTATTCTGCCGGCCAGACTACTGTAACTACTATCTACCAAGGCAGGCAAGTAAGACGCATGAGTTTACCCGTTGTATGAAAATTTTTCACTCAATGGCCTCGGGCGTTCCTCTTTCTTTATGCTGCGGTCTTTGGTTTCTTTGGGCATTCTCTTTGCAGGTTTGTTTGCCCGCCCCTTGTTGGGTAATGAATGAATGACCTCTAGATTTCCCCTAACCCAACAGCACGGCAAAGCTAAGCATGGAGAAAGATCAAGCTATCTAGTAGTTGTGAGACATACATACACTAATAAATTCAACGAAAAACAAGCTTGACAAGCGAAAACCAACACCAACTCATGTGCCCATACCGAGCGGCAACAGCTTCGTGATGAATTCAGTACTCCCGTTACAGTCACCCCACCCCCGGCTCCAAGTTCTCTCCTCTCCATGGTGATGGGACGGACGACGGGTGACCAAAGGCGATCTCGGCATAATCCGCCCATGCGCACATACATACACCACTCGTTGTAAGGTATGTACTTGCAAGGTATTTCGCTCAACGACCCGAATTCGCTCCGGCATCACACCCCGTCGAGATTGGAATAGTACGCGTAGTAGGCCGTGTCTTTCTCCGCGACAAGTCCGTAGGGAAACCCCCCCAATGCCCATCATATGATCTGTAATCAGCAAACTAGGCAATTACATGTAGCCTTTCT